GGAAAACGGAAGAAACCAAAACATATAACGGGAGGAAATAATTAAATAGGAAGTCGCTTATCAATGCAGATATTTTGTTAAATCATCGTTATTACTTCTCTTCCTGATTAAGAAATACTAGTAGCAGTTTAAATAGACTATAAGGAAATTACGAAACCTTGAACTCACCTCTCAAGCTAATAGTAAATCCTATATAAATCAGATAGACGAAATAGTCGTACGAGAAATATATATAGGAAGTAGATTAAGTATATAATAATCGTAATAGAGGACAAGGATCTTGGAGTCATTATAGGTCTACCTTATAAAGAGAATAAAGAAAGAATTTTATTTAGAAGAAAGCGAAATTACGTCACGATAAGTGGAACTATACATAGCGGAAACGGGAGAAATCTAAAGACTCGTTTCGCACATTTTTAAGTGAATGCCTCCAAACACTCGAAAAATCGCATCCCTAGAGAATTAGAAAAATATTACTTCCCACATTAGTAGATCAAGTTCTTCCTAAAGAAATATCGAAAGTGTTGGTGACTCGTGAAGTTGATTTAGAAATAATGATAAATAGTACTAAGTAAAGTAATTAATTAAATGATAAAGTTATTTCGTGAGCTAAATCCGAGGAAAGAAAATAATATACATTCTGAAGATAAGGGAGTTCCCCCTTTATACTATAACAATTAAATATTTTCTACAGGAGAAACTGTTATCCTAAAATTGTAAGGACAAGAAGAAGTTCATTTCTCAAGAAAGCTTACTCACACTCCTCGATAATGAGAGTAGACACAAAGATGAAATCCTCGATTACACTCGTCCTCCAAATTTGCATCTTGATCAACTTAAAAGGGAGTTATAACGCTCAAGAAGTAAACGAATTCGAGAAGGGTGTCATTTTTATTCACAAAACGAACTTTTTGATGACATCTAGTCATTGGACCTTGATCCATGACTTCGATTTCGATCATTTTGAACAACAAGTAAAGTTTTTAACACAATCTCTTGAATCGTTAAAAGCCATGATCATAAACAGGGAGCGAGTATCATTTGAAAGAAGAAAAGGTCAAGCAAGACGGATCTTACCTACAAATGGATACGAAATACTTATATCATCTTTCTCGGAATACAAAAGAGACTATTATAATTTAAAGGGATTAGTTACTCTTGATGAAGAAAGTAGAAGGAGAAGAGGATTAATCGACGTAGGAGGAAAAGCATTGAAGTTTTTATTCGGAACAGCTACATCCGAAGATATCGAAGTTTTAAATCGAGAAATTACAAATATAAAACGTATTAATAAAGGTATAATTCATTTAGTACAGTCACAAGCGACTCTTCTAAACGATACCTTGAGAATAAGTAAGAACAACAGACAGAAAATAAATAATTTATCAAGAAGACAAGATTCCTTCGAGAACTTATTAAAAATATATCGATATGATTTCGCATTTGAAATTATCATGAGAAATATAGAATTTGCGATGCAAGAATTTCATACACAGATAATCGAATTAAGAGAAGCTATAGACGTTTTAGAGCAAGGAAAATTAAGCTCGTATTTTATCTCAAAGGAAGTGATGTATCGTACGTTACAAGAAATACAACCACAACTTCCGGAAGGTTATTCATTGATAGAGCAAGTCAAAGCTGACACTCTCTTTAAAGTTTACCAGTGGATTACTACAATTGCTATCGCACTTCCAGGGAGGTGTCGCCACTGTCGCTACTGCTATATGTATTGTGTTTGTAGGCTCCGTTTTTAACTTGCGTTATCTTTGGTCTTTTTTACGATCGGTGAGTGTACTATATATCATTTTGTTGCTGTTGACGTGCGCTTTCCAACGCCGTCTTACTTTTTAAAATCGGTTTAGACCTTCGGGTGTTACGGGCTTTATTTGGCCGAGACCACGTGGTCGAACTTCGGACGGTTTTCTCTTCGACAAATTCATGTCGTACGTTTTTATGTATTACACCGCTGTGTTCACCTTGCTATCCCGATTCGATCGATATTTTATTTATTAAATTCCGNCAATTCCAATCACATACATATGGATTATCCTTGGAAGTATAGGAATATTAATTCTACTTATCTGCTCATATTATATAGTCAAGCATATTTGTTGGAAACGAAGATTTGAGAAGAGGATCAAGGAACTGTCACAACAAGACATTCCACTTCAAGAAATTCCTCAAAGAAATAATGCAGAAGAAGAAGAAACGGAAATAGTCGAACCTGTTGGAAGATCAACTGAACAAGCTTCAAGCTCAACACAAACAAGGAAGCACTTTGTTCGAACATATCGACTTTAATTTTAATTTGCTTTTTGAGATGATCATTTCATTCTTAATTGAAAATTTTTGATTATATAATGATCGATTTTAGTTACATATATCTTTAGTTTGTAAGTACTTTTCCTAATAATAACAAAAAGCTTATTTAAAGGAATGTACACCCCACTCAATTTGATAAACTAAAGTGATTGAATTAGAATAGAGACAATATTGATTGGAATAGACATAATATTTTATAGAATAGTCTAGATGTAAGACTTAGAGTAGTATTAAGAGAGAGAGAGACATTAATAGAGATATGTATTTGTTAACATACTACCTTTTAAAATGAACAATATTTTGGTGAAAAAGAACTTTGCCCAAATGGATTTAAATGACCGGGGAGTCATAAAATACTTAGTGAACTCAACCACCTGAACTTTTGTGGTTATTTGAAATGAAGTTTTAACAGAAAAAGAAGTGTGTCAACATACAAGAAGAAGACACATTATATCATTTTTGAACTGCACAGTGAACTTTGAACTATTAGCAGGTGTTTTTTTTTTTTTTTTTTGAAACAAGAAGACATCACATGATCTTCTAATATACCTGAATTTATGCAACTATAAGAAGTCAGCCAACAGAGGTGCTGCCAAAGAGACTCTCAGCAACAGAGAAGTGCATTCAAAACCAGTGACAGAACTATGTCCACTTTTACCGTCAATTCCAGACAAAGACACCTGTGTTCATTATGTTTATTTTAGTAATATTATTAATCTGATGAATTGTTTATAATATTATTTCCATGTATTTCAATTTTGAATTTAATTTAAATTATTGTATACTTTTATGAATTTATTAATATGTATGACACAATTTTCAGAGAGAGAGAGAGCAATTCGAAACTTATGTATTGCAGTGAAAAAATCACGCCTTCTTTAAATGTAGTGTGATTTTTGAAGATAAGGGAGTAATGTGAGATCCGAAAGGCCCTGGGTCTAATTTGTGAATTTTTATTAATATGTTTAAAATATCGACAAAATATTACTTCATTTTGTGTGAAAAACTAGTGTTTTAGACGTGGGAAAAATAGATGACAGATGACACTTCCTTTCCACAGAAGAGAACATCCGCTGTTTTTCCCTTATCCGTTAAAAATCTCGCTCAGATGGGAAATGGTTACCCCTCATTCATCCCCCTTTCATCCGTTCTCACGAAAGAGTTACTGGACGATGATTGGACGAAATTTTGTAATAAAAGGAGAAATTAGTCAGAATTCGAGGAGTTCAGCGAGAGTTCTTCGACAGATCCGAAGCATCTAACTCCACGCAGTTTTCCTCCTGATGGCCAACGCCCATAACGGAGTCCGATAGACCAAGTCCCGAGTCTACACTTAGAAGAAGTGATAATTTTNTACACATTAAAAAATATATAGAAGAGACTGGAATGTCTTTATTTTTTTGTCATGTCCAAATACCAGGAACAACAGTTTTTAAAAGAAACTAATGTATTTTTAATTATTGGCTTGTCACTGGTGAAATTTTTAAGCTGTTTTGTATATTTTTCTAGAGGTGGTAGCATCTAATGAAAGGTTTTCTCTCCGGTGGAAGACTACGAGGTATTGTTCCTGGTGGTTGGACATGCTGAAAAATAGACATTTTAGTCTCTTCTATGTATTTTTTAATGTGTTAAAATAGTCATTCATTTTTTTTAAAATAGAAAATTACAATAACATGTACTAAAAGAAATGTTATGTTATATATGTATAGTAATTTTTCTTCTTTAGGATATTTCCATTTTTTTAAATGTTTATCCTTGACAAAATGGGTGAGAAGATCATCAGTTCTTAATTCCTCATTTTATATTCTACATTATCTGTCAAATTCTTTTCAGGTTTACCCTTTCTCCATTTGAGAAGAATCCTGTCTGGAGTGTGGTTTGTTAGTCTATTGATTGCCATTCTTGACATGTGTCCATGCCATTCTGATGTTTGTGTTTACTTCATTTAATATAGTTTTTTCCATATCTTTATGTTTCTAACAATTTCCAGCTTGATTTCCCTGCAGATCTCCAGAAATCCATCTTTACTGCTGGTAGTTTCTTGGTTTTTTTTGTCAAAACTTTGGATTTTGATTCTGTATAACATTAAAATTGTATTACGTATTAACTTTTAGTTATTTCTTGCTCCACAGCACCAAGTTTAATGTGCCTGTTGGTTTTTTCCTTTGTCTTTGTTAAATTAAGCAATACTGATATGTACACCTTGGCATGGAAAAGGTATCAGATATATAGAAGCCCTGGAAATTTAATGTTGACAAGTGGGGGATATGCATTAATTACAAGGAAGAAAAACAAATTTCACATGCATGGCAAGCAATCTAACACACCATCCCAATTAAACTTAAGTGCCAAAAAATTAGAGACAGCAGCATGTGCAATGTTCTTACCTTCTACCTACAGGAGAAATGCTTTGAGTTGGAACATTTGCATTTAACATCATAGGTACAATACTTACAAGCTATGTGAGAGCTTGGTTAGAGTACAATGGACTGTGTAAAGGATTTATTGCCATTTGATCATGGACAGATTATTGGAGCAAGAGGAATGGGTCACTCTATCGAGAGGCAGCCAATGCTCTTGGATTTTCTCATGCAATAGTGTCAATTACTTAACAGAAATATCTAAATTCCAGATAGACATCAGCAACACATGCACAGTTTGGGTGCCCATAGTTAATGCAAGAACATGACTGTTGGAGGCTAATCAGGTTAGTAACCATGCAATCAAGGGCAACTCAGTGCCAAATCACATCAGACTTCAACAGGGGTACTGCTGAATGCATCAGTCAATGCACTGTACAATATACAGTGCATTGACTGATAGGTTTGGTAGTCGCCAGCCCACTCTGGTATCACTATTAACATTCAGGTGTCAGACACCTCACCTAGGACAAAGAACATTGGAAATTGGTTGGTGGATGACTGATGTAGTGTTGTGGTCAGACGAATTTTGTTTTCAGCTCTTTCAAGATGATAGTCATGTTCATGTATAGCAAAAACCACGTGAAGCCATAAATCCATCAGGTCATCAAGGTGTAGTGAATGCTGGTTGTGGCTCTGTCATGGTCTGGAGTGTGTTCTATTGGTATGAACAGAGACTAATGGTGAGATTGCAGTTAACTTTGACAAGTGTGACATATACTAATTTTGTGACAGGTGTTTTGCACTCCTTTATGCTTGCTATGTTCTCTTGACGGTAATGAGTTGTACCAGCAGGATAATGCTACTGCCCACAGGGCATGGGTGGCACAACAATAGTTCGAGAACACTTAACGGATTTTCAGCTATTCCCTTGGCTGCCTTGGTTGCCAGACTTTAACCCCATAGAGCATTTACTGGACACTTTGCAAATGTTACGCAATGCCTTGCAGAACTAACCAACAGATGTAGCTGAATTATGGAGAACCTTTGAATGTGTCTGGATTGTAACACCTGTGCAACAACTGACACCTCATAATTTATGCTATGTCGTGTAGCCACTATTATTCAGGCTCAGGGAGGAGCTACACATTATTAGGTAGATGTGTGTAATTTTTTGGCACTTTAGTTTATGTAATGATGTATATTTGATTTTATCACAGGTCTATTGGCAATGTAGCAATTTGAATTTGACCAAAAGTCTGATAAGTGTGCAGAAAACCTTAAGCAATACTCAGGAACCTGAAAGCATTTGTTAACCCTTGAAATTTGTCACTGGACACCAATTCGGTTTGCAAATATGTTTTAAAGTTCAGTATGAAGGTGAAAGAACTCTCAACCAAAAACCAACAAAGCATTTGTGTCTAATATAGGATTTGAAAATTCAAAAGCATTTTGCATTTGAGAAATGTATAACAATTAGAAATTAATAATTGTCAAATTATCAGATGACAAACAAGTAATCATTTTGAGGCTTCTGGACAATTAATTTATGATTAGATAACTTTGTTGTTTTGTTGTTACAAATAAAAATATGATGTTTATTACACTTCATATTACTACTATTAATAATAATTAATTATTTAAGTTTGAATCCATGTTAGTCTTTTGTATTTCTGATTACTTCATTCAAACACTCAAACTGTAATTTTAGATAATTATTGTAATACTTATATTTATATAATCAGCAACAATAAATGTCTTTATTTTAAATAAATTGTATACAGTTTTTTTTTTGCAGCCATTTTATTAATATATTTTTTATTTTAAAATATCAAGGACTGAAAAGAATGCCTCTCAGTGGTCTAAAGACAAAATATCGGAGCTTTTCTTAAATTTAAAGCTGGACGACGACATCGGTAAGTAAAACGGCACAGCCTTCACTTTAAATCTGGTAAAATTTGCCAAAGTTTTAATAGTATTTTCCCATTTCAGAAAGCTTAAACAAAATTCCTGCTGAATAATACAAGTGTGTGAATTTGTTCAAGTAGAATTAAAATATCTTTCAAAATAAATTAATAAATCGATTTAAAGAAAACTAAAGTCGATCTTTTAATACAGAGCCATTTTTATTTTCAGGTTGCTGCGAAATTACAGAAATCACTAGTTGCGAAGGCGAAGCTGTAGTTAATAACAGAAAAGCGAAATTGATATTTTTTTACGAATGGGTTATTAAAATGAAATGGAAAGGTAAGATTTTTAAAAGTATTTTACAATCAAAAATGTATTTAACAACTAAAGATATAAACTTTGGAAAGAATGGCACCATTGCATCTTGGCTAGTGCCACATTCAATTTTTGTTTTTATTTCAAGAATTTTTGTAAAATATTTTCAATGATTAGTGATACCAAATGCCAGTAAGAATTAAATAGTAAACTTTATTTTAGACGTTATTTGTCATGAAAACATGGGTAAAATTGCAGATATCAGAGGAGGAGAAGCTATTGTTTTGACAGTTTTGTTCTTTTGACTGCTAATGTTTAAAATGGCTGTGAGCAACTTCTCTATAGTAATGAGCCATGAGACAATATTTTCATGTGAAATTAGGCCAAAACACTAGAAGTGCTGGATTTATTGTCAATTTTACATAGAATTTAACTGTGTGAGGTAGTAACATAAAATATGAAATTAAAGAAGGAAGTTACATGACAATACTAGACTCCAAGACTTTATACCCTTTGATAGCAACATAAAGGTTGATTTACACAGTACAACTGTTGATGTTTTGTCACACTCAAAAATGACAGATTCAGATGTTTACATGTTATTTTGCATTACAACTTGTGAGTTACACTGAACATGTATAAGATCATTTGTTTTTCTTGAAAACACTACCTTTGATAACATGTTATATTGCATAAGAATGCAATATAATACATGATTTCAATATCATTATTGATTTAGTTTGACAATGAATGAAAAATCTGACAGATTAGATTTTCAATGACACAGTCATGACTTGTAGACTAAGGTTGCCAATAAGAGTTTATTCAAATGCAACAATTTCATGCATGTCACAATTTCACGTGACAGTATCAGCAGTTGTAGTATCATGCAAACTAGCCTTAAATAATTAAATTATATAATTTTTTATATTTTATTTTAAATTGTAGACAAGAAATTTAAGAGAAACTATTGATGATTACTTAATTTCAGCAAGAAATTTAAAGAAGCCAATTGAGAAAAGCACAATAATTATATTAAACTGCTAAAAAGTAGCATTGTATGTTGTTTGCCAAATAATTTCTTCTGTCATGTCACTTTGGGCATATGTGTGCATATTCCAACTTTCATTTTATCATTAAATGGAAACTGGTATGTTTTTACACATTTGCTGACAAAAAATGAAAGATTAATTTGATGATAAAGTACAGGATTAATAATTCATTATAATTATTATTTCTTAATGTAAAAATTAATGCTCAAAATTGGGCAGGTACCCTAGACATGCATGTAAAGATTTTGTTGAAAATACTATCAAAGTTTTACTGTCTATTTCATGAGATACTGTGATCATTTCAGTACACAAACCAATCTTTCATACTATTCTAATTTGGAGAATATTTACTTACCAATCTTCTGAAACCGTGTTTTCTTAATTTCTATGATTCACAAACACAAATCGTGCTATTATTTTTAACACTTGACGGTTTTCATCCGCCAAGTGTTAAAAATAGTAGCACGATTTGTGTTTGTGAATCATAGAATATTTACTGTCAAATTCATTCCAAAAGAATACAACACCAATAATACAACCATTAGATTTTTGTCGTTTCAGGTAAGTTTCAAAGTTCAGGTTTCAGATAGGTTTCAAGAAAGTAAAACAATCATTAGATAACAACTTATTGCAACTTCTCAAATTTGCTATAAAAAAAAATTCACATTTACATCCAACTATATTTTTCAATCATCATTTTCTCATTAATTTATAGTCAACTATGCTCACAAAAATGAGTCATTGAATAATAGCACTTTTTGAAAAGATATGGTTCTATTGATAACAATATTGTAATGGAATCCAAGATGAAGACATTATTTTGTTCTTTAGATCAAGAATGCAGTGTTTCTAATTGTGAAAATTTGGGATTTATTCTTGGTTCATGTTTGCTTCCATTCTGATATATATGTTTCCTTGGTAATTTTGAAACCTTTGACAATGATTTTCATTTTGACCAATAAAATCAACCATATCCTGTCTTTTATCTTAAATTTAGTCACCTTTGCCTATTTCCTTGGGAATAATTTTGGTATTATTGTTTTTCTTGCCTAATTCAGTGTTGAACAAACTATATTTTATAAGGGGTAAAATTTTATAGGATGTCTCAAAATACCCAATTATAAGAGAAATGTTTGAGCATTTTGGCAAAGTGAATAATAATTTACTGCAAGTTGTTACTATGCCACTTTTCTATTTTAAGTTCATAAATTATTGAGGATATTAACAAATGAATTACTCAAAATATTCTCTTCTGTGAATGAAAAGAATAGCTTTTAAAAATTTTAATGAAAAATAAGTATCATTATGCATATTAAATTATTACATAATAAATGCTAATATTAAGGTAATCATGAAATGTTTCAATAATTGGCAATATTATTGATGTTATACTCTGATAAACTTTGTTTCCATTAGAAGTTGTAATACCAATATATCTGACAGTTGCTTGAACCTTATTAACAAATACTGCTAATTATTTGTGGAGACCAAATACATTAAAGAATGGAAACTGAATACAAAGAGTCCTGCTATACCAAACCAATGTTTGGAGACCACTTGCAAAAACATAAATTTGAGTAAAATAGCCAACCCCATTATATTTTTATACTAACACGTCTATCATAAATTTTTTTCTCTCTGTATAAATAAGGCAAACACTATTAATAATAAGTAGTATGATACAGTAATACCCCAAACTTACACAATAGGTGGGACCGAGCGATAACCGCATAAGTTGAATTTGCTTAAGTCGGGTTATAATTTCGCAATTTGTGTAAAATCCAAGTTGGCTGTATGTAAGCTAATAAATGTTCTTATAATATGTAAGCTAATAAATGTTAATCTTATCTCGTCTTTTGATTCGTTCATGGTTACAAGAAATCACCACATAGTCTGTAAAGTCTCCGTAGATATAACAAACACAGAAATAAACAATACAAAATAAATTGTAGCTATGTGTCGATTCTGCACAACACGTCCGAACATGTAAGCTGAACAATAGTGTGAGAGGAGTGAGTAATCGAGAGTTGTGTGGCGCTCAAACAAAAGACGAATCGACAAGATTTGAAAATTGCGTAAGTCTGGGTTTGCATAAGTCAAGGTATTACTGTACTGTAAATCATAAAAATAATTTTTTAGAATTTTTGGGAGCAGACTTTCTTACTAAATCTAAAATTTTTATTTTTATTTTCTCAGCTGTTATAAATATCAGAGGGAAAGTGTGGCAAAAATATAACAGTTGGCAGCACCACAATTTTAAATGTTATTGCCAGGAAAGTTATGCTACTCATTGCTTGATTTTTCCTCTAAACTAGTGCTTTGTAGCTTTAGACTATCAGAGCTGCTGGCATCACTATCAGGGCATCTTGGAGTTGTGTGTGAAAGTAATTAGAATAAATGAAACTAAGAGAAGATCCAGTATCACAGTTATGACATGTTACAAGTGAGAAATCCAGACAAAGAGTGACAAGTCCCTGCATTTAGTGAGAAACAAAGAAATGAGACAGTAATGCTTTTCCAGAATGAGAATGAGCACAAGATGCCAGTGAAACTTTATGCACTTTAAAAATTGGTGTGGAATTAGTGCACAATTAAGAATTTTTATGTATTTTTCTGTTTTTTTGTCAGGGTAAACCTGAAACTGTTTATGGTGAGTCTGATATACAATAGTACTCTGCCATAATCAAATTTAATAATTTTGACTGAGGATTTAAAAAAAAAAAAAAACTATATATTGGCTGATGTTTATAGACTTAAGTGATAGGATATGTAGTAGACTTGAACACAGAAGTGAGCTATTACTGCAAAGCAGTTTAGTATGTTAGGTAATATTGTTATAAGAACTTCATTTGCTACTATTTAGAAAAGTAAAGTAGCAAATTAAATGTTATTGTTGACACTAATTTTTGAAAAATATATTTATTCAAGTATAGAAATTAATAAAAACTAGTAACCAAATATAATAATCTAAATCTAATTTATAATTGATCAATATACAGCAACATAGCTGGCTAGACTTGGCACCTTTTGGCCTATTTAGGCTGTGTGCCACAAAACCCAAAATCCAATTGACCAATTGATCAAATTTTTCAGTTTTGTTGATATCTTTATCATTTAAAAAATGTGCAAGCTTTTACATAATTATTGATATTTACTTTTTGTAAATATTGATGATATTTTAATTTTGGCTGGATGAATGATGGTTAAGGTGTCTGTCACCACTCTGGATGACCCCAAGATTTAATCCAGATGGATCAAAAAACCCTGGGAATTTTTTACAGGATGATCTATCCCAGATATGTTTGGTCCCATTCTTTGCCACTCAGCCATCCCGTTAGTGAGATTGATTAAGCAGGCCTCCTTACTATTCACAGGGTGGAAAAGAGTTTCAGAATTTTTTTTTGTTCAGATGATATTTGGTGTGATCAAATCTCTTATCTCCTTTGGTTTGAATTACTTTCAGGTATAGTTACACAATGCTTTAGAAACTTCTTTGTTGTTATAATTTTCAACCTTTAAATTAAATAGGTAATTCATATAGTTAAAAAATTTATCAAAATACTTGAATTAAGCATAAGAAAAATTTGATATGATCTTAGATTTGTATATAAAATAAAGATGTCATAAGAAATATTTAATCCTAGAAATATTTTGTATGAACAACTTTTTTGTTATTTGATGATGCCATAATTTTAAAAACACGCATGTAATGTTTTACAAAGTCATTTAACATGTTTGCTGCCAGTTGATGCAATTTTTCAGTATTTGACCTTCTTGCAACGCAATTATTTTATTAATTTTGTCTTAGTTAGAATTGGCTGTTATAAATAAAATTATGTTGAATGTCAAATGAATGTAGACAAGTTGATGTTAAAATGTTGTTTTGCTATCTAAATTTTTGACTGACTAATTATTTATTAATTGGTGATTGTTTTGACATTTAGTATTAGAAATAATTAGCCAATTTCAGTTATTTTTGCATCTATCTTTCATAAACATTAAAATTTTGTTTTTTTACCACCATAAAACTTGTTACTTTAGATATGACTTGATTAATACAGGGTTGGTGGAAAATAAATAGGCATTGAGTATTGATATATCATATTAAATAGAAACACAGATGCATACCTTAAAATTCAATGTAGGCACTGACACCAACACATTTTCCTCAGATCATGATGTGGCTAAAAAGCCACTTCTCTGTTCATCTGTAACCAAACCTGTGTTCATTGGCTTTGAATGACAATGCTCAATTTCTGGATTGATTGTGATATGACATCCTTTCACTGTATGCTATTGTCTCTGCAAAGCAACCACCAATTTCCACATCTCATAGCATGCAGCAATCTGTGCTTGCTCCCAAATAGACAAGCTGTTGGCTATTTTCTTGTCATTATGCATGGAGCCTGTCACTACCCACACCACTGATGTGGGAATTATAGAATTCTGTTGGTGTACACAAACACACAAATTTTATTATAATTGCTATAATTTTTGTAATAATGATGCAATTTGTCAATTCCCAGTTACTTTCCACTTACCCTCTATTACTAATTAAATGAAAGAATAAAGACTTTAGTATTTTAGTATAAAAGATACATATTCAATTGAAATAAATTTTGTTTTTTTAGGATATGTAAGTGGAAGTTCAGAAGAAGTGAAGGGGAAAATTGAAATTCCTAATCTTAGTGAAGAACATGATCCTAAGGATGTTGATGTATGTCTTTTGCATTCAATTATTATATGGAAAATTTACATAATCTTTATTATTTTGGAATTACTTGTGATTATTTACATCCAAATTTTGAATCCAATTATTATAATATTTGGATTCAAAATTTATTTTGAATCCAAATATTAAACCAATTGTAATAATACTTTTCTCATTCTCACTTACTCACTGTTAGTAATTAATTCAAATAATTTAATATTAAATTTATAAATCAAAGTTGATTACAGTCAAACCCTCTGTTTACAAACTTCATTCATTCCTAAAATTTGTTTGGAAACTGATTTATTCTAAACCGAAACAAACTTTTCCATAAGAAACAATGTAAAATGGGTTAATCCATTCCTGACCCCCAAAACAAAACCTGTTTTTACTTTTTTAACTGTATTTCATCCATAAAAATGCCTACAAATGCAATGTAATATTATAACATACTGACTGAATAACAAATAAAGTTTATAAATAAGAAAGACAAATTCATTCATTCTTATCTGTGCTGAGATGTCTTGATGGTGCAAGTGAGGGTGGAGAAGAGGAAGTTGAATGGAAGGGATGTTATTTCTTGGAATGGGAGTTCCCCTTTATAACATCAGGTAATTGCACTTCAGGATTTTTTTTCTCCTCTTTCTTTTTGGATTTTATGCTTCTCTTTAGCAGATTCTGTCTGGGACTCATTATGCCACTTTTTCACTAAAAATTATCTAACAAAATTTGCTTTTGCCTATATTTCACAATATTACAGAAGTAAGACATAGCACTGCCATTGAAAAGGTTAATGACATAGCTTGCTACTACCTTATTAAGATGATATTTTTCAACAAAACTTTGCACTTTACCCTATTTTGTACAGTCATTAATAAGAGCAGTAGGTGTATCTCCATTCCCTTCTCTTCCACCAAGGGCATCTCCTAAAGCATAGCCTTATGCTACTCATTTTGAAGGAGTTAGAGTTCATATGTAGACAACTTGATATTGTGTTCTGCCACTAGCTCTTCTACATTAGCATTGTTGACTACTACTTCTATACTTTTGTTCAGAGATAGTATCGTCGACTAGTAGGCTTTCTCTCGAATCCATCAAAGTCTCTCTCTGCAACTAAATCAGGCCAGGGGTTCCTCTAGGCTGAGTCAAGGTCCTAAGAGTTATTTGCTGGAGGGCCTTGTCAATAAAACCTAAGCAATAGAAGATATTGAAGTTGTTGTTCCAAAAGTCAGAGGTAACCTTGAAGCACCTTTGGAAAAGTGCTTTGGTGTAATACTGTTTAAAGTTAGAAATGATGTGTCGATCAAATGGCTGAATCAGTGGTGTCATATTAGGAGGAAGACACTTCATGGAGTCAGGAAGACACTTCATGGAGTTTGACTTCATGGATGAAGTCAAACTCTTCCAGTAACTCTGCCTCCATGCCTGGTGGGCATGAGTATTTTCCATCAAAAGCAGACACTTCAGTGGCAGGTTCTTTTCATTAAGAAATTTCCTCACATTAGGAGCAAAAACTTCATGGACCCATTCCAGGAAAACTGTCTGGCCACCCAATCCTTACTATTATCTGTCTACATGACAGACTACTTGCTTTTCATAATGTTATTTCTCTTAAATACATGAGGATTCTCCAAATAATATACAAGCAATAGTTTTACCTTAAAATCACCACTACCATTGTTACAAAGCAAGAGTTAGCCTATTCTTCATTAGCTTGTGTCCAGGCAAAACCTTTTTCTCCTGGGTTATGTATGTTCTGTTTGACATTTTTTCCAAAATAGTTCAGTTTCATCACAGTTAAACACTTGCTGGGGATAAAACCCTCAGCAGTCACATATGCACCAAATTCTTTCACATACTTTTCTGCATTTTTTTTTTTGTTTGCAGTTGAAGTCCCTCCATGCTGATCCATGCTGTTATGCTACTTTGCTTCTTAAACTTTTCAAACCAGCCTCGACTAGCCTTAAACACGTCAGTCTCACAACTTGAATCCTGGGGTTTTTTGAGCAAATTTTGGTGCAGAAGCTTTGCTCTCTCACAAATGATAATCTCCAAAATACTGTCGCTGCCCAACTGCTTTTCGTTGATCCATATTGAGAGTAACTTTTCCACTTCTAAGGTCTACGATCTTTGCTTGATCATAACTATTTTTTTTAGCAACATTAGCATTGTTTATTGCTTCCTTGTTCTTGAGAATGGCAGGTCAATTGACTTTCTTAAGTCAAACTGCAAAGCCAGGTTTGAGATACAATGCCATTTTCATGCTTCCGTGTGATCTCTTTCTTCATCTGTTATTTTCACTCTTTTCCTTTTTGCCTTTATGCTTACACTAGCTTTCTTAGTTTCCATAGTGGCTTATGGAATAAAAAAAAACAAGAAATAATGCACAACCTAAGAAAAATTGCAAAAGTCAGAAGTTTGCTGTAATGTGATGCAAATGCTGCCAGCTCTACAAGATTAGAGACATAGACAGACAACTTCGGAAAACCACGTGACAAAATATGCAGCTCATCATTGGCTGAAGCAAAGTGCAATAATAATCATGCAATTTTCATTTTTTGTTTAACGCAAGTGATGTCATCAGTTTTGATATCAATTTTCCATGTGTGATCAATGTGCCAGTTTTGATACCAATTTATCATGGTGTAAGATTCCTTCGTTTCTAGTGCTGTGATTTATAATTTAATTTAAAAACAAAAAATAGAGTTAAATGCATAATTTATGGAAGCAATAATTTGCTATTGTTCACTTCCCTGAAAATTCAAAAAAGTAATTAATAATAATTTTGTATGATGATTACATTTTTTTCCTTACAGAAACCCATGTTTTTCTAAAAAATGTTCATTAAAATTTTTTGCATTTAATTAATACTGGTAAATAAAATGCCAAACATCGATTATGTACTAATGAGAAATAATAATAAATTATTATTAAATATATTTTTATTTAATTTGAGTTAAACACTTTTAAATATGAATTAATGGATGTCATTTATATTATGCAAATGTCAATTAATGTTGATTTTTATTAATTAATTAAAATTAAATTGGGACATATACTGAAAACTGGAAATAGTATCTTACCCGCATGTGCATTGAAATCTAATTTGAATAACATCTGTGCCGACAATTTGTGTTGTGACATCTAATGATGCCAGTTGAATCTCAGCACCACTAACTTCTGAATTTGTAGTCCTGTCATTGATTGGTCAGGCCGATTTTCTTTAACATAGGAAGTATAAGAAGTTGACCATCGGTGGCCTGCTCTGCCAATCGGTAGCTTGTTTGGAAATCGAGTTATCGTACAGCAACCAGAGCAAATATAGCATTCAAAATTTTGTTCATAAATGGGCGTTTGTAACCCGAGGTTTGACTGTATATTTATTTTATGTATTGTAGAATGATAGGTTCTCTGAAAAGTGCATATTTTAATATGAATGAACTAACAAAAATGAAGGCATTATATAACCAGATAGTAACTAACGGTCTGTTTGGAAATGCTTACTGATTGCTCAGTCAGCAGCAGTGACAGACATCGTTGGTATTTGGTCAGTTGCTTTGTAACCCTCTCCTGAAAATTGACAAATTTGTTAAGGACCAGTAAACCACCAGTAAATTTCAATGATATTGTGTAATATCATTGAACAAGGCCCAATCTCTGCAATTGAACTGGAAGCATTTCCAACTAGATGGTATTTTGGGAATCCAGAGGTCTAGTGCTTTGTGTAGTTTGAAATTTGTTAATTTTTATTGGATTGTTTGAAGCACAGCTAAAATAATTGTAAAATCAATTTCCATATTAATTTTAGATTTGGACAAAAGTGTAAACTTCTTCAAACTTGGTAGCGTTTTCTTTACATTAATATTGATATTTTCCACTTTCTTTAAAATATTCTTAACTTAGTAAAATGTTAGTAGATCTGCTTAAATGTAACTTGATGTTAGTTTTACTGAAATGAAACAAGAGAAGGAAACTATGATAGAAGATATTTTATGATCAGATATTTTATCACTATTGTTCCATTTCAACTGGCCAATGACAGATGAATCAGCCAGTATGGGAGAAATGTTTGGCTCCAAAGTAGTGGATCTCATGCTGTATGAGGCCAAAATGGCCACTGGTGAGAGAAGGTTAATCTGCTACTTTTAAATAAAACTTTAATGAGTTCAGAAATTGGAAAGGGGAGAAAACCAAAAGGGAAATAGCCATTTGTGTATTTTTTCGATACAATCCACATGGTTAAAAAAAAGAGGAGATAAAATCAAAAATGTTGTAGAATCTGATGTAAACATACATGAAATGTTTGTCAATCTAGCAACTGCTTTTCAACACTGAACTTTGAATTCTGTTTTGTCATTGTCAACATCCATGCTGCTTACTTGCCAAAATTAATTTTATATTTTGTTTTAATAAATAAATAAATATATATATAATTATTCTAGGTATCGTTTCAGTTTAAAAAGTTTTATCTGACAATATGAAAGTACTTGTACTATGCTCTTTTATTCTACAGTTGCACTAAGGATTTCTTTAGAATGCCTACATTTAAATTAACAACTATGTATACATATAAATAACAATAAACCAGCAAAAATTAAAAGTAATAAAATGAAAACAAATGTTTTCTTCTGTTTTAAATGGTCATCCTCAGGTTTGAAAAATGCAGATATAAATGAATGTCTTTTTAAAAAAAAATGAATAAATAAAACATAAATTTGAAAGCTGAAAATGTCTCAAAAAATGCATATGTCTATTTCAGCATTTAACATCATGTTTCAATTCCAATAATACATTAAGTAACAATTTAAAAATAAAAAATTTTTACAAAATACAAAATATACATCTTTAATTCAAGACTTATGGGAGGTCAAAGAACATCCTCCATGTGATTGAAAGTGAAAGTGTGTCCATGTCTTTATAGTTAATTTCTTAAAGGCCTGAGGTTGATAGTTTAAAACAGAAGAAAACATTTGTTGGTATTCACATCTAGCTGTGGTTATTTATCTTAATTATACCAGTACTTATGTAGAGATTGTATGCACACATTATAATAATGAGAATCAAGAAAGTGATATCAAACTTGATGAATAAGAATGATATGGCAGTAAAAGTCATGCTTCTTGCCATTGTCTTCATTTGATTTATTCATACTGAAGAAAGTGCTGAATATGCATTTACTTAAATATGTATTATTATGATAAATTAGACAAATACATTGATAAATGTTTTCTGAAGTTCAATTTTATTTTTCATAACAGATTTATTTGAATTTTCTATTTTAGCCTTAGCTTTACAGTAAAATATGGGGTGAAGTTTTAAGACAAACATGAAATATAACTTGGAGACCAAAATTGCATAATTGTTGTCAACTGTATAAGCAACTGTGTATGGGCAGTTCCATGGGCATTGATGCTCATAATGTGTTAAAATTTCAGAAATATGTTAAGTTTATTTAATTTCTAAATCAATACTTTTTCTTTGATTTGCTTATATGCAGACAATTTGAATAGCATGTTTTCACAAATTACTAACTTTCATTTTGGATATTTAATTAATTTGGTTGTCCCTTGTGCATTTAGTTCAATCAAGATATCACTAGGATTAAATTTAGAAACGATGCTTTTAATTATAAAACTTAATTTTGTTAATTACATAATGTAATTTCATTCAATTTTATTTTTAAAATAACCAAATCTCATAGAATCTGACTTAAATTCTGGCATTATTAGTTTAATAAAGTTGCGAGTACAGAAAGCCATTATTCTATGGTATATTATGCTCTATTATTCTAGTCGTTGTTTGTGGAATATTTATTTTTTAAAATTTTAACAGATAAATATATCAATAAAAACCAATAACCCAGAATCTGAAATTCTAAAAGAATACATGAGATCAAAGGGAGCAGAAATAATTAGAGAAAAATTAGCAATATATATTTCCTCGTTGAAAGAAGGTACATTTACTTTTATTTAATGAAAATCACTTTTAAGAAATAACAAGGTATTAATTTGATATATTTTTAATAGAATTTTCTCAAGGAATGATATTACCAACTAAAGATAATACTGCTCAGTTAAATGTGAAGCCAACGGTAAAAAAACCTACTGCGCCCGTAAGTTTATACTAGACTATTAAGCATTAAATTTTATATTTGAGAAATTACTTGTTTTAATTAACAAAATTTTAAACAGCAAAACAATCAGATATCGGCCAAACCGGCGAGTAACGTTGGCGTTCCAATGGAAATGACCAAACTTTCGAGTACGGAAAGTTTCAAGTGCACTGCTGAAGAATTTTTTAATGCAATGACCATTAAAGAGGTATGGTTTTAATTTTTATAATTTATTTTTATTATAGAAGAAATACAAATGTGCTGTTGTATAAGATGTAATATCCAGCAATCCCCATGGGATTAAGAAATGAATAAAATTATAAACACTGGATATGCACTTGTACTTGAAATTGGATCTCCACCCATGGTTGTTTCTTTATGAATATGTACAGTACAAATTATATAGCACTGAAGAGTGGTTGAGAGTTCATGTTAACCCAAAATGCATATGTAGAAGAAAGAATTGAATAAATTGTATGTTTTAACCTTTGGATATTTTACTTGCTGAACAGAATACTATACCTATATAGTATTTTATTAGTTAAAACACGTAAGAATACAGCAAGCCTATAATTAAGAAAACTAAGGATAAGTTGAAACTAAAGACAGCATCCCAATTCACTGGGTTATTTTTTTCTTGTTTTTGTTTAAAAATTGGATATTTTATCCTATAAATTTAAATGAATAAATATTTAACTTTTTTTATCCATGCACTAAAATTTTTAAATTTTTAGATGGTGCAGGCTTTCACTCAAGGACCTGTTGTACTGCAGCCTGAAAAGGGAGGAAGATTCGAATTCTTTGGAGGGAATGTGTATGGTACCTTTATTGAGCTGGTGAGTTGTTGTTGTTTGCTTTTGTAAAACTGTGTATTTTGGCTTACTAAACTTTAGTCAGGCAATACTTACTTTATATATTGTAACAATTGTTTTATTGATCATAACCTATTTGGTTATGTAAGCAATCTCTGATGGATGGCATAAAAAATGTAATGCTTTTTCTATGGGGAAAATCTTTTTCCAAAAATTCTCAAAAATTGATATACAGTAGCTGGCATTTTTGTTTTTTTTTTTTTCATTAGAATTCTGTCATCATCCACTTTTTGAGAGTTTTCAGAAAAGTATACTAAAACAAGATTGAAAAATTCATGCTGTTTTTTGGTGAATTTTAACCCTCTCTTCTTCTTGTCACATGTTAACATATTTTTCAAACCCTTCTGATTATTGTACTTTTTAAAAAAGAAGTGGAATTTGCTTTAAGAAGTTTTATTTACAAGTAGCTTACTCCAAAACTTGCACTTGTTAAGTGTTCTTTTATTGAAACAATACCGAGAGGTGCTACTTTGGTTTCTGTGCAAACACTTTTGAGGAGATTTTCCATGTCAATAAATACTTTGTCAATCCATTCAATGTTTTCAGCAGTCACATACAATCTTCATCATGAGCTCCCTCTACTTTCTGGCTGCAACCTGCACCAGTTGTTCTTTTCAACCAACTAGAGCAGTGTTTTCCAAACTTCTTTTGAGCCACTGACCTGTTAGTTCTACAAACTTATACCCAATGCTCCAACCCACTTTCCCTTGTTTGAGAAAGGCTTGGAAATATTCTTAGAAAATCTTTTTATGAACCTCGTATCTGTGTACTTGCTATATATTTTCTGCTTCTGGAAACCATTAAACAATGTTTTTTCTTACCCATTTTAACAGAAGAAAGGGAAAGACTGTCAGTGACCTGAACCCTTGTCTAGGGTCACTGTTTGTTCAGGACCCTGCCTCCAGTGCCCTCCTGCCACTCCCTTGCTTCTTTTCAACCCCTAGATTTACTCACCACATCTTGGAGTGAGTGGTAGTGCCCATTTTGGAAACCACTGGACTAGAGCTTGGCCTTGAATTGAGACATGATATAATCCATAATTGTCAAATGTCCAATTCTGGGCAACACATGGTAAATAATATTATGACATACTATTGGGCCACTGTTGCCACATCACAACCAACAGTTCTACAGCTTTGGTGTTTTTATTTACATGCAAATCCCCATAGTTAGTGGTGCCTCTAGAGTTTTGCAATATTGGTTACTAAGAGTTACAGAATAAAAGAGCAATGTGTATATAATTTTATTATACAAATTTCCACCCAAAACCCAATTTGTATATTTAGTAAGCAGTGTCTCCCTCTCTTGACATGGATTGTCACATTTCTTAAATTCCTCCCCCTTGGGGCATGATGCCATTTATGGATGACCCCCATGGAAAAAGTATTAAATTTTTAATGCCATCTACTGGAGATAGCAGGTGTAACTAAAGAGGTTACAATTGGCCTTAATAGGATTTTCATCTGTAAATCTATGTGTGACTGTGGAATGTTTATTTCAAAAAATTAATTTAGATCTAGAAACTTGGATTTTGAAATGTGCCTAAAAGTTTAATAAATTTACATATTGTAACATCTTTATTTAACATTACTTAAATTTTATTTTTGTTTTTTTTGCCAAAAAAACTAATGTCAACATTACAGAATTTTAATATTAGATATTTTAGACTTTTTGAATCATAGATGATGATGATGAGAGTGAGAGAGGGAATAGTAGTATTTAAAAACTTTTTGTAAATGGAATAATGAATATAAATCTTCAAATTCCTTCTTTTCTTAACTTCAGCAGTTATTTGGAAAATAAATTTCAGTCAGATGTGTAATAATTTGTGACTGGGTCAGATTATGAAACAGGATTGTCCCGGGTAATCTTTGTTACAAATAAGGGCCACAAGTTACCTTTTAAACTACAGAAGTGAATCCATGGGATCGATTGGAGTGTAGATAAAAATATATGTTGGATATGGTAGATACACTAGAGTAGTCTAATATATCAATACATAATAATTAATCATTTCTCATTATAAACTATTAGATAAAGTAAGAGTCACCTACAGTATTGATTATGGAAATTGCATCACCTATGATATATATATATATCAAAAAGATATTGGCAGATGTGCAGAGTACCATATTCTAAACTGTGATCATTTGTAATAACATATGTAGTGAGAGGAAACAATTGAAATTTTTTTTAAGTTTAATATGGCATTATATGTACAGCTTGTTTTGCAAATCTTGGCTGAGTGATGCACACACTACTGTCAGCATTCTGAGCTAGTTTGGTAACTTCCAAACTTTTAAAATGTGTAGGGACCTCATCAGAAATTTGTCAATTTGTTCCCTTTGTTAAGTAAAGTTACTGTGCATTTTTATGGCCCTGCCAAGATTTGTGAAACCAACTGTAAAAAAGTGTCATTAAACTGCATGACCTTGCCAATACCATTTGACAAATATTGACATAAAAACGGTGCAGTTCAGTTTTGCTGTAAACTAATTCTTTTGTTTTTGCTTTTGTAAGTAGGCTTGAAAAATGCTAGAAGTAACTGACTGTTTGTAGGAACAAAAAATCCTAATATATCATTGAGTCTAACAGCTTTGCAGTACTTTTGTATAGACTAGACTAGTTCCTTCTTTATACCTAACTCTTTTAGATGCTGTTTATTTTCAAGTCTTTTCTCTGCAATTTTTATCTGTAATATGCCAGTAGTACCTCAGGATACAAAATTAATCCATTCCGAAACTCAGATCATATCATGAAAATGTCGTAAAGGTGAATCATTTTTTCCCATAGATTACATGTAAAACTAAATCCGTTCCAACATGAAAAACATACTCAAATTAAAGCTAGTAGTACATTGAAAAAAAAAAAAAAAACTTTAGTAAGGAAAAGGAAAACACTGAAAAATGTGTTTTGTAGTTGTAAATGTATAAATAACCATAATAGAATAATAATTGATAAAGTGCAAATAAAACTACATTTTTTTTTTATCTTTTGAGGATAGACAATGGTGGAGATGTAAACTGGTGGCAGAGGAGAGGGAGAAGGGAAATGATACTAAAACTTAACTTACATAACATAATGTAACAATAACTTAAAAACAACTTAGATAAGATAAAAAAAATTAGTGTTGTTTTTATATATATTTTTTAAATTTTTATTCACTGCTTTTTGCTTTCTTTCCTTCACTTCCACTGGCACTTTCACTGGATAGAGGTCGCTTGGTAAAATATCTATCCAAAGAGGTTTGGCTTTGCCTACTTTTTAAAATGTTTCTAAAATGACTTAGGCAAATGTCATTACTCTGAGCAGCAATACGGCCAGTGGGAACCTTTTCGGGATGTTTCTTTTCAATAAAATCAGTCACTTTCTGATAATACCTCAAGATTTCCTTTATCGAGCGAGATCCTTCCATGACGAAGCAAACATGCGGACTGAGACTGATGAACAGAAGGAACATGTGATCATGGCGGTGGTGCTGCGAACTAATGTAATGTCGTATGGCGAGTTTTTGTTCGTACCATGGAGCAAAAATATGTTTGAATTTCATGTCATATGCTGAAGCGTTCGTATGTAGAGGTATTACTGTAGCTCTTGATAGGTTTGATGCCAGGACTGTTACCAGGTCAACTTAGGTATTGATTGAGCTTTTTGTAGGAATTTTTTTACCTAAACAATAAATTCTATATTACTTTACAATTTATCATCATTATTGTTACTTAGAGAAAGAAATCAGTGTACTTTACTTGCTGTGGTAATGTGGAAATCGTCCTGGAAAGTAAGATATCACAGGAATTGCTCCTTTATATTTTTTAACTCTCTGCCTTGTGTGCAATAAGTGTGCTTCTTTGCTCCTTGATCGTTAGAATTAACTTGATAGATAAGATGTTTTTGTAGCCTTCTACATTTGTAGACTCATTTACTTGTAGTCTAACATCTTTACTGGCTTTGCATTCCTTTGTCATTTGACTCACCAGACTCTATTGAGCAACCTACTGTAGGCATCACCTTTTTTTAACGACTAACATAAGGGTTGTTGTTGGATTCTTGCTCGTTAAATTTGGATTTGTCAAAAAAAACAATGGAATTTGATATGTTTTGGTTAGTTCGTGTGCTATCTAGAATAAGCCACTATCTGTGCATTTTATTTGTCTGTAATGGCTTCTTATATAAATGGTAGATACAGTAGAGCCTCGAAAACTCGGCCTAATGTGGACCGAAGGGTGGCCGAGTTTGTGAAAATGCCAGGTTATCGGGAATGGGGTTAAAAAAGGATAAGTATGCGTGTTTCCTCAGAAAATATTGTACTGTACTTGTATGTATTGTTTGCTTGAGAATACAACAGAGAATAAACTGCCCAAATACCCTTAAACAAAGGAAAAGTACGTCCTTTATGAAGGCATAGAGCCTTTACTACATGAAAATGAAAATTAATGAATACACTGTGTACAGTAATTTACCTGATAAGACAGATCTCAGAAAAATACTTTATGAGGCATAAAGCTGTCTATAATGAAAATTAATTAACTAAGGATTTTTTTGCCCTGCCAGGGTGTGGCCGAGTTAACCGGAGTGCCGGATTATCGAGTGCCGAGTTTTCGAGGCTCTACTGTATTTAAATCTAGATTGCAAAGATGCTAATGTAATTTTTGCACTTGCTTTATGTCAGTCTGTTCTTTCTACTTTTTGAACCAAAATAGTTTGGAAGAAATAGCAGTATGTTTTCAAGGGCAGAAATTCTTCAACATTCTATCCCAGTGACACAGCTTTCAAAGTTTCCATTTTCAAGCATGCTTTGTAATAAATGCACAATTGTTGACACATATTCTGTCTACAATGTGATATTTAACAAGAGGATAAACCTTAGGCATTCAAACAACAATTATGGACTTTATGCAGTGCTAACTTTCAAAACCTCCATATTTTCATTTTTCTTCACAAAAGTGCATCCCTCTGTGTGAGTGTTTGTAACCGATAGGAGACTGTCAGCCAATGATAAGTACTCTTATGTTAGTTGTGGCAGTGCAGTTTTTTTTCCCCAGGTCTTTAGCAAAATGATCACACTTTTTTATAGGATTTTGATGAGTGAAATTTCCATGGTTGCTACTATAACTCTGACAATTTACATAAAACTGTAATTTCTGTAAATTAAAAGAATATTTTGATTTAAATAAGTATGGCACTAGATTTGGATCTTTTTCAAGATATCCATCAAGATCAGGATAAATTTAATTTAAAGGTTATCCACATTACAATCGGGTCTGGTCAGTCATCTTGCATTTTAGCTAATCGCAGAATAAGTTTTAACCACCCAAAATTATTCAGTTAACCTTTCAACAGTTTATCCTAAACATTTAATCTTGTAATACATCTGTCAAATAAGCTGCATTTTACTTCAGGGTTAAACTCTTAGGTTCTGTTGCATAAGTAGTGTTTAACAAAAAATAATTATCACATCTGTAGTATGTATGTGTATAACAGTAATAGTATGACACTGTTTATTTGTATTGACACCATTTGTTTGATTTTTTTCTTATCTATCCGTCGTCCAACAACAATAATCAAAAATTTATTTGACAGATTCCCAATGAGAAGATAAAACAGCACTGGAGATTCAAAACATGGCCAGAGGGACACTACTCCGAAGTGAACATAGAGATCGATCAGAAAGATGACTGCACCGAAGTGAGGCTGACCCAGACAGGAATTCCCAAGAACGACCTGGACAGGACAAAGGAAGGATGGAAGAATTATTACTGGCAGAACATGAAGAGAGCTTTCGGATTCGGAGCCATTCTGGTTTGACCCCGGCACCCCGAATAGACAGTGGAGCCCATCTCCTTTCCGGGTCGGGTCAACCCCTTTAGGCTTAGCCATTTTTGTACATTTGCCGTAACAATATTTAATTGGACCGAACCACACCTAGATTCCAGTTTACATAAATCTCTCATTTATTTATGTACTTAGTCTGCATTGCTCCCACACTTTCATTTCGTTGCACACTTTGGTCTCTCTAATGAGTATCGCCTTCTCAAATCGTCACAATCCTTTGTAAAAAAAGTAAGACAAATGAAGTTCTGGATGTATATCATCATTTGAAAAATAAAATTTAGTGGGAAGTTCTAAGTGATAATTGTGTCTGGTATTTTTAATGATAACAGTATATGTGATACTCAAAATGGTAACAGAAGTGGGATGGATGAAGTTTGGAGAAATGAAAATTGGAAGGCTCTGGTCATATATGGGGGAAATTGGTTCTTTGGTATGCTTTCTTCACTCCAAAGATTGTTATAGATACTTCTAAATATGGGAGAAATCATCGAGCCTCCTAGGGTTTAATACTTGTGTTTGAGTATTAGATATCTACATCTGTTTATTGAATTCTGGTATCTTCTACTACTACTAAATAATTTAATTATACGGTATAATTTAGCAAGATATGCACCTAACACCTGCCTGTAGTGCCAAATTACCTAGCATTTAATTAGTAGTATAGCCTAATGTAATTTGGCAGACATTTGGCTTTAATATATCCTAATTCCACAATTCAATAGTTAATAGTTTGAATTAGAGGCGAGATATTGAAGATTACTGAATTGTTGTTTTTGATGTTTTTCATGACATGCACAGAATGAACCGTTATTACACAAAGATACTTTGTGTAATAATGGTTCATTCTGTGCATGTCATGAAAAACATCAAAAACAATGATTCAGTAATCTTCAATACCTCGTCTTAAACTTTCAATCTTTCACTTCACTATAAATATGTGATTTATTTCTATTTTATTATTTTTTAATCTTCTTCATTACATTAATTTGTGGAGTTTTTCAGGTTTTCTCTGCATCTTTAATTGTTTTGGCTGGTGTGTGACTTTGTTTCTTAGTTTGTTAAACACATCATCGCCATTATAAACAGTGTTATGGAAGCTTTATGTTATGCTATTAGAATACAAAGAAGTTTGCTGTAATATTTGTTAAATGCACGATTCTTTACTGATATAATAAAATTAACATACTGGATGGCAGAACAACTTTTCCATTGAGAGAAAATATAAAATCCACATATTGCCTGATATATAAGCGAAAAGTGCCAATGTCATTAGGGAATGGCCGACTGGTTTAACTGAAGCAACATCATGCATGACATTGCTTTCAAGTCGATTCTTTCTGTGACAGAAATATAGTACTGAAGAATGGTGATAATCCAGATTTATGTTTGATTAATACTTTTCTTTATTTTATCTCCGAATTTTTTAAAAATTTATATTTTTAATTATATAATTATGTAGTTTTATTATTGTATTTTTTGTATGCGTATGTGACCGTAGGGTCGGTGTCTCGTTGACACCACGTCAGGAGACCTAAATCTGACACCACCGAGTCTCTGGGGGACTCGGAAATCGCGACGTTAAGTCACGCGAGCGGTAGCGGGTGAGCGATTGGATTCGGAGTAGAGGTGAGGAGAGAGACAAGGAAGTAATTTACTCGGATTCCATGATTGCCAACAAATAACAATTTTAATAAAAACTAAAGAAAATACAGATATATTCTATCCCTAATTATACTATTCCATTAGAGAGAGAGAGAGTTTACACGCGAACCGCGGGTTGATAAATACCTTGCTTCTGGGTCGAAGGATCTGTGGTCACGCCAATGATGATATGCCGATGGAAAGTTCAATCTACTGGTTCTGGATCTTGTCCGTTCACTGGGGTGGAGGCACAGAGGTGTGGAGATGTTATCCTTAAACAGGCACGATCTTTTCCTCTCTGTGTTAATCCTGGGCCACGATTTTAATTCGGGAGTACGACTCTTGTTGAGCGGACCCTGTGAAGACGACTTTTGTAGAGGGACTTCGGATGACGACTGACCTCGGGGTCTTTTTTCTTTTCCCTTCTTATTCCTCTTGGGTTTTTTTTCCATGAGGTCAGGTGGTTGCCGTTAAGGGTCTCGCATCCAATATGGATTCTCCATCAAAAGTTCCTGGTGACACATCTCTGACTAGCTGGATCCGACTCAACAAGGAACAAACTCCGTGGGAAATAATTTTTATGGCTTTTAGCATAACTCGATAAAACGCTCGAATTTAATCGATTAAATTTTCCAATAATTAAAATTTAAAATAACACTTTATTGTGGGTCTGTTCGTCCCTCACACGTAGATAAAAGAAATATCTTAATTTTATTTAAAAAATTACAAAAAACGCCAGGCCCTTGAAAAATGTACAATGTGATGGACTCAGTTGTGTTTATCTTTAGTAATTACAGTAAAATGTCTAACTCAAATTTTCTCCAAGTTGAAGATTTTGGGGTCCCCGACACTGATTTATGACTTGAATTTTAATTACGATCATTTTGGATAAAATAAATATTACCAGATTTCCATGAAATTTTCAGTTGTATCTACTGTCCAACACCCATTTGCAGACAATGTTCTAGTGTAAAACAAAATGACCCCTCGCTTTATCTCAACAAGATAAACTGTACAAGCATGTTCAATGTACTGTACCTGCAAAACTGTTCAATTCCGTTAATTACATTGAACATTTTTGCCAAAAGAACATTACATGGGCTGTTGTAAAATAAAAAGTTATCAAAGATTCTTTATATAATGCAAGAGATAAAAGTACAAATCTATGCAGAATTGGCATTTTTCACTCTTGTTATTTAACTCAAGTTTTTTCCTGTCCCTTTGGAGCTTCAAGTTAAGGAAGTTTTACTGTAAGTACTGTACATCTTTACTAATAATGTGACTTTTTCTATTTATTATCTCTAAAATAACAAACTTGAGTACTTTTATTTTTGAAGTTGAATTCCTAAACTTCCCTCTTATCAAGTGATTTCTTAGTTGTTTTGGTGACAGTCGATAATTATCCCATGAGATACTGACCAAAAGCATAAAAGAGAGAACGGCAGCCATTAAAAACAAACACAGACACTTCACTTCCCGTCAGTTAGGGCTGAAACCATCCTTATCTAATTTGTAGTTCGGGAAGGTGATTTTTGTAAGCCATTAACTTTTCGATTGCCAGGTTGGATCAAATGTGAAATTCGAAACAGATGTCTACAAACAGCTGCAGCAAATCCATGGCGTGTTTCTCCGGCAAATGGGGTTTAAGTTGCCATAACACAACTCTCAACATTTGACACTGAATATTTGCAGATCCTCAAATAGTTTTTTTTGTCAATTCTGGAATTTGTATCACTTGCATAGATGGGTGTGTACTTTGTTTCAGTTGGATCGATCTGCAAGATCGGATTGGTCCTTGTCACGTGATACAGATCACTTCCATCATGCATGTTAGTTGGCGGAAAGTATACAAGTTGGACCAAATGGTATTTACTCTGCCATTAAAATTGTTCACAGAATGTAACTTCCCAATCTTGCAAATTCTTCAAGTACTTCACAAATTGTACCAATAATGAAAATGTTGATTCTAATGAATTATTGTAAAATAAAGTACTAAACAGAGTTTTCAGCAAGTCAGTACTAATTTCAGGTGGAGAGCATATATTTTAAATTAAATAAATTAAAAATTGCAGCCTGGCATTGTGACCATGTCACAATAAACAAGCGGTTTGCCCCTGTACATCATACTTAACCAGCACGACTTCATTGTTAAAAGAAATCTAACTCTTCCAGAGAAAATTTTTGAACTGAAATAATGTGACTTCTGGTTTATACTGGAAGTTTGTATATAGTTAATTGGAGTCTCCTGTCCCTAACTTTCCTGACAATTTTGTTCACCCTGTTTGAAGCTTAATAACTCCTGTGTCTTTTGTAGAAAATATCTGAAATTTTGAGGGATTGATGCTGTTAAATTTTGGTGGTTAAAGGTAGAGAGGTTAGGAGATAATAGGAAAAAGCTTTTAATAATAAAATATCATAACAGATGGTGCCACAAAATGTTGCTGGGAAAGTTAAGCAACTCCTTGCTGAATTTTTTAAAATGTTTTTCAAGACAAGTTAGGGGATAGTGGAGATCTTGACCCACCACATATATCATTACATGCATTTCTGCACCCACATCACTTAAATTCTAATTTTATTATGTTTATGAGGTTTCAGGTAAAGAGAATGGTAGTAAACATTAAAAATGGATTGTTGTAAGACTTGGGTATGTCTTTAAAGCTCCATCTCTCTAGTTTCCTTGTGAATATAAAATGTTTAATCTGTTCAACCATAATACAAATTACATTGAAGCAAATATCAAATAATTGATGATGGTGGTGCACTCTGGAGTTAATCTGGACTCTCTAAGACTACTAAAGATAACAATAAATATTATATACAGGGTTTTTTGTAGTTACCATAGCATATAAGCATAGAAAATTACAACATTCACCAAAGCAAGCATATGATGCACACCATAATTCTCGACAAACCACTTGTCGCTGGTGCTCCTATTTTGGCCATATGTTTTATTTAATTTTTAGCTTCTCACCAAGGATTTTGCTCATTGCTATTTGACAAATGACATTCATAACCCATTAAGAGAAGTAAAAATTATCATCAATGGCTGCCTGATGCAAGTGAATCTTGTCAGATAGCCAATGTAGTAATCTGTAAGTTTGTTAGTCTTTCATTTACTAAAACTGCAATAGAGAATTGAATTACACATTGATCTTCTAGATAACCTACATATGATTGTTTACATAATTGGTCGTAAATGGATATAACAATTTTTACTTTTTACCTGTTCTGGCAATGAAAACCATCAGAAATCAAAACTGATAACCATTTATGGTCTCTTATTAATCTAAAAGCTTGGTTTGGTATTTAGGTACCTACCTACTTGCCTGGTTTGGTAAAGATTAAGTAGGTATTTACTTAATCTTAACTAAACCAGCTCCTCTAATCTCCAAAAATAAGCAGTATCTATCTGTTAAATAACTTCACTAGCATGATGAATTAGGATCAGTTTTACATAAATTATTCTTATACGATATACTAACACATTTTATTATTACATATCTAATTAACAGTTATTGTCTTACAAAGAAACACAAGTATGCTGAAATTCAAATGTCATTTTAAGTATGTAGGAACGTCACCTTTTTCTTTTCAAATTTCGATAAAGAAATTGCTGTCAAAGTTAATAAGGATGTGGAATTTTTTAAAAAGTTAATCAACCTGCTTCACTTGTTTTGCTTTCAATATTATTTCTCTGCAATTGTAAAAAAAATGTAAAAATCTTGCTCAAATAAAAGTAGGTTTGTGAATTATTAAAATTTCAGAAAAAATAATAACGAAAATAGAAATGAAAAAGATATTACAATGCTTCAGTTTTAACGTGTCCTTTTATACCTATTTTATATATATATATATGAGGCTCTGGACAGGTCTGAACGTTCATCAAAATTCACATTAAAATTATATATGTTAAAAAAAAAATACACGCTAGAAATAAATTTTTGTATGAAAACATGATACGAACAATAGAAGAATGTAAGTTCACAAGTCCTAAGATCGACCATCTCCAGTTGAGGATCAAATTAAACATTGATTTTGGCCTCTCAAAAGCTGATATCTCATTACACTTGGTAACAAGTGGTCTATCTCTTTGGTCACTTTTCCTTGTTCTTGCTTTCTATCAGAATGGGAGATTGAGGATAGAAATTAATAAAAACCAACCATGGTGCAGGTGCAGTGGGTGCAAGGCACCCAATGCACCTCCGCCATGGTTGGCCCTGTTCTATATGTTCAAAATAAACAGTTACATCAAAGCAATTGCAATTACTGTTTACAGTATAATTAACAATGGTAGTTGAGAAATTGAGTTTGTCCTGATTGGTACGTCTGTTTCATTCTTGTCATTATTGGTCTTAATCCTGAAATACGTATTAGAGATCGACTTCTTGTTTCGTAAATTGTTACCAATCACTGGATTAAGTAAAAACTTCGGACAAATTAGACTTAATGAAAATTTTGGACAAAATTGAAAATCATTCCATGTGTGTGTAATTATTCTGTAATTTTATTTATGAAAATTCTGTAACTTGTACCCTGTATTTTTCCAACAAACAGCATTCAAATTCCATTTGTAGGCAGAATGACAATGAAGTAATGTATTGTGACAAACAGAAGACCTTGTCTTAAAAATTTTAAATGAGGATAACTTTATGCAAAGTTTCTTTATTTGTATTTAAATCAATCTGTAATTAATCAAACTTTCTTTACAGAATGTGTCAATTTAACTTTCTTCCCCATCATTTTTATTCTGCAGTTTAAGAAAATAGATTTATGGTATCTTATCAGTACATTTACTGTATAATAATAAGATAATTTTAAATATACAGTAATTGCACACTAGAAATTTATTTTCTTACAAACTTAATTCAGAATTTTAGCAATTGTTTTAATCTTCAAAATCACAGTAACTGAGTAAAATTATGATAGTATTTATGTAGACCAGTGTTTTTCAACCTGTGGGTTGCGACCCCCAGGGGGGTCGCAAAGCCTTACGCGGGGGTCGCGGGTAAAAGAAAAAGACAAGTGTTTGTAGGTCCTACACTACAATAAATAAAACTACAATTTCAGTGAGAAGACTTTGCGTTTTTATTTTAAAGTATAGTTGGTTTTTCAATCGATATTAGGTCTCAACAGAAATAAAATTAAATACATAGTTTTAAAATCACTGATATAGTTTTAGTATGACCCTGGGGGGTTGCCAGAATTTTTTTAACTTGTAAAGGGGTCGCGTATTCAAGAAGGTTGATAAACACTGATGTAGACTAATGAAAAATGAATTATTTGTGCAAATTCTCAACTTCCTTCTGACATCAAACAAAAATATTCTATACAAGATTTATTAAAGCAAGAAGTATAAAGTGTTGAAATTATTTTACAATTTATCTATTTTAAATTCACTTATTCCATTGGATACACATTTCAAGGTTTAAACCACAAGATTCAACATTCTTTAGTTACCAAACAAAGTCAGAAAGAGAAATGCTTTAAAAATTTTTTTAACCTTGACTTAACGATTACCTCGTAGTTTTCCATTCAGATTTTTCTTCATACAGTTCTTTTAACTTCTCCAACACACGCTCTTTTTCCTTCTCTAAATGTTTGGCCCTCTCTGCATTCTGTCTCAGGCGACTTTCCAGGGTCTGCAGCAAAGGTCCGCTCACCACTTCCGCAATATGACACAGGGATTTCGTATACACTGAAAAAAAAAAATAGGTGTGATTCCTACAAAGTGATAGTCAAACAAACTTTTGAAAAAGATGCATTACCTGCATTGTTGTGTAGCCGAGTCAGCAGGTCCAACTCTGGTATCTGACAAGTCAAACTGTAGGCATCCTGCTCCTCCTGACACAGAATTCTGGGTAACTGAACCAGTGCATCTAGACAGGGACTGGTGACATGTGAAGAAGGAATGACGTGCAGAGGGATTTCCAGTCTCATATACCTATTTTAAAAAATTAATTTGTTTTTATTTGAAAAAAATCATACAATTCCTAATGCAAACCAGTAAAAGAAAAATGTGATAAACTAAGTTTACTATTTCATTTTAATTTTGCTTATAGAAAACATCTAATGAATTAAAAACAAATATGCTCTAAACTCTTTCTTTCAAAAGTTTGAGATGTATTTTTTTAATACTCAGAGTTATGTTTAAAACTGCATACATCTTTCCTAATTGAGCGGTGTTCTCTTAACCATTGCACAAATGTCAAAGTTGTTGCTAACTTCTCCAAAACCACTTAACCAATTTAAATAAGTTTTTGCATACAAATAGAAACCACCTTGGTCTAATAAGGAGAAGGTTGTACATTCGGGTCTCTGGTTCAAACAAAACTGGTGATCATATAGCTCCCATGCAAACAGTTCCTTGTTCAAATAATAGGATCCACTTCTTAAGTGTTTCCAAAAAAACTATCCTCTGAAAATTGTGTGTTTATCTTATAAGTCTGGAAGCTCCACATTTCTTCAGAATAGTGATAGCTCAGTGGGTAATGTGCTAGGCACCATAGGTACAGGATATGTTCGATCCTTTGCAATTTTAGTTTTTTTCTTTTTTTTACATGTAACATAATGCTAGTAATAGGTAAAATAAAATTATTATTATTATTCCTTGCATTTGAAGCTTATAGAACAAGATTAAAAAAATCATGATTTCATAGCATCTAACCAAGAATTAAAATATATGTCATCACAAGCAAATAAACTTCCGATATTACTGCTCACGGACTGAAAAAAAAAATGGTATGAAAATGGGTAGCATAGTTGCAGCGTTGTTTTTAATCGTTAATGTTATGAACAATTTCCTTGTGTTCTCATGTTTGTTACACTTCAAATATAATAAAACCATCAGATCTTAAAATAAATATGAAGAAATAAAAAAGTTTATTTAACAACATAAAAGTTAAATCTACAAAGACTTCTTTTTCATTAAACAGAAAATGATGTCATGACTTTTTAATCTCTTGTTCTACAAGCTTTAAACTTCAGGAATAATAACAGTAATAATTATGCTAGTGATAAGGTAAAATAATTATGTTACACATAAAAAAAAATGAAAAAAGAAAACTAAAATCACAAAGGATCGAACCAATATCCTGTAGGTGTGATGCCTAATGCCTTACCTACTGGGCTATCACCATTCTGAAGAGATGTGGAAATTCCAGACTAATAAGCTAAACAATCAATTTTCATAGGCCAGTTTCTTGGAAATGCTTGACAAGTGGGCCCTATTATTTGAACAAGGAGATGTTTGTGTTTGGGGTTATATATTCATCAAGTTTCGTTTAATTAGGAGACCCAAACGTTTGGCCCTCTCCTTGTAAATGGTGATGCAAACAGCAAATTTAAAATTAAACCTGTGACCGGAGATACACAAGGTCAAAGTTCACTTGAAAGATGAGACCAGATATGGAAAGATTAACTACATACGAACTTCTGATGCAAACCAGAAGTCATGTTATTTCAATTCAAAAATTTTCCCCCGAAAGGTTTTAGATGATTGGTACAACTTTATTGTTAAAGGAAAAGTATGATGTACGGGCATAAGTCACTACTAATTTGAGTGGAGAGCATATATTTTGAATTAAAAGAAATCACTTTTTAATTAATTTATCTTCATACAGACTGATCATAATTTGGCCAGTAGAGCAAAATTTGCTACAATGGCTCACTTGATGGTTATATTATGTGTGTTTTCTAAAAAATTTTGGGAGTTTAAAAACAAAGTGAAATAATTTTATTTTAATTATAGATGTGAATTGATGATTATTTGAAAAATGTGGTTCTATGTAAACTCCTCTTCCTTGCTCTAAAAATCCACTGCACAACTCAATTTGTTAGAAACTTGTCCATACATATATACAGTAAGGAGACATCAGTGCCAAATTTCACTCTAGCAGAGAATTTTGAAGCAAAATAATTTCCTAAAATGAAAATTGAATTCTCTAGTATGTATACTAAATTTGTTGAGATTTGCCCAATTGTTCTTTGTATAGAGAGTACTGAACACTTATTCTTTAATTGCTATCATCCTACAGAAGAAAAGAGTAACTGATTATTATTCTGGCTGATTAATTGCACATAATGTAATTTCTCCCCCTGTTTTTCTTATTTTATAAAAACAGTCCCCATTTTGTCATTATGTGAGATTGTCTTAACTACAAAAAACTAATTTGCATTCCTTAATTTTCCAGTGTAATTTACTTTGTTAATAAAAGAATAAAAGAATTTTAATTGTAAATTTTTAATGCTACAATGGAAACATTTTAGATTAAAAATTTAAATTAAAATATTTTTTGAAATACAAAAAAAAAAAAAATAATAAATAAGAAATTATCATTCCATAGCATTGTAAGAATTTTTAATAAAAATCTTGTCTTACTGGCAATATTTGTTAAAAAAATTTATGCTTTCTTTTCTTTATTAACTGAATATTTATATTTGTTGTAAGAAAATTCTTCTGTACGTACATAAAATACTATGCTAATTTTAATAATTTAATTTAATAATTTTTGAGTTAGCAGTGTCTTGTATTCCATCTGTTTCATGTTAAAGCTACTTGACTGAAAATGTCATCGAAAAAGTCAAAGTATTTAATAAAAATATTTGCAGAATTTGAAGATTGTTAAGTTATGGAGAAGTGTAATAACAAATAAAAACCAAAATGTAAATTTAACTGACCTGCTTTGTCACTCAAAATACAAACAGTATAAGTATCACTTATATTGTTTGTATTTTTACAACACCAGTATACAAATGGTAATACTTACTGAGGTGGTTCACCTTCCGGACTTTGATTTATTGATTGAAAACAAGTAACTTGAATTCTTCCATGCTGTAAAATAATTACAATAATAATATATTACTTTTGTTAAATGCCAATTATCATTTAGAATTTATGTTACTTTAGTAGATGATTCTTCACTAAAAACTGAAAATATGAGGCCCACGAATCCTTCGTCCATCATTTGATACATGGCTTGAGTCTGTACATCTAAGAATATATTTTACAAATTAATTCATTTGTATACCAATAATTTGGTAATTAGATAAACTTACCCACGTGAGATGGCCACACAGTGATGTGAGGATGTGAATGATACCAACCCAAGACTCTCATGGGGCGGCGTAAAGCCTGTGCCAATCTCTAAATTTTTTAAGAAAATTTTCAAATAAAAGCTTCTAATTCAATACATAACAAATATCTTTTAATTAACTTACTTCTGCCTGAGTTGAAGCATCAGACAACTGTTCCGGTGATATTTCCACTCTGTCTTTCCTTTTATCGGATCTCCGAAGCATGATGACGGCCGATATGTGAGAGATTCTTTTCTCGTCAATCTAAAATTTTAAATTAATAAATGAAGTTTTTCAAATTATCAAAATAATTTTTAAAAACAAATATTTTCTAATTAAATGGTCTGTTACTGGTTTTGTTGTGGATTTTAAAGAATTAAAAGCTATTGGCTTTTTTTCAGTAACATATACAAGGAGCAGTTGTCGTACAGAAATATTTTCATTGATAAATTCTATTTTTTATAAATATTACATCTCAATAAAATCTTAAAGTTTAAATTATTATTAAATTTATTCAACGAATGCAAAATAAACAAATGTTCTCTCTCTTGAAAGCCTTTATCAAATATCGAAAAAACATTTTCTTGTTGCCATAGAGATTGAATCAATGTCCTAGGAGTTAATCACTGTGACCTTTCTAAAAGCCCTCTAGATCTGAATCCTTTTTATATATTTCAATCATTGTACGTCTGCCTTTACTGGTCTATTCTGTGCAATTAAACCTGAGATGTCCAACAAATAAAACAAAAACATTAGAATACAATAAAATTTTTCTATTTTGCCAGATTTTGGTGTCAGTGAGTATTATCTTCCATCAAAAAAAAAATTTACTTGACTAAGCTTTAATTGTCAAGCATCAAATCAAACAGTAATTAAGCAAAAAATTTTGAAAAAACTATAAAAAGTTAATTTTTAATTTAGCAATCAAAATATTAATGAATAATTAGCAAAATTTTATATATATTTTTTAAATTTATACTCAATTCTGTGCCATTCATTTGTTTGAATTTTAGCTTTCGGGCCCGACAATTGTTCTATTATTAGCCAAAACAAATACAGTATTAAAAATGGTACAATTTATTCAATATTCACTTTACTTACAATTTCCTAATTGCTTATCTTGCCTCTTTTTAGTCAGATATTCCTTTGCATTTTATTCCAAAATAATTCAAGGTTACTGCAACAGCTCGGAAAAACAGGAAAAGACACCCTTTGTCATTTCTATATTTTTCCTATTTTGTAAGTTTACTTTACATTCTATAACTTTCCTAAAATCGGTTCATTCATGCAGCTCTCACTTCAGATATAAGCAAATTAATTTATTTCTTTTTCATAATCAGAACATTGGTAATTTTATTACACCTGCAAATAACTGCATGTAATATTTGTTATATTCTGAAGGATTGTTATAAATTTGCTAATATGCTGCAACGATAACTTTCATTAAAGTTTTAAGAGAGAAAACAAAGAACTTGATAAATAGAGATATATTTCTTTTTCTTCTTTTCCAAATAAACAAAAGTTACTATCCTAACAGTTATGAAATGATTTTAGATTTTTACTACGAATTCTGTCTGGATATTGTCCATATGTATTTTTTGCTTTCAATATTTTAATATTTTTTTCGTTAACTTTCAAAATTAAGAATTTGTAAATAGTTTCCGTAATATATGGTTGAATGATACTTTTTACAGAAAAAATACATTATGAGGATGAATACATGCAAGCTGAATACTTTTCAAAGTTCTCTGTATAGACATTCCCTAAATTATTAAACCATTTATCTGTTAATCATAGTGGTTTACCAGATCAAATTATTTTAAAAATTCATTGCACTTATTGTTTTTGCAAAATTATCATAAATCTTCACCTAACTGCCCACAAGTGATTATGTAAGGCACCATTGTTTTGAAAGCAATTTTTATCAGAAAACATTTCACTTACTCACTCATAAGGAATTAAGTGAGGAATGAATAATTATGTGGAAATCCACCTTTATTTTTGAACAGAAAATATTTTCTATTGGCTATCAGTTGACGATGGTTTTCTGTAAGTGTCCGCATCTGTCAAAAAGTAGGAACAAGGTGTACTCGATCCTACTTTAAACGTAATTTTTATCAGAAAATATCTTACTTAATTAACCACTCACAGGAAAGTAAGCAATGAATGATTACGTGGAAGTTTCATCCACATTTATTTAAGTCCATAAATGGGTCATTGCTAGATCTACAGGGATCCACGGACAAAACAGTATAGCAGAAACTAACTTTACAGCACTAAAAGAAAAACATTTTACTACGGATGATTAACTGAGACAGTTTACATGGGCAATTATGGAAGGATTTACAGTATTCATTTATTATTATTTTACCTTTTAATTTTTACTGTGACAAAAAATAAAATTTTTTTAATTCCATTATTTTTAATTATTCATAGATCAACTCATTGAATTGCTTCTTTCAATAGAACAAGAAACTATCAAACATTAAATGGTAGCAATTTCTGTCAATGTAGGATCTGAAAGACTGATAAAAAGTAATAGTTCTTATTTTTCAAACAAAATCCAAATTAGATGGAAATGTAGTAGTAGTATCAGTAGTAGTAGTTGTAGTTTCTATAATCTGTGCAACAAATGAACTTTATTAAAACAAAAAATAGGAAAGGCTCAAGCACTTTCAAGTACCATAAATTCATCATTGGAAACTCAATCAACCATACTCATTCAAAATATCTAGACACTGACCCATCTAAAACAATTTATGTCCCATTCTCTCACAAGACATTTACTAAATTCCTAGAAAAAACTAGTTTATTACATCATGTAACAATGCAGTTTTTCAGTATCACACAACAGGGAAACACTTTACTCTCAATGCACTTTACTAAGGCAGTAACAAAGAATAACTTAGTGTGCACATACTATTTTTTGGAAGTATTCAATTAAGAGTTAGTCACAACTGTTCTTGGAGAAAGAATTCTTCCAATTGTTTTGATTACAATCCTATCAATAGGACCATTTATTTATGTCCCATTATATGGATACCAAATTAACATTTGACATCATTTATGTGTCTAAAATAGAGGCTGGAGAGACATGTACAAAAAATGCAATAAATTAAAATTTTAAATATTTTTTTGTGTCAAAATAAATGTTCAAAGTAGAAGAAAAATTTCTAATGCATTACTTAAGCAATTAGAAGCATTTTCACCAGAAACCTTTCAAGCCTAAGAAACAAAGCAATAATATTTCTGACATGTCTCTCAATACTTTTACACCCAAATTATGCAGAAATTATCATATTCATTAAAATATATAAACATGTTAGTATGCATATTTACTGTACATAAACACACATACAGACAAGTACTTATGTATACATAAAGGTCAGTTTGGTTTAGTTTGACGGAATACAACAGTGCCAGGCTTGGACAATCTGCCAAGAAGACTTTCTACAGGAAACAGGCCCCTATTTAGACATCAGAAAACGCCAGGAAACATGATACGGTCGGCCATCAATCAAAAACAAACCCACCACCTGGATCCTATCATCTTAATTGTCCATCCACCAACTTAAAGGCCACACTACTATCTGTAATTCTTCGGACAGGTTGCTCGTTGACCCAGAAATTGATCGAATTGTACTTTCCTTATTGACAAAATACTCTTGACAATTTTTACACAATAAGTTGAAGATTTAATTGGATCCACAGAGCACATAGGAAAACTAGAATCCAAAACAGATTGCAATACATGCATCATAATAACGTAAACACAACAGATTAAAAAAAAATCAGTCATCCCCAACAGAAGGCAGTTACTGATGGCACGAAGGGTGCCACCAGAGAATCACCGAGAGATAAATAGCACAAGAAGCAGTCTACAAGATCTTTTGTCTTGCAACATGGTGAAGAGCAATGCAAGCATGGAACGAGTCACACAACAAATGTTACTGAGTGGCAGGAACTGTCGCAGTTAACCACAATGGCTTCATATCCACAGACAAAGCAAACGAAGTCCATCCAGTTTGTCAGTCGGTCGAAACATACCGTCTGGTAGATACATAAACGATGGTGTATGGCAATTGGCTAAAAATCATCCAAATGTTCAAAAATAGTACAATTAAAGCTCTGAACGAGACAGTCGGGACCTTATCAGAGCTCCATAGAAGCAAAAAAGTCAAATGAACCATACTTCTACAAATGACCCTTTGCAAGATACAGCCCCCGAAATCAGGTCAAGTAAGATGGCAAATTGCGTCGCTCCGCTACGACTATCACATTTAACTATTTAGCACAGGCAACTATGCCTGTTTCAAGTAGCCCATTCAACAGTTTGTAGAGTACTCAATGTCATATAGTTTTAGGGGGCATGGGGACTTGCCCCACCTGGGCACCGAGGTGCAAACTATACCAATGTGGAGCTTCAAACAAGGCTTGCCATTGCACGTCTCGACAATACGGAGAATAGGCAGTATACCAATATGTTAAAAATAGACCTTTACAGGCAAATATCTGGCAAAGGGTTGCACATTAGGTATGGTTCCTTTAGCTTTTTTGCTCGTATAGTTTACAATTCTGGGGGTGAGAAACCTCTAATTCAGAGCTTTAATCTTACCCCATGGGGCATCGTCGCCTATAATTAGGTACGTTCGGACAGGGATGACTATTTTTTGTCAAGTGCACGTTTCAAATCAGTCTCTTCGGCGACTAAAACTTTTGCTCCAAAGAGTCGCTCGCGCGCGACCAACTTATTTTGTCGTCTGCGAGTCCACAAATCTTTTTATGTAAGAGGTAATTAATTACACTAACGATATTAAAACGACATCGTTAAATATCGACGAGTTTAGTCTTAAAAGGAGTTTACCTCGCCTATTAACAGTCCCATGACCTCTTCCCTTTCGGTCGACAAGGAGTGGTTGAGACAGACCATGTACACGTCCGAAGGTAAATAAACACAAGCCGTGGCCATTTTTTATCCAAAAGTCAAAGCAAAATTAAAACACCGGAAAACCGTCCCGTTTCCGCTCCCAGCGCCCTCTACAAACTTTGGTCAATTACAAATTTTTACGAAATATTTTGAAATTTAAATATTTTTTAAAAATAAATTTTCTCGATTCGTTCCGAAATATTATTTCTCTCAAATGAATACGCGAAAAAATAATTTTGTTTTATAACAATTTAATTTTCTTGTATACAATTCCTTTTTTTTGTACTCTCCCCTCTTTAATTATTTAATTATTAATTAATTAAACTCTTTCGCCCTGTGGGCATTAAAAGGACCTCTTTTACCAAGCCCATTATGGGTTCGGCCAGGACCACAATGGGGTGATCGGGTGATGAAGGACGAGCCCGACACATCTCGGGTTTCCCAGTGTGGTATTTTGCCACCGTGACTGTTCGGCCATCAGACCGTCTATACTCTCCCCTCTGTGGGCATTAATTAAGGTTTGGTTTGGTTTATTTTCTTAGGGCAACGCGACTCGTAGGCGATCTTCCGAGCGGAATGTCTTCCGGAAGGACTTTTTATGAGAAATCGGTTCCTATTTAGGTGTTACAAACGCAGGAAACTCCACGTGATTGGCCCGTTGACCAAGCGCAAACCCGCGACCAACTATTAATGTTCGATGTATCCACTAAAGCTCTGTAAGATGGGTCTGGCACTAAGGAGATATTTTTCACATCCATCATGGTTTCGACCGGGCCTACAATGGGAATAGGTACAATCGAATATTTAGGGACGTGGTCCGATACATTTTGAACCCACCGCTGACGAAAACTTCCTGGAGAGTTGCCGGCCTGAATTCGATTCCGGGTCCTCCGGAGCAGTTGGCTAATGTCTAACCTCCTCGGTAGAGCTCCGCTGGACCAAAATTTTGATATGGATAACGACATTGAGTTTGATCCCCAGATTACTTAGATATTGGATAAATACTGAAAATTACCAGCACGGCACTATTACTCGGTCATTCGTCCGGCATCTCTCGATTCGCATCAACACAAATACGAGTTATCTTTCAATGCTAATAACCAGTTTTACGGATCGGCATCTTTTGTATAGTTTTGTTTTAATCGAAGCTAAAAAAAATGAAAAATACAAATACTTTAGGGAAACGACGAGAAATTCGAGCGAAAGCGCTCCGTGCGAGATTCGTAGTTTAAATCTGAATTAAAATTAATAATCAAACAATAAAATTAATTCAAGAATTGAGGCTTCGCTATTCGAACCAAGAAAGCTTATTTTTCTTTTTTTAAATTAAATTAAATATTTTTTGGCTATTTTTTTGGATGCGTAAGGACGTAATCGGGCATGCGGCGATCCAGCTGGGAATATCGAACACGTGAGTGGTAGCGCTGTTTCTTTCGATTTGTAGTAAAGCTTTAAACACTCGTATTTATATTCGTGACAAATTTAGGTTCGTATTATTTCTTTAATTATTTAACGTTTTTCAAAGGCCAATAGATGTTCGATGTTTCATAAATTCATACGAAGATAAAATATATTTTTGTTTAGAGGCCTTGTATGATTTTAGCTTTGAAAGAGACTATCGTCACGTGACCTAGATTTGTACCGCAAAACGCATCGAGTTTTACCTTGAACAGTCATTTTGGTTCGATTTGAATACATCAGTTTACAAAATTTTAGAGTAACAAATTCCAAACTTGGTGGGAAAGAAACAATTGAAAAGTGATGAGCAAAAGATAATCTACAAATAAACTTGGAAATGTTTTCTCCTTCTCTGGATGATTATGTTGATGATGATGCGGTGGCTGGACGGCTGAGGTAGTATTTGCGTATTGCTCCAAAGACAAGGAAATGAATCGGGCAAGCAGCCCCAGTAATTATTCATAGGGATCAGCTCTAGATATGTCTGGCATCTGTCCTTTGCCGTCCTGCCTCCCCGTTGTGCCTGGCCTTACACGTGTTTGGCTTAAAAAAGAGCCTTTTTAGTGCCCATGGGATGAAAAGACACAAAAATGAAAAAAAAACAAAAAAAAAATATATACATATATATACAGTCGACCCCCCTATAAGATAGAGATACGTTCCATTCTTTAGGAATCCGATTTCTTACGAATCCTTCCAATCACAACCCGACACGTGTCAAGTTTACGGACTACGGCTGATTGAAAGGTTTTCTTCCATAAAATTAATCGATTCTAGACTAATCCGACTCAACATTTCCAAAATACGTATATATTTTTTGGGAATAATCCGTATAAACTACGCTATAAACAAAAAATTGTAGGATTACTTACCGAGTGTCACCATTCGACATTGCCATTGCTCAACATTGTTTTCGTCGCGGAACAGCTCAGCAAAGAGCGGCCGATTTCTAACAACTTATTTTTCTGTGAAAACTTCGTAGAACTTCGGAGACATCATTAATATAAATAATTTTAATCGCCGTTGAATAAGAAATGTTTCTTTCACAAGAAATGTATAAAATTACAGTACTGTATTAGACTTACGGTACCTAATTTACATACTGACAGACGATAGTTAGCGTAAAAATCTCCGTAGCGTGGCGCCACGCTAGACGGCGGAAATTATATATTTAATTATAACAAAGTTACAATAAGTTAATATATAATTATATGTACAGTACCTAATTTATATATAATTTATATAATACTGTCCAGACGATAGAAATCTCTCCGTAGTGTGGCGCTACGGACGGCGGGAAAGTAGTTCGGCTGCCCGATGACGTTTGAGGTAATTATAGGGAATTTTTACTGTTTTTTATGGATACCGGTCACAATTTTTTCGTAGTTTTATAGGAATCGTAATTATAGGGACCGTAATTATAGGGGGGTTGACTGTACGTAATATATGTATATATAAGCCTAGCAGGAATGAAAATAATTTAGATTATAATTAGGGACACCAACTTTTGTGAGGAAAAGGCAACAAGCTGGAAAACAAAAACACACATACAAAAAAATTTCATTCATTTTTCAGAACATTTCCAGTTTTTGTTCTCCAAACAATTTTTAAAAAATAACTGAAATTCTATACAGTTAACAACACTATTGGTGATGTAGCAGACATTCCACTCAAATTCAATTTTTTGTCAAACTCAAAGCAATATATCTGTTGTCACTTCGTTAACTGCAATGGTGATTTGAATTTTGAGCTCTGCAAGATTTGCAGGTGAAGTGGATAAATGATCTAAGTCTTTAGAAGAAAAACTTGATGAAATCTCAGAAGAAAAAATTGAGAGGTGTCAAATTGAAGGAATAATGTGGTTGTACTTTTGGGCTGCTTGACTGATCCACCAACTCAAGAAATGTTTATTGAAGAAATCCTGACTGTCTGTACCATAATGGGGTATGAAATGGCTTTTAGAACATTTTTAAATGAACAAAGGTGCTCATTTTGGTTTTTCTTTAAATTAATGTCTAAGTTGATTCTGTAAGTGTCGATTAAAATTCTATGTGTCGTAAAGTCTGTTTTTGGATTTCCCTTTATGATGCTTTGGAATACAACTTATGACAAAGTGATTGGATGCCTTGAATGTTATCTATAGTATAATATAGTAAATGATAAAGAGTTGCTAGCAATAAAGTTGGTATCAAATCAAAAGTCACTTGAAACCTATATACCTTAAAACCAGCACAAATGTTTAATAAATTAATGTTTTCAACCTTTTTAAAAGATCTTCATAAAGTGAAGTACACCAAATCTCAATGGAAAGAAAATTACATCTGTGTTTGAATCTTACAAAATTACTGAGTTGTAAACTGTTCAGCTTGGAGCTCTTAAAAAACATTACTTGGTTTTAATATAACTACATTAACAAACTGTGTAAAGGTACTGTACATTATTAAATAAAATAAGGTGACTAAGCATGTTGAACTGCATGCATCACTTTCAGACCAGCTTGCTTATGTCAATATGTCTGTGGGACTTCAAACCATAATTTCCACTCATTTCAAAGACAAGGGATCTTTACCAATGCATAGGAATTGTGGTACGAGAAAATTATCATAAATTTTGTTATAGTTGAGAATCCTTGCCTATTGCTTGGGGATGTGGTGTTAGATTCCAAGAATCAAATAGTTAAATTGGTTATGAAATCAACCATTGGATTACATCAGGCTACTTTTCAGTGATTATATTTAAGTAATTACTAAATAATTAGGCACTACCTCTTATTAAATTTAATAATTATAATTAAATTAAGCAATTTAGAATATTCCGGAGTGCGAATCTGCAACTTCTGCTTATTGTACAGATGCATTGCCAGTTACGCTACCTGAGCCTCCAGTCAGATCTCCTCTTCCAGACAAATTCAAATATAACTATCCTTACTGTTATTTACTGTGCTAAGTGGGAATGCCTTCAGCACCCTTGTCCTACTCATATAAAAAAGATACATCCAATATAAATTAATAGTTAAGTTCTGTTAGTAAGCAGCTATTTATAATTTAAAGTATATTTATATATTTTTAATTTTGTACACAAAGTAAGGCAGAAAATTTTTTCATGTTTTGCAGTATACTGTGATTCAAAAACATTGGAGAACCATTGGCATAGAAGGTTAATAGGGCATATGATCATGCATTGCAAATAAACTAGTGAAGAAATGATTGTTATTTTTAAAAAAGATATACAGTATACAGTGTGTCCCATAAGTATGGAACTATATGAGTTATGTCAGTCTTTGTTTATTCTTCTACAGGTAAAGCATGACACTAAGTAAGCAGGAATAAATCAGTTACTTTGATGGTGGAATCCTGAGAAGTTGCCAAAGAGTTTAACGGGCTGCATCCTGACCACCAGGTGTGGTCAGCAGAATGTCTGAACGTGGCCCATTAAACTCTTTGGCATCTTCTTGCCGACTACAGGTCCCTGCCATCAAAAATAACTGAAATTCATTTCTCTTTATTTAGTGTTCATGCTTTACTTAAAAGAAAAAAATAAACAAATATAATTCCTATGGTTACAGACTTATGGTATATTCTGTACATGCACATATTTGTGTGAGATTCTTTTTTATTGGTAATTACAATAACATTACACTATTTTAATAATTTTTTGTTTTTTAAATAGCTATATAAAGAAAAACAAGAATGACTATTTAAAATACGTAGATGGGAAATCATGCAGCAGTTTGAAATTCTTTAGGGTATGTATGTAAATCATTGTTACCACTGTTGTTAAACAATATATGTTGACAAGAAAACAATTGTATATTAATTAAATACACTTTTACATATTTTAGTACTACACATATCTAGTCTTAAATTTTCAATGAAAAAAATGGATTAATTCAGTTTGGAAAGTTTCTTAGTTTTGATCATCTTTAATTCAATGCATTTTTATTGGATCCATTCTTTATTAAACACAATGACAAATGTTTGAAACGTTTTTTATATTGTAAAAATGATCCTTTGCTAGATATAACTCTCTGCTAATAAGTTAAAAATTGCAAACATTCATACAAAAGAATTCAATAAAATTTTATTTTGTTCTTCTAATTTTATCATGTAGTTCTCAAGTAATTATATATAGATCTATTTTTGCTCAATCTTTTCAAATTAAATGAACAAATTTGCAGTTATTAGTAAGATTCATGTTTGAAAAGATGCCTTAAACTTGAGTTTTTATTTATTTTATGCTATGGATAAATTGTATAAGCTAGTGTATAAAAAATCAAAATAATGTATTGTATAAAATCTTTGTCATTTTATTTACTACACATTGCAAAAAGATAAAATTTTTATTTGTTAGAGGAAGAGACTCCTGCATTCACACTATAAACATAGTTTTAAGATAAACAAAAGTTTTTATGTTGATCAATTTGAGGATAATTTTGCAGTTGTCATTGTCCACATCCTAGAGTTAATCGATTATTTTACTTGACAAATCTAATAATGCTAATTTTACATTTTTATCATATTACACACAATATTGAAAATTATCACAATAGAATGTAAATTTGAATGAAAAATAAAGTAATCCAATTTAAAGAACAGATATTTAAGTTAAACAACAGTAAGAGATTTTTGGTATTGTTTGAAATATTTATTATCCCTTACTGTACTGAATTGTATGATCTTTGATGATCCAACTTAGCATCCAAAAGAAGAATCCTGTTCGAATGTGATTTGCTCTCAGGCTTTTTGAAAGCAGTATAAGTTTCCATTGCCCATTAGGATGACAGGTTGTCAAAAAATAAACAAATAAATAAATAAATATGTAGCATGTGAAGTAGCCAACTGCCATTATTTGTGCCGATAAACCAATTGGTAATATGGAAACAAATAATGGCAAAGATTTTTACTTTCACAAGTAAGTTTAAAATGCAAAAATTGAAATATAAATCTATGTAAAATCAAAGAACAAACTTTCTTTTACCCAACTTTACATTTTTGGAGCTGTCACTGTTATATTTGTTTTCCAGGAAGAAGAAGTAAATTAATAACAGTTCCATATATTTTCTGAGTTTCAAATTAATTCAAGAGAAAAAAAAGGTATCTAAAGAAAATGCAAATATTTTTTTCAGTTTAAAAAATAGGAAAGGTTTATATCTATTTTAAAGGAATCTTTTCACTTTTAGGTAATTATTTTGAGGTTATCATAATTTGACTTTTGGCATCAAGTGATCTTGGCTTGAACAGTGGTCGGTATGCAGACCTCACTAAAATTTCAGATGTCTTTTGATAAAAGGTGTTTCTTGTAGATTAGGATGGAAAGTGACTATGCTCACATTTATTAATGCATATTTACATTATATGCATTTTGGTTATTATGTTACTATATTGCAAAGAGAGAGTTAAAGTCTGGTTATAGGTGTCTTTAATGGATCCAGTATAATTGTACATTTAGGTAGCATCATTCATTGTCCAAATCATACTGTCAGGCACCTTCAGATTGTCACTGGCACACTCCATTATCTATGAGCTTTTTCCTTGTTCCCAAATCTTTCAAACTGCCTCTAAAAATGAACTGTCCAGCAGATTTTGACTAATGGAGCAGCAAGACTTGTTAGTTCTCTTGAGGGAAAACATCCTTTGTGTCTGTAGTTTTTGTTTGTTGATACTCTGGGTATAATCTGTAGCAGTAAAATTAAAACTCTGTGGTGTCAATGATCAAAACTGAGATCTTGCAACTGTTTAATATATAACAGATTAAGGGAATGGTTATTTTAAGTGTTGTTTTCAAGGTTTTAGAGTGAATGAAAGAAAATTTGATTTTATATAGTTTTATGTTTTATTTTTCTACAGATTTTTGTAACAGATAGATAACAATAGATTCTTTACCTAAAAATATTAGCTGTTGCAAAATTTTTAAAATTTTCTGTTCAAGTCTTGAAAAGAATATTTTTTCTAGTATATTGTTTGTTTCTGTTTAAAAAAACATAATACATAAAAGATTGCAGTCGAGGCCAGCTTGAGGCATACGAAGTGCATGAATTCACAAAGGTACCAAAAAGAAAAAGTACTGAAGATAGATAGATCCCTTTGTATTTTTTTATATTCTGTTGCATTAAACTAATTTCAAATTACTTTTTTTTAAAAGGAAAATAAAATTAAGAGACAGAAGAGTTCTAAAAAAGACCCAAAATTAGAATTTGCTTGATAAAAAGCTAGAAAGACACAAATAATTTAATATTTAATTTGTGTATTTCTTTTAGTTAAAAAAATTTTAATAAAAAGCACTAGACTTGTTTCCGCACCCCAAATTTTCACTAAGTGAGACCAGCTCGACAAGAATTGAACTGTGCTCAATTGCTGTGATTTATATTGAAGTATTTCAAATCTTTTTGCTTGTCAACATCAAGATACAAATTGCTTGGGTGTTAATATTGACCTAGTTTATAATGTGGGATTTTCAACCTGATCTATATCATAGGAACATGTTTATAACATAAACATGTATTTTCTAATGTACAAATTTTATAAGTCTTTTATGTTTTGCTATTTTAATGAGAAAATATTTTATGATTAAGATTTTCAAAAGCATGGAAAATTCCTATTAAAATTTCATGTAGAAAGGGTTTTAATATTTTATAATTTCATGTTTGAAACATTTTTTCCAGAAAATCTTTCAATTATAGATAATAAGATTTAAATATTATTTAGGTAATTATGCATATTATTTATAAATTTGAATAAATGTCATGTTAAAGTAATAAAAGGAGAAGACAATTCCTCATTTTGATGAGAATTTTTTCTACAGTTGTCAATTTGTTCATCTGATCTTCTGAGGCTTTTTAAAAAATCCACAGAAACTAGTAATGGAAGCAATCAATTTATTGAATTGGTTTATATGTTTACAGCAATGCAACATGTAGGTGATTTGCCAAGGGGAATGCCTCCTGGGAGGACTTCCTTTGGGAAACTGGCCCCTATTTAGGTGTTACAAATATGGAGAAAACTTGTCCATGAGGCCAGCATGCTGGCACGATGCAAATCCACGATCAGCTATTGGTGTTCAATAGTTTTATCCACTTGGTCACTGGTGGGGCATATTTATAGGAAAGTAGAGTATATTCTCGCTTCTTTATGTCTTCAAACAATTATGTGATGATTTTTAATGTAATTGAAAAGACAATTACATCCAAAGTGATGTAGACAATTGGTTAATGCATTCAATAACAAATAACAACTGTATGAAAAATAATCCTATTAGAAATGCACATTTAGAAAGTTTCAGAAGAATTTGTGGACAAAAACAGAAATTATTACAATGACATGATTTTCCCAAAAATCTTATTCTTTGGTTAAAAAGTGAAAGATATAATATGAGAGAACTTTGTTAAAAACAAAGTACAGTAGAGCGTCGTTTATCCGAAAGCATTCCAGTCGGCAAATTTAAATTTTCGCTAGTGCTGTGGCACAGCAATCTTTGGCTATATCTTGGGCTACTCCAATATTTTTTTTTTTTTTGTGTGTGTGTTTTAGCTGGCAGCACTGGCACTTTTGTGTGGTGTTTTTCTGAGGACTGTGTGTCGTGCTGAATCGAACGTTTTTGATACTAGATCAACTTCTAAAGTATATTTTTTTTGTTTTTTTATTTTTCAATATATTTATTTTATTTGTACAAAATAAAAAAATAATTTTTAACGATACAATAGCCACAATTATTATTTTAAAAAGTTTTCGTTAGGCTTAATATCGACGAAAATTCAACGCGAAGCGAAACACAACGGAGAAAAATTTCAACACGGGATAGGTTAATATATTTTTCATATGTAATCGGTTATCCAAAAAATAAGTTATCCGAACAACCCCAGTCCCCAATTGATTCGGATAAACGACGCTCTACTGTAGTAATTTCTAACCAAGAGAGAGAGTGCTAAAATGACAACATAATTATACATACAGTTTAGACCCTTAAGGTTTACAGAGTGAATCAGAAATACCTGACTGTTTTTAAATTTTGATTTGCAAGCATGGTAGCCATTGACAAAATGTTATTTTTAAGACAGCAGTGATTTACATTTAATCTCCAATAAAAAAAATTATCTCTGCAAAGCAATAAATATTTACCTTTTCCCTTGAAATGTTATTTTAAAAACTGCCAGGTTTCTGGTGCACCTTTGTATATCTGTTATATCAGCAAATTGCTTATATTACTCGTATAATATACTTTGACTTAGGATGGACCTTCGTTCCTCTACACATAAGTTTGACATAAGTTTAATAAAACTTTTTTGTTGTAGCTATTAGGAAGTATGATGTATTATAGAGAAATACTTGGCTATGTGTATAGTTACATGGCTGGCACTATGGTTGTGTTCTATCATTTTGACCACATGAACCTGGCATTTGCCAATATGACTACAAATGCTTTACAAGATAATTGTCATAACTTCAATAGTCATAAGTCAAAGTATATTCATATTAGAATGTATTTTTCTATTTTATTATAATAGTTACAGGAAATAACATATATATTTTTTCATGTACAGTTTATAAATTTTTACAGTCTTTTCCAAGTAATCTTGAAAATCAGAAAAGACATTACTTTATTGGGTGAGTTATATTTTTTCAAGAATTTTGTATAATTACTTAAGGATTATATATAATTTAAATGTAATAATTACACACACAAAATATACAACTATATATTGTTTTCCTCAGAAATCATAGCTTAATCCTTAAATATACATATTATAATAGATTAAATGTTATAATTATTAAATCTCATATTTATAATTTCCTAAATTGTACTTTTTAGGTCTTTTGTTTTGTAAAATATTTAAAATATTAACACACTTATACACAGGGTGGTCATAAAGTAACTTCATTAACTAGTGGTGATCTCAGGAGCATGGAAAGCAAGGAATCCATTGAAACTTTTGCAGGATAAATATACAGTGATACATTCTTGTGATACACAAAAATAGGGCTGGAACACATCACAGTTATGGTTGATAGAACTGTAACTCAAAAATTTTGAATACGAACACCAGGAATTCATAATGTCACAAAATTCTTCATGATTGAAAACAGCATAAGTCATTGGACTGTTTGTGTACAACTGAAAACAACAGGGATATTGGTATTTGAACAACGGGAAGTGGGCAAGCCAGTACAATGACAGAAGACCCATACACATTTGCAGATGAGGGAGAAAGTGGGAGAATGTGTGCTTTGTTGAATTTCACTTGACAAATGCTTTTATACCGTGTGGCTTATGCCAAGGTAAGCTTTGACTATTATGCTGCCACCTCACTTGCAAATATGTCTTCTGTTGCAGGTATTGGGTTGCCCACTCCCCATTGCTCAAACACCAATAAATCTGTTGTTTTTCGTTCTACATACACTGTTTACTATCAAGCAGAATCTCATGACATCATGAATTACTGGTGTTTGTATTGGAAAATTTCAAATTACAGTTACAGTAAAAGTACATTAACCATAATCATAACACATGCTCTACCCCTATTTTCATGTATTGCAAGTGCATGCCACCTTGTACTTATCCTGCAAAAGTTTCAATCTATTTCTCACTTCCTGTTCTCCCAAGATTGCCATTAGCTGGTCAAGTTACTTCTGACCACCCTGTATATGTACTTTTACGCTATAGATATAACATGTGACTGAGCACGTAATCAGGAGAAATCTAGCCTCTTGTAAGATGGTTATGGACCTCTAAAGATTTATATGCTTCATTTGTGAAAGAGTGTAGTAACTTGTGTCAAAACCAAATAGTTTATGATGTCACCAAATTCTACTTTAGACCATAACTCTTGATCTACAACAAAGATGCTGGCTTTGTATGGATCAACACTTTGACATAATGAAACTTTCTCTTCATATAAAACAGTATCTCGTCCTGTCAGAATGTGAGAATAGCCTGCCATAAAAGCATCTTTTTTAGCTTTGTCTGTGATATAAATACACTGCAGTTCTATTAAGTTTAAACAGAAAAAAAGCACTGTCAACCTATCATATAATAAATCATGTTCAAGCTAAGCAAGCGTTAGCTAGAACACAAACACGACAAAGGGGCAGAGAAAATGTGTGTTTTATCATGTGGCATGCAGCCTTGAAACCTCTCTATACACACACACTGTAGTTGAGAACTTATTAATTTTAGATGCACAGGCTATGGCACCAAATGTAATAGAATGGTTGTTTTTGAGAGAAATGCTTTGACTTTTGTCTGGAGCTCTGCATTGGCATCAATCATTTACATAATTTAAAAAAAAATTTTTTCTGTAGTGTTAAAACATAATTGGTACAGAAAAACTATGTAGTATTGTCAGTCAGTTAGACACGTAACAAAATTTATCAAAAATGAAATATCTGTATGCATAATCTACACTTAATGTCTAAAATTAACCAATTAGTATTAATTCTATCGTATATATACAAATGGTTACCTATTTATCTCCCTACTGTAACTCTCAATCATAGATTTTGGATACAAATGTTTACCTGTTGTTCTTGGAGACTTATATCCTAATGTGAAAATATTTTTTCTTTCAGATCAAAAATAAAATGCTACCTGTGATTCTGACTGTTCTGCGAACTTATGCACCCTATGTGACTTTTCCCTTTGCCCTCATCATAGGTGTAGTGGGTTACAATCTAGAAGGACTGATCAGTGACCGTCAGACGCCTTTTAAGAAACTCAGTGTGGAGGAAGAGAGGGAAGAAAGGAGACTCCGCGAACAGGAAGAGAAGGATTCCACTTCCGTCGACAGTCTAAAAGAAAAGAAGTTTGTTCCCAAGACTCTCTTCGAGAAGAACGTTTCTCCCTCTCTAAAGTAGTTTAAAGTAGCTGGAATTAGAAGTAATGTGCTCCAAAATGGGGCGACTTGTATATAGTATGTGAGAAAACTTATTTTTAAATTGTAATTAATAAAATATGAATATTTAATGTCTATTTTTTGTTATTTTGTTTTTTTAGAATATCATTTGCTTTAATAGAGTTGGCTTAATTTTTTATGCTTAAATTGTTAACTAGGACTTATTATATTAGATCCAGTATAATAAGTCCTAGAAATAAATTAAGTCCTAGTTGACAATTTAAGCTTAAATACATAAGGACACACAGACATAAAAGTTGGCATAATTTTGTTTTTAAAAGTAAATTGATCTAAATTCATTTCTACAATTTTATTTTTACTTGAAATTTAACAATCAAATCATTACTAAGAGATTTATATTTAATTTATCTTCTAAATGAATCCAAACCAAAGTTTTGCATGAAATGCATTTTAAATCTTAAATCCTAAGTTATAAAATTATTTGACAGGCAATAAGTTTGAAAATTATTGAGCATATATTTGACCTAAGTATGCCATTAGAAAGTGTATTGCCTTTTGATTTTTACAATATAAAAATTACAAATTTTATCTAATTTTAAATGAGAACATTTTTTAATTTGCTTATTCAAAAATACGCAAAAATATTAAACACTTGTGCTAGATAAAGGCTTTGTATTATCAATTAATTTGCTCTTTGACATAATAAAAATATTAATTTTCTAATTTAGCTTCATATCCTTATTTTTCAATAAAATGTAAGAAATGATACAGAAGGTCTGTTACTTCATCTGGTCCTCTGATCTTGCACCATATACCAATGTCAGCGATCTGACTATGATGTCACAAATATATAGCTACTGAGACAAAAAGTACATTTGTGGTTTTTTTACCATAAAAAAACAAATTCTCATTTGTACGGTATTGTTTACATTTCCATCTATTTCTATTTTGAATGTTTTTTCTCCCGACCTTAGTAATACTCATTCTGAGTAAAATATTTGCTCAAAAAATAATTTAAAACTTTACTACGTTTGGTGAGAAACTAACACAACTTACCGGTTGGAATAAAATTACTATTATAAATTCTGGAAAAGTGATCTTTATGTGGGATAATGTTTCAAGAGAGTACATTTGGAATTATTACAATATATGTTATCTATTAACTAGTGATAATTCTGTTTTAAGAAATAACCCAAGGAGATTGTTTTACCATTAGTAATTGAACAGAGTGAAGCTGGGAAAATTAAACTGTCATAAAAATAGATTTGTTTTCAATAAAACTGAAATATTAGCTTTCCATGGGATAGAGATGAATAAATGGCATAAGGAAGAAGTCCAAATCTGATAATGGGGAGAAATCAAAATGTCTGACACTAACCATTTAGAAGGTGAAAAGGTATGTTGCACAAGACCAGTAGTGAAAACAAATTTGCCAAAAACTCTAAATTTTTACTTATAAAGTAATTAGAAATTTAGAATACATTTTTTGACAAAATTGGCATTTCAAAAAATAGCATAATTCTGAATATTGTCATTGTTTTTTTTGCCATACTATTTTGTCAAGGTCCGAAACTAAATGATTTTTTTTCCTTCATTTAAATATCGTTAGAATTTTCTGACCTTTCGTTAAATAATCAAATTTATTCTGATTTTAATAATCATGATACTTTGAAATGTTCTCTCTTCAAAATTTTTTAATTACAATAATATTTATTTCTCTTCTTGTGTAGAAAAATTTAATTATATTTGATAAATCTCTTTCTATTCTTCAGTATTATCTGTAAAATATCATGATGACATTTTCTAAATCCAAAGTCAAAGAAACTTATTGAAAATTATGCATAAATAAATGGTTGCATCTGATTTGACACTCAAATATAGTGATGGTAATAACCATCTACTGGAAGAAAATAAAAGTTTGCATCCAAAATGTATTTTTTTTTTTTTTTCTTTTAAAATTATGGTCTAGTCTTAAAATGTCAAATTTCTAAAAGAATAATATGATGACTCGAATAAGTGCATTACGTTAATTTGGGAAATTTGTGACAAATTTCACATTTAGTTAATTCGGTTCATTAATGATAAATTAAATGTGGATGAGACGGATATTATTGTCTGTTATAAAATCATTTCAGTTCTGTTTTAATTATTTGAATATTCTTATGATATACAAATCATTGTTAATTCTGAATTCAGTAACTTCACTAATTGCTAAATAATCAGTCATAAATTCCAATAAACTGTTGGAATGTATTCAGTTTTTATTGCAAACAATTTTATAATGTAATAATAAAGAATTAACATTTTATTTTGTGCAAAAATATAAATAAAAACAACAATTTAAGCAATCACGAGATCGTCTTTTTCAGTTTTCTCTTCGGAATCTATGGTCAGTTCAGAAGATATGTCAGCAAATATGATGTCCCACGTGCAGGCGACAATTTCCTATGCCAAATTAAGTTTTGTTAAGTTTTATTCAATTTGTTGACTATTATATCCACACTCTTAATCATAATTAGCAAAATGCAGAAAATTACCTCTTTGATATCGTTTTCTGGTGACAAACATTTGGTTAAAAGCCTAAGATCAATTCCGTCCTGAAATTTTTTAACTTTTGTAAATTGTCGAAAACAACCGAGCAAGGAGAAAAATTTCTTATACCCACCAGAGTATTAAATGCTGCGTGTTTTAAGAGATCGTTATCTAGTTCCTGATATGTGGCCACTCTATTTACTGCAACACTATCAAAAACAAAACAAGAAATTATAATTGCAGAATGTAAAGATTGGTTAATTGTAATAATCTTGGAATTACCTCGGCGCTTGTGCAATCTGAGATACAAAATCTTCGTCTTTTACTTCGTCTAAATCCGGAATGACTGGTATTTCTGAAACATTCAAAAAAACATTAATTTTTCTTATAGAATCTGCTTTGTGTAAACATTGATTTATAAGATACCTGAATCTGAATCATCTATTTCGGTTTTTGTCTCTTGTTTTGTATTATTACTACAAAAAATAACAAAATGAGTAATGGTACATGTGATTTAATTATATTACAAGTTAAATTACCAAAATAAAACTATCCTCTAACAAATTAAAAAAATTAGATCTTTTACTTCAGTTTATAAGTTTCCATTATTATTAAATTATATTATTATGTTGTCTAAAACTTTTATATGGGTTTGTCAACATTTTCTTTCACAATTTAGAAATGTGCTAAGACCAAGTTTCAATCAAATTTTTCATAACAATTCCACAGTTTGATACTGTTTTATTTGATTTATTGTTCTTTCTTTGTTGTTACATTGTAAGAGATGATCCAAACTTACTAGAGACAAGATAATATGGATCTTTATTCTTACAATGAATAAGTTCCATAGTTGTTGAGGAGATCTAACAATGATAATAGTGTGGAAGCAAAAGTTCTGTATACAGACTGTCATTAACATAATAGCATGTCTACGTTGTGAGCGATTAGACTATTTACCAAAATGGATTGACATACTTGCATGCGCAGATGGTAGAAGAATTACCACTTCTGGGTTTAATATGGTCAAGCAAATGAAACCAACAAACAAAAGTAATATTAATCATTAACTTCATATGTAATAATTGACTTATTTCATTTTTTTAAGTTTTAAATAAATCACATTTGAGTTTTGGTATAAAACTTAAAAAGCTTTTGCCCAAGATACAATTTGACTACTCTGTAATTAAATATTAGACTGTTAAGCTAATATTTGAAATATATAAGTTGTTAATAATTAAATTTTTCTCATTATTTCAAACTTGTGTGCATCTTTTATATTTTTACTATTTAAATATATCTGAAATATCAATTTCAGTCTAAATAGTAAATGCTTTAAATTTTATATTGTGTTGCCTGCTGAAAATATGAAACACTAAATAAACTTAATTTGCAACAATCTACTTTCCTAACATATTTCCCATTAAATTAACACTAATCTAATGAAATACATCTAAAACTATGCCCATAGTTTATGATAATTTAGCACAAAGTGTTATTAAATTGTGTTTTTAATCGAACAATGTAATTTTTTCCCTCTTTAAAAGAGTAAAAAATCATTATGATCCAGGAAGATATCAGGTAACAAAATATGATAATCTGTTGACTGACAAATTTATTGGATTTGAGATGACGACGAAAATTACACAAGAGGAAAGAAATTACAATATTTTAACACTAAGGCTAGGTGCTGGCATGCAATTTTTAGTTGACTGACTGTTTAGTTGCACAAATAACATGGACTCCGATGGGACTGTATTTGTACGCAACAATTATGTCAGCCAATTAGTTAGTCTATATCGTGGTTCAAATTAAATGATTCACTTCCAATTAAACGGTCGGACAACTTGGATAAGTTTTGGTGTTTGCTGTAGTAGTGTGTTGGGATGTCTTCAGGAGGAGGTAAGAAGCAAATTTATAATATTCAATATATTTTTTGTTATTAAATTATGTTGTAAGATGCATACTGTATGCTTCTAGTAACAGGTTGAAAAGCATTATTATTTAATAATGTACATGTTTGTGTATTTTTTATGAATTTTTTTCCCCCATTTTATTTTTCTTCAACTCTCTAAAGTGCACACAAGCCACCTCTTCAAATCTACATCGAGACCAAGTTAAAATGTGTGATAGTTTGGTTGCATAACCATATGTGTTGAATTGGCCGACTGTTTGGTTGCAGTAGCAAGTGCGTAACGACAACCGGCCAGTTGCTCGATTAATAATTGCATATCAGCATATAGCCTAAAGGTTAATTAATAATTGATGATAATGGATGACATTAACAAAAAATGTTCACAAAAACAAGATTCTTTTTTATTTAGCGAATGTAAGACTGACTATAAATAATGGTTAAAAAATAGTGAAATATGCAAATTAGATTATTTATAGTATAAAATTTTCTAAGTTATCATAAAAACAATTTCCTTGTTTTTATTCTGTCGGAAAAGCAAATGTCAATTCCCTGGAGAACAAAATTCTTTACGAAAAATTGTACTAAAAATAAATAAAGTCTCTTATACTATTAAATAAATATTAGATATTTCATCTTCAAACCAAATAACTGATTTTCTATGTTAAGGCAAAATAATTTTCATAATTAGAAATATACAAAGATCTAAATTTTATACTGTGAAGGAAGTTAACTCAATATTAAAATAAAATTTAAAAACTTGAAAGACTCATTATCTTCTACATCATAAATATGCGAAGATATTTGGAATTAAAATCACATGTTATAAAAATTAAATTTATTTGTTGATAGTTTAAAGATAATTTCTATAATAACAAATTAGTTGATGTGACAAAACTTTAAATGTAATTTATACAAACTTTGACTGATTGTCATGACCAATAACAAGTATGCAGAATTAACATAAAAATATAGATTTAGAACTAATGACAATTGGAATAATTAGCATTCTTCTTCCAAATGAATGCTTTTGAAATGATATCTATACTAATATTATAAAGAGGTAAAGTTTGCAAGTTTGGATGTAGCAGGTAATCTCCGAAACTACTCATCCAATTTCAAAAATTCTTTCACCAATATTTAGAATGGATCTTCAGGGTAGACATAGGCTGTATATTATTCTGGTAAACATTCATATAAATTAAAAGATATCATCTAGGATTAAGGCTTTTATGTCCAATAGATGACGCTAACTCCGTGAGTATGATGACCTAAGTTTGCTTTTTTGTGAGGCATTATGCTTTTCTAAAGGATGAACTAAAAATGAACCCAGATCATCTTCTATCTATCTATATAAATAAAAATGTAATGTTTGTTTGTTCCTACCGATTCCTTTGAAATTTTGACGCAACGCTGCATTCGAATAAGCACGTGTTTTTATATAATATACATGTTGAAATTTCCCCCACTGGAGAGAGATGGTTAGGATTAAGGCTTACAGTAAAGAACTCTGCTTCTATTATACTATTTTAGATGCAGATTTTTGCGTTTTTGATTGCGTTTTAATAGGGTACGTCAACAGAATATACACTAAATAGGATACGTCAACAGAATATATACTAAAAAGGGATTTTTTGATATTCCCCCCGCAGTGGAGAAAGACAGGATTAAGGCTTACCATGAAGAACTTGGCTTCTATTATACTATTTTAGATGCGGTTTTTTGCGTTTTTGATTGCATTTTAATAGGGTATGTCAAGAGAATGTACACTATGGGATTTTTCGAAAAATTCCCCCAATGGGGAAAGTGTTATACATTTATAATAGATACATTTTGAGCCACAACGCGTGGCGGGGTCTGCTAGTGTGTGTATAAAAAAATATAATGATTAAATTTATTTCCAATTTTGTAGTCATTAATAGAAAATTTTGATGCTTTGACCATTAATATAAATATTCATGCAACAAGTTTTAAAACTGCTAACATCACTGGAACAATGTAAGAAATGAATGTAAAATGCAACAATTTAACAATAGATAAATATGTTGTAAATTTATTACACATGCTGTATTAGTTAAATATTCTCAGAAAATGAATATTTAGTTTAGAAGCAACTAAATGGTACCATAAAATATAACCATAAACCTTAACGGTTATCAATGAAAAAGTTTTGACTTAACCTACAGAAGAAGCTTTTTAATCTAGCAAAAATTTTAACAAATAAACATTGTTGGTCATCTTAAACGGCTGATGTGTTTAAAAAATCTACAGATAACATACTTCATTTGCTTTCTGCTAAAAAAAAAGGTTTAGAATAATTAAATATGACCTACTTTTGAATAAACAAACAAACTTTAAAATTTTTTTTTCAGAAAGTGAAAAATTAATATGAATTATTTATTATGTAGTAGCTTTCTTCTGATAGGAAATTTCAATACATCCAAGAAAACTAAAATTTCATACAAACGTTAAATTCAATATTATAATGTAACTGTATAAAAAATTTTGCCATAAAATTTATATATGTCTAATCTATACAGACTAATAATATTTTATATTATATAGATGAATAGATATAATCACTACTTGTAATAATATATGTCTGAAACATTTTTTCACTATTATTGCAATGTCATTATGATCAATAACAGATAAAATTCTAATACTCTGATCAAAAGAGTTAAAACTTATCTGTTCAAAAATCATCAGGTTTTGCATTATATGCTAGAGCTGGGCAGTTTTTTATACGACAAAGCTTTCATATTGTATAAAATTTTTGTGAACATTTACAACATTAAAATGTAACAGAAAAATTTTACAATATAAACACAGAAATAAGACAGCAATCATTAAAATAAATAGAAAATAACAAAGACGAAATGGGAATTGTGTGTTTATAAAGTGAGAAAGTCTATCCACAAAATAATGGATCAAGGACATTATTTTTTGCACAACTGCCAGAGGAGTGTTTTTCACCAAGTTTTATACATTGAGGCAGAGAAGAGCCTCGAAATAAAAGTCACTTCTGCTGTATGACTTTGTCATGTATCAAGTAACTATAAAAATTCAACAAAATTATGTTTTTTTTTTGTAGTATTTCTAAAAACTCTTATCATTGTTTCAACTAAATGACAACAAAATTACTCTTTGTTTTCTATACAACAGAAAACAAAGAGTAATTTTGTTCTATTCTATTGTACAATAGATAGTGTTTATTTGCAAATGCAAAATTTTTCCCTTGTAAAAAAATGTTTTTATAAATTTATTAATCTTGATACTAATAAATGATATTAATGTTTCTTCTTTGTTTTAATTTAGTATTAATTTTTATTTGGATTGCTTTATGGAGATTATAATATATATTTTAAAATAAATACTAAGGTATAAGTTTATTTAAAATGATAAAAGAAAGTACAATTATAATTCTACAATTAAAATGTCTTTTAAAATATAATAATTCTATAAAATTTAAAAGTAAATTTCATGCAATAAAATAGTGCAATCTTTTATCTAAATTATGGAAATATTGCAACAAATTTAATTATTTCAGAATTACACTCACGCATTTGTGTTTGGTCGTGCACTTCTTCTTAGCCAACTGTGAAGGCAAAACTACTGATTCATATCACATAAAAAAAAGACGAAAATTAAAAATAGTGCACATCAACATGCATGTCTAGTAGTGCCGAACGGCAGGTACCCATTTTTTTACCCAGGCATCAAAGTATCAGTCTAAGTCACAATGCCGTTACCATAATAACACCTAAAGATTATTCACAGCATAACAATAAATTAATTAATTAAAAAATTGTAAATGAGCTAAATTGTTATATAAAAATGATTAGTATATATTTGCATTATTATTATTAAGATTCATCAATAAAACAACGAGTTTGAATTTATTATTTCAATAAAATGTCAATAACACTGAAATCAAAGCTGAAAAGTAATAAACTGTATCCTTGAAATTATAATTACTTTTAAATTAATTTATTAACACCTGCAATCAAATTAGAGAAGCGAAGGGCAACTAAGAAAAGTTCAGGAATGTAATTTTAAACCTTTGCATTTCAAATGTAGATTTGTTTATTCAAGCAAATTACAAGATTAACTGTTGAGTAATTTATACTTTTGAATATTATGAATTTGTTCTTTTTAAAACAGTTTTAGAAATTGTAATTCTGTAGAATAGAATGTTTATTAACGTAATAGGCAATAGCCTGTTACAAGGGGGATGTTTACACAATTATTAGAACTTTACATACATTAACTTTTCGATGAGCATTCGCCTTCCGTCTGTTACAATCAGGGTGGTTGGATTTCACAATTTCTTGATTATCTACATAGATTTATTTCTACATCTAATTATATTTTAACTTATACATCACATTCAGTATGTACCTTTTTACCCGTTTTAAATACACTTCAAATTTATTCATTATTCCGTATACAATATCTCAATGTTTTTACATTACATAGATCTTATTTTCGTTATTAAATTTATATTTATGATAGCTACTTTAACATAGTAGATTAATTTATTCTTATTTCTTCATTTTTTGCTTTACTAAATACTATGATCAAGTGTTTATTAATTATTAACTTTGACTGTCACTTCAAATTATCATACAGGTTACCGTAGAACCAATTATTATGTTAGGGTCTATAAATTTCTTTAGTAATACTTTATAATTTTTTCGCAAAGACCCTATATATATTTTTCCAAAACCCTATTGGACAGATTTTTTTTTTTTTTGTTAGACTCTCTCATATTTTTACTACCATTACATTACTAACATTTTTTCCTTTACTTTTACTTTACTATTTTCCAGTTTTACTAAGCTTTTATTACAATTTTTTTCAATTACTGTTTTCTTATTAGAGGAATATAAACTTAATTCGGTATGATTCTCTTGTCAGTCCTGTTCTTTTTAATCGTCTGTGTATTTCTAAGAGAACAATCCATTTGAAGAATCTTGTTTGTATTCATATCAATTGTATATATTATATTATCCTTAATATAGTAATCATCTCTTATTAATATTTTATTTTTAGTAGTTTTTTCCACTTTAATTTGATCCTGTAGTTTTTTTCTTCTAATTCTTGATCTAATACACAAATCCGTTGTAATTATTATTTTTTTCTCGGTTTCATTAACAATTTTTGGTTTCAAAGTCCAAAATCTTTTGAGAACTAAATTTCTATCTTTTACAGATTCCAGAATTACTTTTATTATTAGGTTATTCTTACTATTTTTAAGTTGAACTAGTCCTTCAATTTCTATATTTTTTAGACCTAATTCTTCGTTAATAAATTGTTTGATTTCTTGAACAACGTTCCATGTTTTAACCGGAAAATTAAAAATTATTATATTCTTATTTGTAGTCTCATTTACCAATTTATCAAATTCGAATTCCAACATACCTTTTATCTTTTCGTTATTTTTATAATTTTCTTCTAATTTTTGTATCTTGTAACCAATTATCTTCATCTCTTCTTTATAACTATTATTTTCTTCTTTTATCTTATTAACTTCAGCTTTTATTGATTGAATTTCTAAGTTTAACTGGCAAAATTTTTCCTGAATTAATTCATATATAGATCTTAACGTATATTGTGAATCGTCAATACCTTGTTTTTCGGTTTCTCTTGCCGGTTTAAAATAATCCTGAATTTTCGAATTTCTCGGGGTCCCATTATTTCTTTCGACCTTTTCTTCAATTTGGTATTCCTCACTTAAAATTTCCAGTAACTGTGTTTCCCTTTCTTCATCCTTGTGACTTTCCTTCCTAGGTCTACCCCGCCCCCTTTTTTGCATATCCAACTGACTTGACCGAAGTGGTGAGCGGGGGAGAGGACCAGGATTTATTTCAATTCCGGCAATTATTAATAGTATTTTAATCATTCCCAATGTTAAATTAATGTCAACAGCTCTAATTTGTACATACCACATTGCGTAATTTTTTGTTATTTCCATCCCAAACTTGTTCTACCAACCTCTCAAAAAAAGTTCACTCGCACGCTTGACAGCTCTGACACACCCCCGTAATTCTGTATAATTCATTTCGAATTTATTATACTAATTTATCCATTTCTAAAAACTGATTCTGTGTTCTACGATTGCCCATTAAACAAAATTTCAAGCTTATCAAAGCAGCAATAAACTACAAATTGTGAATAATACATAAAAAACAATTGTATAAAATTCCCAAGAATTAAGATATTTTGTACTCTGAAAAGAAAATTAATGAACCAATACTGTTGAAGCTTTTAGTGATTTCAGTTTTTAACATTTGTATGGATTATTTAAAAAAATTTTTTTAAAGAATTTACACATGTGGAAATTTAATTTTTATAAATAATGATTGCCGAATTTAATCAAAAATAAGATTGCATCAGCTCACAGAATAAAGCAAAGAAAGCAAATAAAGCATAATTTTCAAAAAATTAAATTAAAAAGATGTACAGGTAATTCGCAGTATTTGCGTGTTTGGTATCTGCACTTTTGGTTATTTGCAACTGAAAAATTTTGTCTGACCACATGACTATTCACAAAACATTTTTGTATTTGCAAATTACTTTTACAGTACAGTAATATCTCGACTTACGCTACCCCAACTTATGTGATCCCGGAGTTACGCTATTTTCAAATCTCGTCGATTCGTCTTTTGTTTGAGCGCAACGCAACTCTTGATTACTCACTCCCCCCACGCTATTGTTCAGCTATGTGTCGCGTGGAATCGACGCATAGCTACAATTTATTTTGTGTTATTTATTTCTGTGTTTGTTATATCTACAGAGACTCGAGAGACTCTATGTAGTGATTTCTTGTAACTGTGAACGAATCAAATGACGCGATAAGATTAACGAGAACATTTATTAGCTTACATACATCCAACTTGGATTTTACACAAATTGTGAAATTATACCCCGACTTACGCGAATTCGACTTACGCGGTTATCGCTCGGTCCCACCTATTGCATAAGTTCAGGGTATTACTGTATTTCCATTACAGTACAATACTTATAAAAAATGTACTTTTTGTTATTTCCAGTTTTTACATTTTTTGACATAACTGAGCAAAGTACAGTAATAACTAATACTAAACTGAAGCCAGTGCATTACAGAAGTGGTTCTTAACCTTTTATACTTGAAACTCACCAAATATTTCATAATTTTTTTGTGACCTCCATTATTTTTTAATAATTTATATTTGTTAAATTATCTATAATAAATTGATTTTTTATTATTGCTTTATTTTTTTATATAATAAATGTAAAACGTAACTTTATTATTTCATTATCTATTTAAATAACATTCAAACTTCACAATTAAACATAAAATCTCATTAATTTTTAACAAAAATTAAAATAAGAAACATTTAAAAATTCATAGAAAAAACAAAAAATATTCAAAAATAATTGAATGAGATTTATGCTGCTGAATATCCTCAACTATTATTTTTATTATATTCTGAAGGAAATTTTGGATAATTTGGCGGCCCCCATTAAGAAACACTGCATTACAGCAATAATGCCTTCTGCCAAATTGTATATGACAAAGTTTATGTCACAATTATGTAAATAGCATTTATACAGTAATTACACAGTATCATACAATAATAATAATAATAATAATAATTCGAGCATGTTCACCCATCAAACTCTGACGGGCGAACTGGTTGCACAAGCGCGACTTGGAGTGTGTAATAATAATTCCATATAATAATATAAAAGATGACAAAGCAGATAGTAGCAGTAGATGAAGGATTTGAGAACTTATAGCAGATATTGAGAAAATACTTTACCAGACAGCTGCAGAACCCACAAATGAAGAATAAGACACATTTACAGAAAATTTGCACAACAGCAAAGACAAATGAAATGAACAGGAAAAATTGCTAAAGCCAACAATGCCAATATTGAGTGGCGTTGACGACGACACCAATAATGAGCACTTAAAGACCACTAAATAAGACAACAACACAGAAACACAGATCTTTTCATGTTTCGTTCTCTAGAATTTATGACAATTATATTAACATTTACTGTAAATGTACATATTTTAATATGATTTTATGTGCTTTTAACACTTCAATTAGACTTCAATATTTGTGGCAGACGGATGTAAAGTTGAATAAAATGACTTAAACTTAATTTTTATTTTTCCTTATACTTTTTTGACAAATGATGTATAATCGAGAACAATGTAACTGGAAGTATATCTGTATTTGTTTAAGGCCAAACAATTGCCGGATTAAATCAAGCTATATTACCACTACTGTTAATAATTAAATACCCGAGTAATATGGCACCAGAGATAATCATTTAGTGCCATCTCTTATTAAATTTAATAAATATAATTAAGTTAATATTTATTAAATAATTTAGAAAATTCTGGAAGAAAAAAATAAGATTTGAACCTGCAACAGCCACTTACTGGTAATATAGCCTAATTTAATCCATCAATCTTCTGGTTTTAATATAATTTTTAGGCTTAGAGATGCTTATATATGTTTTGAATGATTATTGAATCATCTGCAAAAGTTTAAATATTCCTAAGACAGCAATGTACAGTACTTTAGCTTGGCCATGTTGGATTGACCACAGGAAATTTTCAGTTTTCCCCAAGAAAAGAATCTAACCTCTGCAAATACTGAGAGTGACCTGTAAATAGCAATTTGGTTACTAGGATAAATTTTTTTCTACAATTCAATATTTTACCTCTAACTACCACCAACATTTTAAGTTAGTAAAGAGTTTTTTGAAAAATAAGTATTAAAATCTGCATAATATTCAATACCTAGGTACAAAAATTTCCCTACCATTCGGCACTAATATTCAGTGTTATATAATCTGCTAATTAAAAAACTCAATTTATTTTATTAAGTGTCCAAATAATTATATTCTTACCGCATGGCACTGGACGGAGGATCTTCAGCCCAACCTCCCGTTTTCCTTGATCTAGGCGGAACTTTGGGTGGTCCACTTTTCTATCATTTAAAAAATACAATTATAATTCGGTAATTTAAATTAATTTAATAAGGTTGATTCGTAACTGCAATAATTTTATGCACACATAATTAATAAATTAGCTCACAATATTTTATTTTTTAGGTGAAAACTACTTTAGCTTAAAAATAAATTTTGAATATGCTGAATGCTAAACAGACAATAAATTCTATTTATTAGTTACATTGGAATATTCAGAACAACAGATGCAACATTTGTTCACCAGAATTTTACCTACACTGTATATATGTATATAAATGAGGATGTTTGTTTGTTTGTTCGCTATGCATGCCTAGGTTATTCAACCAATTGCTATGCCATTCAGCAGTTATGTTCAATTACTTCTAACTTAGATAATATTGTACATCCTTATCCCCAAAATATCAACTGTATTTCTATATATCACTGTCTACATTCGACTTGTTGGCTTTATATGTAATGCCATCATTGGCAAAAAAATTTAAGAAAATAATAAACTATATATAATTCTTACAAAATAGTGTATAATTTTTAAAAACATATATTATATTCACTTAATTACTGTGACAATGATACAGTGCAAAATAGATGTGCTATTACATGCCATTATGCCATTGCTGCAACATGTAGCATATAGCACTTGCTGCATGGAGTGATGTTTTACCCTTGTATGTCATGCTTTTCTTGTTAGCATTAGAGTTGTGCTGATTACATTTCTAATTCCATTCTGGGAAAAATTTTTGAATTGAAATAACATGACTTGTGATGCAAACTAGACATTTGTCTATAGTTAATCTGAGTCTCCTGCTCTTAAGCTTTCCATATCTAGTCTCAACGTACATCTTTCTAACTCCATTCTCGAGATTAAGGAAGGATAGACAGGCAACAGTGGGAATTTATAGGTCTACAATTTATTGGACTACAATTTGTAAAAATTGTAGTCCAATAAACTTCAGCCCAATAAGTACCCTCCAATAACAGAGTCTATAAAACCATTGAACACTGGCAGTCAGTTGTGGGTTCACGCAAGGCCAATGGACTGGCCACATGGAGTTTTCTGGGTTTCTTTCACATTAGTAACACTTAATTTGGGGTCAGCTTTACATAAAAGTCTTTCCAGGATGTATTCTCCTTGGCAGATCACTCATGTGTTGTGTTGCTATAACCAAATAAACCATTTCTAATAATTTTTCTATAAATACAATATTTATAAAGACAAATTTAACTACCACAACACCTGGACACCCCACTCCTTCCCTGATTTTATCTCCCCTTATTAGCACATAAACCCATTGCCCCAAACTCCCTGCTGATACTGCTGAAGATGTTCTAACATTCAGCCAAATTAATATATGTGCAATTATTTTATGGCACAAAGTAGAGCTGGAAATCTTTTTCTGTGCCAATGTTTATTTTTCTTGTTTATTATCATGGTGATAGTGCTTCATTCAAAATTTCCTGTAGTTGTAGTCTGTGTAATGTGCACTTTATTCACATGTTGACTCTTACTGTCAAATCTGCTTCCAATAAGCTTATGCCACAACTTTCAAAAGTTTCCTTTACTTAGATGTTTTTGCTGAGCTTTACTTTTTCAACTTGGTTTCACCAGTTTCTTTTTATCGGATCACATAAAAACAATTATTCTCATATTTTTACAGAATTTTTTTATTTAAACAAACAAGTGTAATATGAAGTTTTTTGGATGTTATTAGCAGCTTTGATCACATGATTAATAGTAGATCAGTATTAATTAGTTGTTGACCAGCCTCTCTTTCAGAAGGAAATCAGCTATTATTTTTGATCGAATGATTCGGCAGTGAATGGAACTATTTGATAAAGCTAACATTAGAAATAAAAAATGATATCTTAAAAAAATTCATATTTTCATATCGTATTTTCAATTGCTGTCTACTTGACCAATGAAATTGTGCCATTTTGTACCGTCCAAGTATAGTAATAAATATGATAGATTGGCTAAAATAACCAAACTCTTTATAGGGTTTTCATTTTAATGTTTCTTATATTATAGTATTTGATTTATATAACTACAGAGGTTATCATATATCATATATCTTTATAGGGTTTATCACACCAAGTGACCAATCTAATACATTTTAAAAATTCTTTATTCCTGTAATGTATACAATTTAAAAAAATTTTTAAATGCATTAGATTGGTCACTTGGTTTGATGAACTCTTACGTAAAATAACCTTTGTTTTATACAAATCAAATACTATAACGTAATATAATAGAAGAGTTAGAAGTAGAAATAATCTAATAGCCTAATCTTAATGTTTGCTATTTTTTGTCCGGTTAATGCTGGGCTTACCTGCTAGTAATGTAATAAAACAGAAGTGGCCAAACCTTGTCACAACAAGAGTCATATATCACTCATCAGAAATAAGTCAAAGACACATCCTCTATTCAAACAGTATCTTATATTATATATAGTTAGAACACTATAGTTATTGCTGTTCTGTAGTAAATACTATTGTTACTTTATGACTGATTAGATAAACATTTGTTTAACCCCTTTTCCTTTACAAATGAATCATTAGCTTCCAGTTGCTTGATCAAGGTTAAGTGCAAGCTATACCTACAATCTGTGTGCATATTACACTACATAAAAGTCAGCAAACTTCCAAACATATTACATACGTGTAAGTAGTAAGTACCAACTTTATAAAAAGAAATTTTAAAGTATACAGGGGCCACAGTAAAGATCTAGAGAAGCCGCAATATAGAGACAATGGTATGCATAATATACTCTTTTTACAATGTATTGATAATTAATGTTTGTAGATATACAACATTCAAGGAAAGTACTGCCATATTTTATCCCTTCTACTATATAGCATTCACAGTAATTTTTGTAGAATGTGTTTTGACTTACATATTTTGATTTAAATTCATATAGCAACAGGCTATTTCATTGATATACAGTATGCAAATGACATACAATACTTTTAAAATTTGTTTGAATTCAAATCTTTATAAGTGAATCTTTATAAGACTGTCTATTTTAAAAAATTCATTTTATTTTAGAATATGTCAATTGTAACTCTGTACATCAATGACTGTACATTGATTCCATTTACATTGTGTTTTATTCATGATATCATTATTATTATTGTTAATGACAGGTAGAGAATAAAATTATGTGAAGAATGTGAAAGGGACTGGGCAGTATGTCGATAACTGTACAGATTTAGGTTTGAATCAGATCCAGATCCTCACAATTTATTAAAAATAGTATGGGCTAATAAATTGTTCATTGTTCTTCATCAAAGCTGGCTGACCTCATTGCAGATTATGCTTACCTGTAAGAGGCTGTACGTAAATAATGTCCACACTGGAAGGGAGGGAGAGGTTAAACTTCAATGGACATCCATTTTATTTCATTAAATTTTACACAATTTATATATTTTATTATTCATAAAGTGATAAAGATTTTGAAGCTGGTTAAGATTTGCTGGATGTCTGAAGAAAGAAAGGGGTTACAGAAACTTGGACAAAACTGGGACAATGAGGGAAAGGGAAGTACAAGTTTCAAGAGAAATGAGGACGTAATTTATGGACAGTCCCTAATGAGCAAAAATTGTAACCAACTATAGTCTTTAAAATGTTGTCTTGTGTTGATAAATCAATTAATCTTAATCCATAAGCAAGTGTATATAATTTGTATAGTGAAAATTTATTTCAATATAAATATCACAATTATATGAATTTAATTTTCAATGATTAACTTCATTAGTTATGAAATTTAAGTTTTAGGAATTTTATTATGTTAGAAATTACAAGATCTTACATTAATAATAATAACTGTAATAAAACCCATAACAAGCAATGCATTTTTTCAGAACATATCAATAAAATACAATAGTTACTTACATTTGGTGAAAGTTTTCCTGATGGAGGACTTTCTAAATCAAATGACGAGGCACGAAGAGGACTCTGATTATTTGTATTTTCGGAACGTCGACCCAATCTTGGAGGAGCCTATTTTTTAAAAACAAAAACCAAACCATTTTTAAATATTTTCTTGCAATATCAAGATAAAATTTCATCTATAGAAAAAATTTACAAGATATACTTTATTTTTATATAAAATTGAATTATACAGAGTAGTCTGAAATATGGAAACACCAATATAAAACAAAAACAGATTGGTAAACAGTGATCCAATGTTCCAACATGTGGGAAAGTAGAAACGCGACAGATCATGTCACCAACACGATAGTCATCTTGAATTCAATTCATAGTTTTTAAATGTAAAGGTGGAGGATTATCATTACATTTTTGTAATTGAGTTAATTTTTGAGAAGTTAAGCTCATTTGTGCCAAACAAAATACTCATCTTATTAAATAATTCACCTTTCAGGAATGACAGAAATTTCTTTTATTTATTTGAATGAAATATTAAACTGGTAGAGGATTTCATCAAAAAAACAATGGTGTGCTTAATTTTAATATAACTCATTCTCAAGCTTTAAATGAATTTTCTTCTATATGGGTAACCTGAATGAGGAACCTCTTGATTTCAGCAAGAGCTAATGATGGAGCCAGTATACATGCTGTTGCATAACCACACTATGTAGTGTGCATCTTAAGTTTTGAGAGATTTTAAGTAATCCAATATAGTGTTGCAGTGTCATTTACACTCTTATTGGACATTGTTATAACTAATTTTTTTTTTGCTTCAAATAAATTCCATCACCACAGAAGTCTCCATGTGAAATATATTCTGCTAATTAGTTTTCAAAACATATTTTTTTGAAATGTAAACTTTATTTACAAACATCCCATTCATAAGTTATGTGACATGAGGAAAGCAAAATGCACCACAGCACTCCACATTTTAAAGAAGTAAAGGCCTTCTAGAGCAACTAGAAAACCAAACCACAGGTAGAACTGTAGAAAAGTTAATAAAATAAAGGCATGCCAAAACCATATAGCAATAAAAAAGACATAGTGTCTTTCATCTGTGTGGAAGTACATCCTTTGAGATACACTGATTATTATCTGTACATTTTTGTAATTGAGTTAATTTTTGAGAAGTTAAGCTCATTTGTGCCAAACAAAATATTCATCTTATTAAATAACTAGCTTACCCGTCGCGCATTGCTGCGATTTCAGAAGAAAGGAAATTCAAGCAAACTCGTTATGATAAAATTCAATTTACATTTTATTATTTTTATTGAAACTTATTATTATTATTCATTTTCATCGGGAAAACATTTCAAAGTGTCGTTTCAATTCTATTTATTTATTGGAGTGTTTGTGGATACACGATATTTTTTGTTTTTCCCTCTGGTGTGTACACGAATAAATCGGAAGGTTTTTCGACGCGTGAGCCGGCCACATACAGTTGTCCATGCGAGAAGCACGGATTCTCCAAATTTAGCCCACACACTCGCTGCGATTGTCAGAAGTGTGATATTCCCCATTTTTATATATATTTTTAAATCCTTTATAATTTTAATTATTTAATTGCTCCTTCCTCTCTTCCTTGGCATGTTGTGAAATTTCTGATAGTTGGATAATAAACCGTTTTATTGTAATTTGTCTTTTTAAATTATTTTGAGTCGATATTAAAATTTGGAAAAGGGGGATCCCTAGATCGGTAAAATAGGCGAATTTCCTTCTACAACTTCGGTTGTTGTTCGTGATACAGTTAAGGCTTTAACAAAGTTCGAGCGATTACGTAATTAGCAAAAAAATAGTTGAAATAAAGTGATTAAACAAAAATTATTATAAATATCGTAAATAACAGTTCACAAATGCATATATAGAGATATTTTTTGAAGGGAGGAAATGGTCTTCACAATTTGAAATCGATCGAACACACTGTGCGCGAATGCTCGTGTAAACGCGCGCCATCTATCGTAGGATAAATGTACTTCGCGGGAGTGTATTAAAAAATTAAAAAAACTTTCCAAAGTTTCATGGCAATCGTACTATGCCACAAACCTTCACCGGAGTATATTAAACAACTTCCCAAAGTTTCACGGCAATCGGATAAACGGTGTGGTAATGCATGAAGGACAGACAGACACACACACACACACACACACACACACATTCATTTTTATATATATAGATTCACCTTTCAGGAATGACAGAAATTTCTTTTATTTATTTGAATGAATTGATGCTTAAGTTTCACAAAACCTTTCACTCTTTTTCTAGCAGTTTCTTAATCTGTATTTAATCTGAACAAAAACTTAACATACATAGGCTCAACCAACAGATCACTTACAAAAAGGATCGCCGAGCATAAATACGATACAATAAAAAGTTTAATACCACACTAGCCCAATTTGCAAGCGAGTCAAATATAATGGCCAAATGGGAAGATGATAAGATTTTAATACTAATTCTCAATAGTAACAAACTTAGAACAATAGAAACACTAGAAATCTTTGAAAAATCCCTCAAAGAAAATTGTATTAACAACAGAGATGCGAACTTGCTCTCCACTGCTTGGCAATCACTCCTCGTTAACTGCCGTTCCAATGTTATAGAACCTGAAGAAGGCCATTTAAAATGGCCAAAAACGTTTGTTCTCTTATGGATTAAGAAACTGCTAGAAAAAGAGTGAAACTTATTTAAAGAAGTTCTAGCTTTCTGTGCAAGGAATTGAATTGATACTTTCCAATAAGTTCTAAAGAATTAAATTTTAGTTCAATTTCATCCAATTTATCAAAAATATCTTAGGAAACATCAGTTTCTTATTACACACTTAATAATGTAGATGCTAACACATTTAATTGCATCCAAGATAGTAATTAACAGAGTACTGTACATTCTACTTTGTTAACAAGTTGACATTGCTATTAACTGTATTTGCAATTATCATATTTTGTAACAATTCTTCAGTTGTTAATTCTTTAGAGAAAGTTAAATCACTATGAACATAAATGTGGTTATCCAAAATAATTTTGGAAACTTCCAATTGCTTTACAAATAAGATGGTTCAGGATATCATATTATTTTTTGTATTTTATTTATACTATTTGTACTTTTATTTCTTATTTTATTATGTATGTTTTTTGTCATATTTTATATTATTTTATTGTGTTTATAATTGTTTTTTATTTCTTTATTGAATTATTTATTTTTCGTCCATTACTACATGCTTGTTTTAAATTGTTCTTATTCAACATGTTTAATTTAATTTTGAAATTGGGCTTCCTGTTTTGTATTCTCTTCGATGCATCATAATAATGCCTGCTCAAATGGCTGAAAATGTTTAAAAAATAGAGTATTGTGGTAAAGGCTTATTTGGAGAGTTTTGTACAAATTTCAAACCAGTTTATGAACCATATTATTATTAAAATATTTTGACATAATCTTGTTTTCAGTTTTGTGTAATATTTCTTGCACAGATTTAAAGATAGCTACAATTGAATTTATATTTTGTGTTAAGACCTGTGTCTGCAATTATAATAAAGTATGCTGTAATTATTTTAGTGTATGCACATATTTTTATCTTTCTCTTTATATCTCAATGTAAATTCCTTAATTTTTATAATTTTTCAAAACTGAGTGTATCGAAAAGGGGCAATGAAATTAAAAATATTTGTTTAAATCTCTTTAAATAAGACTTAAAGTTGCATTGTGTAATCAAAATTGAAAATAGCATTGTAGCATCCGTGTTTCTCCTCCATACATTTTAAAAATGATCTAAGATGCATTCTGTACTGTAATATTTCAACACTGGAAATAGATCAAATCAATTAATGCTGCAAGAGAAATGAAGGGACATTTTCATGCTTTGGTCAAAACTTAAGATTAAAAGATAAGTTTTTCTCTTACTTATTTTTGAATGGAACATTTGATAAACAATATTTTCTTGTACGTTCCTTGAAACCAAGTATAAAATTGCCATTCAGCAATACTTTCTTCCTTCTAATTTTTCCTTATTCTTCATCCTTCATTGCATACAAATATCATATATAATTAAAAATGACAATAGTCCTAGTTTATGAAATATATTATGTAATATTCTGTATTTGCCATTATTTGATTATAAACTAGAAGTGTAATGCATTTAAGCACTAAGAAACAATTGTCAAATTTTTCAAAATATATCCAATCTTTAATCATACACAAATATAATAATTTCTGCATTCAAGACAGCAATAACAATGTTCTTTTCAACAATTAACATCAGATGTTAATTTTAAAAATTGTCTGTTAATGTACATATTTAAAATTTGTTTACTTTATGATTATAATCTGATAACTGCTGTTCAAAGAGATATACTGTTAATAAAATCATTCAAAATTACTGGTTAAAGAAAATAATATATATAGAATTTGTGTAATTTTTTTGCAAATACAATTCTTAATTGTATGTAATTTCCTTATATGAATTTTTTTTTAAACTTTAGAAATAATAAGCTGGAGATGAAGGCCAAATAAAATGTAAATGTAGATTCAGTTTGGATCTAAAAATACAGCAGATTATCTGAGGTATGTGGACCAATGCTATCTCAGATAGCCAAAAACTTGAATAAAACAGAAGGCCATGGCCATTTTGGATTAAAAATTACAAAAATTTATAAAGTATATTACTTTTAATCCTATTCTTATACCTTATTGAATTTATAATCATATATAAGAACAACATTTGTTACATCATTTATTATACACCTAATTAAGTCCAACAGTTTTAAGAATAATTTTGTTGTCACATTTTAATATGGTTTGTCTTGCATTGAAATTAAATGATAAAAGGTAACAGAAACATATCATCTTCTAACACATGTTATCGTTTTAAACTTTCTTTTACGAATTATGGTATAAGAAAAGTAATGCACATGTTCCTGTCTCAGATAATACAGTACCTCAGTTAATCAGAGCTTGGATAATTGGTGGTTCTACTGCACTGCGAATAAGCAATCTCTCATTTAATGAGTTTATGTAACAGAAAGAAGCAATACTAAGAAAATACACTTTCTTCATTTTGAAAACTTTTCATAATATAAATAATCTCAAATTTGCAGAATGGATAAATGAAAATTATACAAAAGAAATGAAAAATGTATACACTTAAAATTATAAAGTACCTGAATATAAATTTATAAAAAGTTTTATGTAAAGAAGTTACCTACAGAACTTTTTAAAAAAGTATTATAGTTATAACAGAAATAATTTTCAGCATAAACAAGAGACATGACGATCTGCTGAAAGAAATGTCAAACAGCAAATAGAATAGCACTGTACAATGCCATTTATATATNTATATATATATAAATATAATACTTTTATATATATATAAATGGCATTGTACAGTGATATTGAATGATCCTGTATTAATTATGATAAACTAACATTCTGAAGCTCTAAATGTGAACAAAAGACTTTATTCTTTATTAAAAGCCCCACAGGAATGGAGATAACTGCCCCCAAATTAATAATGAAAGCCTGTTAAAATTTGTCTCAGGATTAATATAAGAAAGATTGAAGAAAAAGAAATAGACAAATGAACAAATTCTAGTATCTTGGAATTTTGTAAAAAGTATGTGATGCAGAAATATAAGTAAATCTTTACTCTTGTTTCTGTATCATGTACTTAACACTAGTAAAAACAAAAAAAAAAAAAACATTTGTAACTACAAAAAGTGTCTCCTGTGTTAATATTTATGTTTTTATAAATATAAAACTACTCAAATGAAATTAGTCTTACCTTCAAAAAAAGCTTTTATTTTATATGATGTGAACCACTTTCTAATGCTATTGTGAAAACTTACTTTTAACTTAAAATATAAAGGAAAAAAAAATTAAATGTGGTAAAATACTAACAGCAAGATCAATGACTAGGAGAAAATCTGCCAGAAATAACTGATAACATCATCATATGGAAGATCTGAACATAAAAAGGAAAAGACTAAAAACAGTGATCAGAAAATGTAACTTGCTGGATCTTACTTACTATTAAAAATAAATTATTATAGACATCAAGGTAAGATGGTATTCCATATGCTTGGAAACTGGATATAATAATAATGATAGATATTTCCACAGTCATTTAATGTGTACATGAACACACATATGAGGATGGAGTATTTGAGAATGAATTGAGAGTACACACTGATTGATGTAAGAGTGCTGTTAGTGGAGAATGAAAAATAATCGCAGATCCTCATCTGCAATTCTTTCTCCATCTGATGGCTAAAGCAAGTGAGGTGTTTAAGCTGCATGTGAGTGCCAGTAAAACAAAGGTGGTTGTATTTGAGTGTGGGGAGAGCAAACAGAATGTACAATTCAGATAAATGGGAAACATTTGGAACAAGTGAATGAGTTTGTATCTGGAAAGCAGGTTCAGAGGAATAACAATATAGCAGGTGAGATTGAAAGAAGAGCAAATGATGGAGCAGAGGTAGTATATACAAATAAATCTGCAAGGAACAAATGAATGTCAGGAAAGGCCAGAATATAATGTACAGTACAGATGTATTGTAATTCCTGTGCTGATATGGTAGTGAAAATGGATATGACAGAGGTTCATCATTTGCAAGTGAAATGAGATACTTGAAGGGAGGAGTGTGTGAAGAGAAGAGACTGCACTAGGAATGAAGATATCACAGAAGAGACGTCATACAAAATATGAGTAAGTCTGTTTTGCAATGATTTGGCCATGTTAAGAGGATGAGCAAGATAAATCATTGAACATTGAAAAGAGTATACATGATACATGGGAAGAGTGGAAGGAAAAGTAAACCAGACATGACCAGAGAATCCTTAATGGAGCAAGTGAAGTGAAAGAATATAAGCATGAAAGGTGTGAGAAAACATGATAAGAGAGCAATGAAGATAACAGATAAGAGGTATGCTGAGGTAGAAATGTCTTGAAAGATCTGATAATTGGATGAGTGTGTGTGTGATCTCTCTTACCTGCTACCTACCCCTTCTGGGAAATGGGCATGAAGACAAAGTTTTCATAGAAACATATTTCATTTGTTTAAGAATAATTCTAAATATTTTAAACATTTAAAAATTTCTATTGCTAGACTGTCTTTCTCTCTTCGTGGCACAACAGTTTCTGAAGGACCTCATCTTCCCAAGACTTGGAATGCCGCAATCAGTCCCGCACAATCGGAAACACGACAATGGGGGAGTGCAGTTCCCAATTCTAAAAAATACCACGAAAGCAATATAATCGGATCAAATACAATTTAGGTGTTACTTTATGGTAGAACGAGTAATGGCTGCAACTGGAGCCAAGGGCAGATTGCCCATCTGCCTTTTAAAAAAAGGATACTTCATATGTCTTTTTCCTCTCGTATTCTCTATCAGTTTTGAAATTTATGATGTGTGTAGAAAAATTAAGCACCAATAATCTTTGATAATTGAGCATAATTCTAAAACTGTAATATATAAAAAAAAATTAACAAAAGATTTAATTAGAGCATCCAAAAAATAACAGATATCATATCTAAATTGCTTTCTTACACTGAATGTAAACCTATAGATGTCATTAAAAAGAAGTTTATCTTAATTAAACTAATAAATAATTTATATTTATGCTGAATAACAAAAAATTAACCAATCCGACCCGAGAGCACTCGAATATGAAGTTCCTACAATTAATGTCGTAATAAAGCAATTGTTACATTTCGTTTACATTCCAAGTTCAAGTATTAACTAATAAAAAGCACTTATGTTAAAGTTTAGATTGGTAGGATCAAAGGTAAAATTTATGTTGTTTGATCACATCATTTAAATTATTGGAAAACAAATATTTCTGGCAAACCGTTCTCAGTTTCTTCGAGATAAAGGGAAGAACAAGATCAAAGCAGCTCCATTAAGAGACTTGGAATGCCGCAATCAGTCCCGCACAATCGGAAACACGACAATGGGGGAGTGCAGTTCCCAATTCTAAAAAATACCACGAAAGCAATATAATCGGATCAAATACAATTTAGGTGTTACTTTATGGTAGAACGAGTAATGGCTGCAACTGGAGCCAAGGGCAGATTGCCCATCTGCCTTTTAAACTACAATTTATTCAAATTATATCAAATAAGTCGGTGACGGCATTTTATAGTGCAAACGTTTACAAACACCAGAACGAACATACTGATGACGAATCAAGTAATTCTTGAGAACAAACACCAAACTTCCATGTATACACAATGCAGATTTTGGCACAGGTTGGAAAGTATTGGTATTGTATTAATATATTTGGTGTTAATTAACTTTTACTACAATTTATCATCTTGAAAAGGTGACTGCGGCGGGGATTACTTATCATTTTTAATCGCTATTTTTCCACATTCGATCGATCTAAGTGCAGCAGTTTATCTGATCGACGAACTTTGTTCTGCACGAGGCAAAACAACTGCCAAGACAAAATGGCCGCCGCATTCCGGTAAAACGGAAGGAGGTAAGTGCAATTTCTTTTTTTTTTTCTTTTTTACATATGTATATAAATTATACTCGCTTTTTTTGCGCGCGACGGGGTTATTCATCAAGGACAAAAAAACTAGAAGTTGTCTTCATCCATTTTATTACTCTTATAACTTCTTATGCACTTGCAATGTCTTCATCCCTGGAACTCCACGTGAATAATTTGGAAAAAATTTCTGAAATCGATAGCAGAAACGTGGGATTAATGCCACTCACTTTTTTGGGCGGAGAATCCAGATCGAAGTCGAGCCCCAGATCGTCGTCCTCCATTTTGTTTAATTACGCAAAAGAAAGGACAAAATACCCGATTCGTCCGGAAAATCAAGATGGCGAAGAGTTTACTATTGTTGCTACGCAACAAGAAAGGAACAAGTAAAGTGTGACGCCACAGAATACGTAAGGACCGAACCAATGGCCGACGGCGAAAGCGCGTAAGCCACGATCGACCAATGGGAATCGACGTTAGACGATGACAAGTTGTTGTAGACGGTCAGATGATGGAGAGAATGTAGTAAAAAAAAGTTCAAATTCTGCCAGTATAAAGTTGTTTTCGTCGTATTATGATTTGATTTAAACGTCCGGGAGTGGTCCGTTGCCGTTATTAAGACGATATCAGTTATGGTAAGCCCGAAAAATGCACGCGATTTAGCGCTAACCCCGTTTTAATGTCGAAAGGACGGAGAGGAAGATGATGGAGGCTGTTCTCTTTTTTTTTTTTTTTTTCTCGTTTGACGCAGAAATCAAAATTGCATTTCGGTTCCGTCCACGCCACATCTGCCTTCCCTCGAAATAATGTCTTCGACTCTCGTTCCCGTTTATAATGTCGCCCGTCGTTTTCTAATGGACGTATACGTCGTCCGATGTTTATTACAAAAAAAAAAGAAGAAAGTAAACGGGATTTTCGTCTTGAAACGCACGAGAATTGGCGCTATGTTTTTCCATTTTTCTTTCGCAATTGTCTTGGTGTAGGTGTGGAACACTATGAAACACCACTCTGCCTGCCAGATGAAGTCGTTTAGTGTGAAACTTTATATTTTATACACACAAACACGCTCATCAGAAATTGCTAGATAAGCCTCTTTGGCACTAGGTAATTTGTGTGTGTGTGTTACGTCTGTGACTAAAAGTAACCGCTACTGAATATACCCGAGTTAGACGTTCTCAAATTTATGGTAATTTTGCTGCAGTATATTCTGTTAATTCTTAATCAAAGTATGCAGTGGATGCAGTGTGTCTATGTCAAAAATGGCACCTAAATGTGATTTCCGGCAAACAATAAATGACAAATTTACTGCTTGGAAGTTTTTGGTCGTCATTTAGAGGCCTTCGTCGGAAGTGAATATATAAAAAACAGTTCTATCGTTTGAACTTTGCTGCATTCCGATTTTTTAAACATTTAAAAAGATGTTCGTGTATCTATATTCATACTGTCCGAGTTCCTGCTGGTATTTTGCATTCCATTTGTGAGAGTTTACTATCTGATGCTTTATAAATTGCATCTTTTCTTATTTCTGTAATAAATTAGTAAATTTTTAGTTTCTTTAGGTTTTTTAATAGAAAATGGGTGGTTAATGTCTCATCTGTTGTCTGTTATATTATGATTTTTAAGTTTAATTAATGTTAAAAGGTGGTGTGTGTGTTTGTAAACGTGTATGTGTCTACCTGCTGTACCTTTCTTCATAGATGTTTATTTTATACACTTAGTTTTATCGGATGTTCTTTCGATTTAGATAATGTCTATTAAATTACAAAATTTAACATATTGGAACTGGATACGAGCATTTATGTTGTTTCAAATTTGAAAGTTTGTAGTAGTATTAAGTTATTGTTTCTGCTTGTATGAAATTCAGTTAATACTGTAGTTCTTGTGCATCGAATGGGAGTGCATGATGGTTGACTTCTGATTTGGTTGTAGACGTGAAAAGATTGTTGCTCTTAAATTTCTGTGCCAAAGCAGTTTCATTTACCTAAATCACTCTTTTGTATGACATATTGCTTACTATTACCAGTTTTTTGGTTTTGAAAAAGTGGATGACTACGTAACATTATAATGGTTGTAGTCTAGCAGAATAGTGTCGAGTGCTTATGTTCATATGCCTTATAAATAACACATGTGGTCAATAAATAATAACTATTGAATATTGATTGATAAGTTGACTGTCGTACTCAATGTCTTGTTTGTTTTACAGTTTGAGAATCGCTTGAAAAGTAAGTATGAAATAACTAATGACTTCTAAAAGATGATGTCCATTCAATTAAAAGTATTAATAACGAATCTAAGTCGTCAGCATTAAGTATTTGATTTTCATATCAGAATATGATGATGATTATGGGTAAATCTCAAGACGGTGTTTTAGAAATATGGTATATTAACATGATACCTCACAAAATTTAATTATTATAAGAATATTTGTGGAGCTTGTCCAATTAAAATAATGATAGTTGTTAGTTGCTTTTCAATTGGATGTATTTCTTGATTATGTGAACGAGGTCTGCCATTTTATCTTTTAATACTGGTACTGTGTTGAAAATTTTCTAGAACAGTCTCCAATTATATTCATCCATTTTAATTATTTTTTTGTCTTTTCTGTTTTTTTCAATTTTATCAAGTGTATATAGTTTCTAATTCTATTGTTCATCAATTACTTTTCCTAAATATATACACCATGTTAAATTTACCAAACAGTAAGTGTTAGATATAATAACAAAATATAACTAATTTGCTACAAAAAATTAAGAAAAAGCTAATTATATCAATAACAAGAAGTATATATATTGTTCTTATACAGATTTTTGTATGTAAGGTAGTTATTTACTCAATTAGTAATGACATCTTAGATTTGGAGAATCAAATTTAGTGATTTCATAATAAAATATTCATTATCAAAGAACTGTTTTTATATTATAAGCTTTAGACAGTTGTTTTTCTTATGGACCTTTATGTATAAAATGAAATTTCTGAATAATTTCACTGTTTATTTTTAATCTTAACATTCACGTAACTTGTTAAACCCTTTGTAACACAGTTAAGCATAGTTTATTGTTAAAAATATATTTATAAAAGACAGGTCGTGATAATTATTTGGGAACAGAATAAAACTTACTGTCTGACTATCAAATATTGTCATCGTCCACAGTTTTGTTTTTTAATCATAATGTATTATTATGGTTCTGTTATTTGGGGAATGATTCTGTTCTGTTGTAAAACTATTGTTTTGTTGGATAGAATTGTAAATGTCTACTAGTCATGTTCATATTCTTACAATTTTAGTAGATTTTTTGGTGGTGAGACCAAATTTGTTTTTAATAATTGAATGTCATTCAAGTATTAACATCTCAAATGTTTCTTTTCCCTGTCTTCTTTATGACATTGTGCTTTTATCTTTCCTGTTCTGTTCTATTTGCATAGCTAAATGTCTTCAATATGAAATTTAATTTTGTTATTTAGAATTATGAATGTCTTAATCTACAATTAATCAATAGAAATGAACTAGAAGTACTGATATAAATTATAAATTAAGTAAAAGAGCTTGGCTTTTCACAGAATGTAAATTTAACCCATTATAAACATCTTCAGACACTTCACATGCAGTTGAATAAAATTATAATTGAAAATGGTTAATACATAATTGTAAGAATAAAATTATTAAAATTACATGCTTTTGATCTAAATACAGATCTTTTTTAAGTCTACATAATTTAAAATGATATGTAGATATGCATACTTTGGAGTAAATTTAAATATTTAAATGGACAGAATGTTGAAAGATAATGGTATACAAGTATTGTTAAATAAACATTAATAAAATAGTCAAGTAAAATAATTTACTACTGGTTTAAAACAAGATTTTTTTTAAATGTTTGTGTAATAATTGTATAATAATTTTTATATTTAGTTAACAATATTGAATGCATACATTCACAAACAAACTTTGTGTGTGCGTGTTAGTCAAAATGTGAGATAATTAATAGTTTACAGTAGAACAGGGACATAGACCACAGTAAAACAATCAAAAAGATGGATAGACTGTGTTAATGAGATTTAGAGCAACTGGGAATAGAGAATGACAGAAAAAAAAATTATGGGATACAGTGGCATACTAATGTAACGGGGACAAAATATCTTGATAATTTCTAAAGCCATACAATGCCAAGTAGAATATTTAATTCATGCATTTGTTAGCACTGTGATATTATCCATTTTTCTTTTTTAATCATTTTTTAGCAAATGTCGTCTGCACTAGGTAGTACCTCTCTGTCTGTTATATGTTGTACATATTGTTATTTTTAAAATGTAACTATTTAATTTTCACCTGTCAATTTTAATTATAATTGTTCTCTGTGATTAATGTAAATGTTTTATTAATTATGCATTGTTTTGAAGATGCTTGAATATGTTTTTCAAGCATCTTCAAAAGAATGCAAGTATTATTGATAAAACATTTTTGTGTTGATTGATGTTTGTTTGTTGCAAAATAGTAATCTCTCGTGCCAAAATATGGCAATCGTTAGGCCAAGCAATGCTGCATACAACAAAGTAAAGCTCGAGAAAATTTCCAGAGTAACCTATCAAACAAAATCTGAAGTGTTGATTTATAATTAGATTTGTCTTCGAATGTAAAATTTTATTTTTGATTGAGCAGTTAAATTTGAGTTATCAAACAGATTCAACGTATCTGTCGATAGAATTAAATAAACAATTACTTATTTAAATACTTATTAATATAATAAGTTTAGGAACAATGGAAATATAACATCTTTGGGTAGAATTTGAATCTGTCGTTCTGCCAACCTAGCGGAAAAGTTGGCTCCACACGGTACAGTCAGCAAGTTGGAACTTTTAACCTACACGAATTTTGATTTATCATTTGAGATTATGGGATTAATGGTTATATAAATTTTATCATACTTATCATGGATAAATATAGCACCAATATTATTTTACTTTCAAAATTTAATAAAATTTAGAAGACTGTAAATTTAAAAAATAATTAATAATACAGTATAAATGGTATGTTTAAACAGTTAAAATAGAAATTAATTTGTAAATTTATTTCAAACTTATTGAAATTTGATAACTTAAATATTATTAGAGTAAATGTAGAGTTTGAAAATTTAACTATTAAATGCCATTGAGATTTATAGTGCCAAGTTCATCTCACTTAACCTAAATGAATTGAAGTTACACTAACATGTCCACTTAAAAGAGGTTAGGACAACAGATATGGAAAGATTTGGTTCTTACACAATGGTGTACATATACACTGCATGTAAAATCTAATATATTTTATTTACATAATTCTGATTAATTCTAGCATATTTAATTAGCTAATATAATTTAAATTCTGAATTTCCAGATACCAAAAATGTTAAAAAACATTTAATTCTTGTTGAATAATCTGGGAATTCTTTTTAAGATTTCTAAATTGTGTATTCGGCAACATATCAGAATGAACAGATCTTATTAATTTTAATTAAATAATTTGTTAAGATGAGTGAAAAATTTAATAATGCAACATAACTTAATTCCTTCTGCTACATAACTAATCTTTTGTGTGTATATCTACAGTTTATCTTATGAATTGTTTGTTAAGGCTACCAAATATTTAATTTTCTTTACTTTTGGTAGCCGTAATAAGCAGAATTGATAGATATATATAAATTTTGTCAAGTTTTGCTAATTATAATATGTACAGCATTTAAAATTTCTTAGATTTTTAATTAATGTGAAAAATTTGTGCAAATTTTACAGGCGGTGAACGAACCTCCGTACCTCACGGTTGGAACCGATGTCAGTGCCAGATATAAAGGTGCCTTTTGTGAAGCAAAAGTAAAAAAAGTTAACCGCTCTGTTAAATGCAAGGTAAGAGTTGTTTTTTTATTCGAAAGCTTGCTTTATAATCAAGATAATGACATAATAATCACAGATTTTAATATATTTTGAAAGATTGGAATTATAAATGATATAAATTTCATTAATAAAGAGATTTGACATTAACTACAAAGAGTAACAAATAACATTTTTATACTTTAGGTAATATTTGCAAACAATTTGGGCACTTTAGTCCTACCGGACGATCAGATACGAGGCACTCTTAGAGTAAGTGCAATTTAAATTAATAACAAAATTTTTATGCTATATGAAATGTTAAAGAATAAGTCGTGGCTTACTTTATAATTTGTTAATAGGTAAATATGCACGTGGAAGCTAAGCATCCAGAGAAAAATCAATATGCTCCTGCAGTCATAGCAAAAATATTTGATTATAGTCAGTATACTGTGGGTAAGTTAAAGTTTAATTCTGTAATTATAAATATGTACTATATTTATTATTTAATGATAATGGAGGTTGAGTAAATTTGTGAGGCTTGCTTATAATTCAATGATTTTAGAATTCCTGTGAAAAAATATGAATTATAAATTAAATTGATGGCTTTCGAAGTGTGGTCCGTGAGCACATGCCAGTTTTATTCGCAGACTGACCTAGTTTTTCTGAAATGCAATTCTATGCTGTTTAGCCAGAGAAAATAATATTTTTATGCATCGGATACAGTGTCTGTTATCTTCAGTTACCAGTTACACAGAATATTTTGGTAATTATCATTATCTGAGGCAATGGTTCCCAGACTGAGGCACAATCTGGGAACCCAAAACCATTCAGAAGTACCAAGGCTAGGTTAGCTATTATTTTAATTATTAATGATGTTCCAATGGTATTTGTGTAATGTACTTTTTGTATATTTGCTTAAAGTGTGTATATCAAGATCTGTACCACTAGAACTTTTTAAGTGAATACAATCCTCTGTCTAATTTTTTCATAACTAAATTATGTTCTTTACCTGTTAATAGGGGAAAAAGACAGTTTCCTACAGATATTGTTCCTTCTGTTTTGTGGTTAATTCATATGAGTTAAAATTTGCAGTCAGTGAATATGTGACATATGAAAATAATTGTACTATCAATAAATACATTTTATATAGTATTTATTCTTTGCCTATTTTCCTTATTAACTAATATTATTTAATTATAATAGCGGCCGGATGGCCGAGCGGTCAAGGTGGCAGCCTACCGTCCAGGGCACCCGGGCTCGAATCCAAATGGGTCGAAAAATCCCCAGGAATTTTTCGGGGGGGTAGTCCGTTCGGAAATGTCAGGCCCGTCCCTCACCACACGGCAGCCCCATTGTGGGCCAGGCCGAACCCATAATGGGCTTGCAAAAAGAGGCCCTCCTAGTGCCCACAAGACGGAAAGAGTTATAAAAAGAAAAAATAAAAAAATTTAATTATAATACCAATGCATCAGTTACTCTTATTACCTAGCTTGGGTTTCTCCTTCAAAAAAAATTACTTACATACATATATTAAATATATACAGGGTGATTCACTGGTGACATTCAGTAGTTTTTTTCTTGGAAACCATTATAGATGGGAAGTGGGACTAATAATCAAGTTTCTAGAACAAATGGGACAATTTTTGGTGATCTTAGATGATTTCTAAAATCATTATTTTTGAGATATTAATAAGATTTTTTAAATTATAAGGGGCATTTTTGTGTTATTATACAGATTTTGTCACATACAATCCATATCATAGCTCAAAAGCACCCTTATAATTTAAGAAATCCTATATTGTTCTGTATCTCAAAAACTGTTGATTTTTCGAGGTCATCCAAAGTCACCAAAAATTGTCTCCCATCTGCTCTATAAACTTGATTATTAATCCCATCTTTTTATTTCTAGTGGTTTCTAAGAAAAACCTACTGAATGCCACCTGTGAATCATCCTGTATAATGTATATGTATATAGTATATAATACAGGTATATTGGGAGCTGCTGTTAGATGACACAAAGTTAAGGGAGCTGCAGATTATAAAAAATTTGGAAACCATTTGATCTAAGATGATATTTACAGGATAGAAAATAGATGGGCATAGGTAATCTGCAGTTTATCCTTGACTTAGTTCAAGTGGTCCATGGATTTATAATTTTGAGACCAGTCAAACTAAATTATATCAAGTTGCTTCGTTTTAAATTATTCTAAGTGTCTCAAAGCCAAATACATATGTTCATCAAGATGCCATAAATGATTCACTGTAAGGTTTTATTTTATAATCTAAGGAACAAATTATTTATTTATTTGTTATTGGTACAAGTACTTCCATACAAGGGGGAAAATAAAAGAAAATTAATAAATAAGCAGTCACACAATGGTCTCTTAATTGTGCTTAAACAATACAAATAGAAATTTAATACAATAGTATAAAGATTTAAGAAAAAAATTATACAATTTATACAACATTATCTTTGACATATTTTTATCATATAAATAATTCTTTGAAAAATTGTCAGTGAGAATTTCTCCTTGATAAATATAAAACTGGACATGATGCAAAAATATGCATAAATATACAGTCATGATTGGTAATGCAATATGGGAATAATGCTCCCTTATAAATATCTATATACTGACCACTCAGCATAATCCAGTATTTATTAAGACATAATTGCATTAGCAAACTTTTCATAGGAAATCCAATATTATAATTTAAGTAATTGGCAGTCTGCAAATCTGTAGTTTTCATAAATATTACATCGCTGAAGTGAAGCATAAGTTATATCTTGATGCCATACTTTATCACATCTAGTTTGTATTATATCACGCAAGAATGATGTAAATTATCAAAAATGTTTTTAATTTATAATTTCCAATTTCTCTTGCTTGAATTTCCTTTCTTCAATACAGAATTATAAACACAATAACAAAGATCATGATGAATAAGATCAATAATTTTAGACCAAAACAACAAAATATTTTTAAATATTAATTTCAAACAGAGGTCTCCCTAATTCCAATCTTACAACAGAACTTGGCACTGAATGTTCAAGCTTAAATAATCTTTTGAAATATCTTAATTGAACTTCTCAATTTTTTTCAATAAGATCTAAACCCCAAACTGGAACCAAAATATGTTATTTTAGACCTTAACATAGCATTTTAGACTTTAACATTTTGAAAAGTTTACACATTGCTTTAATGGAGTTCATTCTCATTTTTGTCTGTAGTGCCAAAAGACAACCTGTCTTATGTCGTATATCTTTCTCTATTTTATCCAAATGATAAATAAATAACTCCAGAGGAGGAAAAATTAAATGCTTAATATTTAAAACTAGAAGACCCAGCCACATGTTGGGGCTCAAAATGTATAACACTTCCCCTGTGGGGGAATTTTTCGAAAAATTCCTTCTTAGTGTACATTCTCTTGATGTACCCTATTAAAACACAATCAAAAATGCAAGAAACTGCATCTAAAATAGTGTAATAGAAGCCAAGTTCTTCACGGTAAGCCTTAATCCTGTCCATCTCCCTCCAGTGGGGGGAATTTCGACATGTATATTATATAAAAACACGTGTACTCGAATGCAACATTGTTTCAAAATTTCAAAGAAATCGGTAGGAACAAACAAACATTACATTTTTATTTATATAGATAGATAGATGATCTGAGTTCGTTTTTAGTTCATCCTCAGAAAAGCATAATGCCTCACAGAAAAGCAAACTTAGGTCATTGTACTCATGGAGTTGGCGCCATCTGTTGGACATAAAAGCCTTAATCCTAGATGATATCTTTTAATTTATATGAATGTTTAACGGAATAATATACAGCTTATGTCCACCCTGAAATTCCATTCTAAATATTGGTGAAAGAATTTTTGAAATCAAATGAGTAGTTTCGGAGATTACCTCCTACATCCAACTTTACAAACTTTACCTCTTTATAATATTAGTATAGATGAAAAACAAAATTAATTTCTACATTGTTAATAAAAATTTTCAGTTTTATGAAGTCTTCCTCCATTACAAAACACTAATCCCTTTGTTTTCTGAAAACTAATAGAAAGTTCATTTTTCAACATACTGTATAATCAGATAATGAAATCAGTTTCTTCTGTGAAGATGCTAGTCCAAATTCTCATTTGAGCAAGATGTGCAAAACTCCCGCAATGTTCTATTTTTCTTTGTAAAATTGTGGAAAAAAAGTCTTTATCAAATAATACAAAACCAATTCTATGTCTTATCCCAAATTCCCAAATTTTGTTACTAATCCACATTGCCTAGCAGATTTCCAAATTAAAGTAATGATTAATGAATAAGTTAATTCTATATTGTCAATAGGCTCTACAGTTGTGTACAAGTTACTAACTGCTTGAGTAAACAAGTTTACTTTTTCTTCTTTCCATGCCTACCTTTCCTGTTGTTCTCTTTGAATAACATTACTTTTTCTTGTGTTATCAAATGATAATTCTAATACTACCAAAAGATGGTCCAACACACAGCCCTCAAAGTGCTCAATCAATCCCTCACTCAATACTAATAAGTCTATTGCTGATGCTTCCAATTTGGATATGTATGTAAAATTAGCTGGGGAATTATGAGGGTGATGACCATTTATTATAAATAAATTATTGTCTTTAACCAACTCAATAAAGTGGTCACACCGCTTATTGTAAATCAAATCTTTTGCTAATCTGAATTCAAAATAAAATTTTCATGAAAAATATTGTCCATTTTCTTACCAATCCTGGCATTTGAATCACCTAATAATAGAAGATCATGATCAACAGAAAAACTAGAAATCAAATCAAATCTTCCAGATCAGTCAATATGTTATTAAAAACAAGTATATATGCAGATAATATAGAATAATAATTATATTTTGAGAATTGCTGAATTTCTTTTGATCAAAAATTAGTCTTGTAATGATTAAATATTGCATTGTCTTAAGCAGAAATGCATCTCCTAAATTCTGATTTTATATAAAGTTACAACCTTAGTTGCCAGCTTTTCAGATACCCTTATTGTTAGGTAAATCTTATTTATTTTCAATCTAACTGAAAAAGTAAGCCATGTCTCCATCAGGCCCAAAATTGAAAATTACAGAAGATAATTGAAAAATTCTGTTATTTAAATTAAACAAAATGGTTCCTTGGCAATTCCATGCCACAATTTTTACCTTCAGCTTATGAAAGTTTTGATTAAACTGTAAGTGGGACTTTGAGGTCCCATGTTCAAAATTGGAAACAAAAAATTAAGATTCACAAGTTCACCTCTCTCTAAATCTATCAGCATCAACTGCCAAAATGTCTGCTATTAATTGAACTTTTTTTTTTCAGATTTATATTCATGATGGAAAGTATTAGTTTTTTGCATCTTTATCTCCAACACAAGTTGTCGAATATCTTAATTTTTGTAAATTTTGCATGGCTTTTAAGATTATGTATTCTTTTAAAAATTAACTTTTTATCTAATAATGATGATATCTCAATCAAAATATTATTTTATTTATAAAACCTTGTTATCCTTGCCATTGGAATAGTTCTAGGTTCTTCTACTATTACCATAAACAGCTCTTCTACTGTACAGTACCTTACTACTCAGATCATCATCAGTCTTTATCAGATCCTGAGTTATTATATTTTTTCTCTGCAACTCATTTGCCAGCAAGTCAACATTATGCAAAATCAAACTATCTTTGCTTTGAGATTCCTGATTATACTAAAAAATTTCATGCAGCTTAGATTCAATCTTAGTCAATCTATCATCACTTTTGTTATGTAAATTAACAAGCCAATCGATTCTAGCAGATGCCTAGCTTAAAGCATTAAGGACTGTATCAAAGCTTTCATCTAAATATGAAAGTATTTTGTTAGAAATTGATTGACTTGATTCAGATTTAGCAGGGAAAAAAATTATCTAATTTTGCTGTTTTCAATGTAGGTTCACTAGGAGAATGATGCCTCTTGCTCTTAACATTAGAAAACTGAACTGGTGAATTAGGAGGAGTACAGGATAAAGGACTGGGATTTTCCTCTATTCCACTGAAAATCAACAGAAATATGGACACACCACAAAAAGAGCAATATTTTCCAGTCTTTAACTTTCCAAAAAGTCACTAACAAACTTCACCAACATGCTTGACTGACTACAGCACTCCATAAAGAACGAATTATAATTGTCAAAAATTTGCCTGTTTAAATTTGGAATCAAGTTTATTCTAGGAAAATGTTATTGATTGATATTGGGGATTTTTTTCATTATTTCTGAAAACAATTGATATTAGGGATTTTTTCATTATTTATTATAGGAAAAATCCTAAGCCATTTCTAGTACATTTGAATTATCCCAATAAATTTCTCTGGTGTCACCAAAATACTTCAAAATACCTATTTACCTATTAATTGATGATTTTAATATAATATTAAATATTACAAACTCCCTTTTACCTTACTAATGCTAAGATCTTTAAAAGATGTTTGTAAGTTATAATACAATAAATAAATTTCTTTAATACTCTTAATAGGATTGTATATAAGCTGTTTCTTTTCTTTAATTTTGCAGTAGACAACAATAAAAAATGTTGTAGTTATACTGTACATTTTATATTAAAATATTGCTGTATTAAAACAAAACAATAAATGAATATAAAGAAATGAAATAGTGAACCTATTATAATGAGCTGTTATGAATAAGTTCATAAGATCGCACTGAAATTTTGTAATGTAAAAGAACATGATGCCACTAAAACTAACAAAACACACAATGGAAATAGAATTATCTCCTCCTTCAAACTTTTATTAGTCTAATCTTTAAACTTTTCATAAATTCTCTTCAATTAAATTCATAATACTTGGATTTTTTGATTTGAATGCTGCAATTGATACTAAAGAACATTTTCATTATAACAGGAATTTGGATACTGGGATATGGCTATATTAGCTGTTATTTGATGATTACAACAAGAAAATTAAAAAAAAAAATTAACTGTTCAAACATTACGATATTTTAAAATACGTTCATAATTTTTCATTAAATTTGATTTATTTCCTTATACCTATCAATGTATTTTATTAGTTGACTTTATATTTGAAAATCACTATTATTATTTAAAGTTTAAAAATATTTACATTAAATATTTCACTGAACTTGATAAATGGAGTTTTTTTTATGATTAAAAAAAAGTCCTTCCACACTGCTTGTTAGGCTAACCAACTATTTTATTTACAAAAAACATTTTTGGCTTCTTTTGAGCTATCTTTAGTTTTACTTACAACTTGTTCTCACAAATATTTGAAATAATAGAATTTAAAATTTTTATCACTTCAAATATTTCAATGATATATGATATAAAGTAACTTATTATAATAGCTTGTATCATTATCTTACTACTTGTTGTTTGTTAATGTAAAATGGAGTTGTGTACTTTGAGAGAGAGCTTGTATAATAAATAATTTTATGAAACTTATATAGTTATATATTTTTCATATTTGAATTTCATGATTTTTTAATTAAAAACAAGTTTTATTTCAGTATTTGATGATGGTGATGAAACGACACTGAGGAGAACATCGCTTTGCTTAAAAAGTGGGCGACATTTTGCAGAAAGTGAGGTAAGAATATCACTTTGGTTAGTTTTTAATTAATGAAAAATAATAATCAAATATATATGATTAAAAATACTGTATTTCCATGCACATAAGTGTACAGATGCAGCAAAATTGGCACTATATTCTGCAAAGTGCCTTTAAAAATTCTCACTATTTTTAAAAAACTAATGATATTGGAAATATCTTATTGTGTCGGCATCAGACTTCTATTTTTAATAATGGTTACCACAGAGATATCGTCAAGTAGTTACCGTATCAATTCATTTATATGTAATTTACATTGAAACAACAGTACAGTGCTCTTGTCAAGTCAAAGTTGATACACATCTGAGCATGCTGTTATATGTGGGATAAACTCTTGTAAGTGAATGCAGGGCATGTTTCAAAAATGCAAAACAAAGCACTTTTTACATATAAGAGCATGCTATTATTTGCACAGAAATGTGGTAAAAGTTCCTAATAACTAAAAACAAAACTTTCATCTATTAATGAAATTTTATGAATAGAATTAACAAATATTATATTTTACAAAATACAAAGAAAAATCAAAACAGATATCTGAATCCATTCAATTCTATTTAAATATGGATTTGACATTTTGTGATGAAATTGGAAAAATTTTTATTTCTTAAAGAATGCTTAGCAATAGTTCTCATTTTCACTATATAGAGTTAATTTTTTAGTAATAATGGTAATTGTGTTTTCCTACAATTTTTATAATTTTATTATCTAAATCAGAGACTTTGATGTAAAAGTATACGAATTATTGAATGCTATAATTACTGTTGAGAATTAGAATATACCCCTGTTAAGCAAATAATTTAAATTTTTAAAATTAAGAGGAGAAAATATTGTTCCTGTATAATTTATTTAAAATATTATAAGTTAAATTTATTTACCTATTATTATTGCATAAAGTTAATCATATATAATTAAGAATATTATGTAATTCTTGAGCTATAATGTTCAACATTTTTATTATTATTCTAATATTTTGAAATACTGACATTACTGTAGAATAACTATTCAGATTAATTGCATGCAAACACGGATGTACAATGAATTGATTCATTTAATATATTAGTTCATATAATCTCAATAAAAATGTTGGATGTAGCAAAGATTATAAATCAGATCAATAGATTATAAATAAAAAATTAATTTGTTAATTGCTTGTTGCAGTCTTTCAAATTTTATTTAATTTTTTTATTAGACTTTGGATCAGTTGCCATTAACAAATCCAGAACATTTTGGTATTCCAGTAATAGGATCAAAAAATAAAAGAAAAAGACGATCAATTGCAAGTTGTTCCTCAATGTAATGTATCATTTTTATTTTACTTAATTTTAATACTTCAATGTGAATACATGGAGGTAAATTGTTGTTTAGATTTAGCAGAATTCTACTTCTATTAAAGTATAATTATTTTTTAAGACATTAGTATGCTATTAATGTCATTAAAACACTTTACTATTGCTTAATATTGTAATGATTAAAATGATTTCCTAATTAGAAATTAATGATATCATTTTAGTTTTCAAATGATAAATCTTTATAAAAATGATTGCTGTATAATAAATTTCTTTACTATTATTTTATCTTAATTTGTATTTGTTAGAAAACACTCTTCCTTGTAAATAGTTATTTATTAATTTCTAATTACAAGGAAGGAAAAGATTTGAAAAATCTGTTCATATTCTTCTATCAAAGAAAAATAACTTCACCAGACGAATAAAATTAAAAGCAAATACTATTTACTAAAATTGTGTATTATTTTAGAATTATGTTTAACATTTCTACATATAGATACAAATGTCCTAAATATTAAATTAATAACTTTATTTAAAATAATTTATTAATAATTTTTAAAACAAATATTGAATTGATGCTGTTAGCAAAAAAAAAAAAAAAACATTTAATAGCATTAGTAGGTGAATGGTTAAAATGATTAAATTGCAAATTTATTTCATAATTTGGTAGTAAATTGCAAAATTGAATAAAAATAGTTAAAGTTAAGTATTATAAGTTAAGTACTATTTAAACTGTTTAGATATGAGAGGAAAGTTTGAAATAGCATTTCAAATTTTATTACCATATTTGACAAAAAACACCTGAATGTAAATTAATGGATGATTAAAACTGTACTGTAAAAATGATTTTACAGTAGGATTTTAAATGTCCAGGTTGAACAAGAATGACAACAGACCAAATATTATGGAGTCCTAAGAGTTGTTATTCATACAGAATTCATATGAGTTGTGTTTGAGAATAAATTATTAGCTAGGTTTGGCAATTTATCTATTTATTTTCAACCTAAAAGCAGTAATTATTATTTAAACCTTTTTAAAATAAATTTTTAAAACAAAGCAGAATTAATATCTTTAAAAAGAAAATGATTCGTTTTGAAGAAAACAAGTTTTGCCAAAGTTTTTCTTAGATGACTTAACTCAATTCTTTGGGCAAATGTCTTAACAAAGTTTTTAATTTGGATTCTATAATTATTTAGGAAAATTACTTTAAAATTAGCTGTAATTTTTAATTCTGGAATGTGTATACGTTTTGTGAAGTTATCTTTCGGTTATAACGAGATGTAAATACGAATATCACAACATTGTTGCAACCATCGAAAGTATTCAAAAAATATAAAGGGAGTATTTTCAAATTTATGATTTCTTTTTTCAAATAACTGCAACTTTTAAACAAATATAAATGCTAAATTATCAGTTTCTCAAATCTAAGATGCACTTTCATTTCTGAATGCAAACTTGTGAGTTTTTTTAATAGACAGCTGGAGACAAATTTATGTTAACAGAATTGGTTCTGTTGATATAAATTTGTTTAGTTTTACACAGTAAAGCAAGTTATATATCAATATTCTCTGTGGTATCAAAATTTGAAATCTCTCACTTTTCACATTAGGCTTTTTTAAATTGATTGTTACATCTAACCATATGGAGTTGTCCTTGATATTATTTAAAGCAATTAGAAATACAACAATTCTGGAAAGAGTACCACAAAGTTTCCTGGGATTTTCATCCAATTACTTAAAACATTATTATAACAGACTAACTATATTAAGCTAGGTTGACCTCTTAAATATTGGTCTAACAAAATTATTAAAATGATACAATGGAATTAGTGACAAAGAAGCAAGATGTATATTGCAAGAGATTACTAATTACAAAGTGTTACATTGTATCTAAGACCTACCCTTCAGAGATACTAAAACTGGAAAAGCCAAATCTTGAGTAAGTACAATGATTAAACAATGAAATATTGCATTTGCATTGTGCTTTCTACCAAATATTGTTAACAGTATTTTTCCATAATTGCCAATGTTAGTACCCTTAGTTTGTCAACTGTTTTATTATACAAACTATAGTAGAGTATCAATTATCCGAATGCCGATCAACTGAAACGTCTGTCGACTGAAAGCATTGCAGTCGAACTGTGTTGTGCTGAATTGAACGTTTTTGATACTAGATTAATGTCTAAATTATAATTTTTTTTGTTTTTATATTTTTCAATATATTTATTTTGTTTGTACAAAATAAAGAAATAATTTTTAACGATACAATAGCCATGATTAATATTGTAAAAATTTTCGTTAGTCTTAACATCAATGAAAATTCAATGCAAAGTGACACGCAACAGAGAAAAATTTAAACATGGGATATATTAATATACTATTATTGGGATATACTAATATACTATATTAATAATGTATTTTTTCGTACGTAATCGGTTATCCGAAAAATCGATTTTCCGAACAACCCCAGTCCCCAATTGATTTGGATAATCGATGCTCTACTGTAGTTATAACTAACAAATTTTAGTATTACTTGTGAATATTAATGTTGCACTTTTTCCATGTTCATACAAATACTATGTTCATACGTAATATAGAATAATAATTTTGCACTCAACCAATATACATTGAATATATGATATTACTATTTTATTAAGCATCTCAAAAATATTATAGAATGCTTCTGACACAACAAATTGTGATGTTGTTATATTACAAACGTCACTAATGTTGTTTAATTAAATTAATTATTTATTTATTTGATGAAGTTAAGAAAATGTAATGAGACTCCTTCATTTTGATTACTTTGAAAGATCGGAAGTGATATCATCCCAACTTCAGTTATGTATATTCAGAAATTATTTCATTATACATAGCATAATTTTTATTTATAGTTGTTTGCAAATCATTGCAGAGTTTACTAATTATTTATATTATTACTGAAATTAAGAATGACATCAAATTCTTTTATTTCGTTAATTTGAATTCTTATTTTTTAACATATAAAATGCCAATGTAAGAATTTGAAACTTTTATTCAAAAAGAAACGTTCAGAATAATTATAGATTAAATGACTTAAGAGTTTTGATAATAACTAAAGTTTTTCCCACACCAGGTCATATAAGACAAAAAATGTACACTCCGTAACCAATATCCAGCATGAAATCAAATCAGGAGGGGCATCAAAAGCATTTGCCAACCTACATTTTGGATTTTTAATGCCGGAGTGTACATTTTTTAGTTTTGATAATTACAGTGCAATGCATTATGACGATGGATTAATTATATTTCAGGGATGGAGACAGTAGCAGTGAAGAACTTCATTCTAAAAGGAAAAAAGATTTAAAGAAAGATTATGAAACCGATATTGCTAAAGTTGTGTGCGTTGACATGGGCGACAAAAGAAAGAAAGACAATTGGTTTCCGGCTTTAATAGTTTCTCCAACTTCTCAAGACATCAAAATCAATTCTAAAGATTATTATCTCGTGAGATCCTTCAAAGATGGCAAACAGTAAGTTACTTGATCGTTTTGAATTGTATATTAAGTCAGCATTTCTTTGAATGCATTTTATCATTTTTTAATTTTACTTTTAATTTTAATAGAAAAACAATGATAAAATATTAAGCTTGCTTACAGATTATTATTGAAATTTTTACATTAATGAAACACTTTTATGAAATTCATAATTTATTATATTATCATCATAAATTTATTCTCTCACATTTCTCATTTTCTTCACTTTACACTGAAAAGTAAAACATAGTTTCTGTCTCCAAAATAATATATATGAATGTATTCCACTTTTGTTTTGTTAAAATATGTCAACTCTTCCAACAATTTTATACAAAGGCTAATTACACTCATGTATAGACATGTTCAAAATATAAGTGTAACCATTAATTTAGTTTGTGTCTCAGGAACTACTGATCAGAACAATATACAAGCATAATATTGTATTTTTTATTCAACAAAATAATTGACAGGTAAAAATGTAATATAAATTATATCAAACCAAAAAACAGTAAGTAATAAGCATTGTTGTTAATCTTTTTGCATAGAAAATTATTAATATGATGGGATTAGCCTCCTACCTACTTGCACAGCAATTGCTCACACTTTGTTATAATGTTTATTGGTTGTCGGGAACAAAGTCCATTCTTGAACAGGAGCATCTTGAAGTTGCCAGAGTGTTTTTGGTGGTGGGATACACCTTGTCTCCCTAGGGTATCCCATGTGTTGACTTAAATCTGGAGATCTTGCTGGTCATTCCACATAATGAAAATCATCACATTAATAAAATTAATGACAAGTGCAGCCCTAAGTCTGCAAATATTATTGTCTATAAAAATGAAATCTGCAACTATAACATCTTGGTATGGTCTCATGGGGTTCTGAAATCTCATCTCTACCTTTTTTCAGTAGACATCCCTTGCAAAAACATAGAGCTTGACATAGCCATTAAGCATAATGCTGCTTAATGCCACAACCTGCAAAATGGTCTCTTTCCATGGTTTTCATGGGACTGTACAGTTTTCCACTCTCTCGGGATTCTACTTTCATCATAACTAGGGTTGTCATGCATTTTACTTTTGGTAGGACAATCCTACAATTACAACAGATTTCCTACATCCTACTTCAAAGCTTAATTGTCTTACTTTACATTTGTAAACAAAAAACTATGTTTAAAAATTAAGTTATTTTAAAAAATTAAAAAGAGACACAAAGAGCATTTAATTAATTTCTGAACACAATAAAAATCTTTGTTTACAACAATATTTTCCTCCAATAATGAAAAGTTTCATTTTACTATGAACTTCCATTTTTGGCCATGGTGGGAAGCATTGTAATTGCCATTGGACTTTAGCAGTTTCTGCTTTGATAAATTCAGCAATGTACATCAATTGTGAAAGAAATTGTGTACATTTGTTTGAAAAGGTATACAATGTATAACTATTGAAACGTATGAAGAATGANCAACTATTTTATTTACAAAAAACATTTTTGGCTTCTTTTGAGCTATCTTTAGTTTTACTTACAACTTGTTCTGACAAATATTTGAAATAATAGAATTTAAAATTTTTATCACTTCAAATATTTCAATGATATATGATATAAGGTAACTTATTATAATAGCTTGTATCATTATCTTACTACTTGTTGTTTGTTAATGTAAAATGGAGTTGTGTACTTTGAGAGAGAGCTTGTATAATAAATAATTTTATGAAACTTATATAGTTATATAATTTTCATATTTGAATTTCATGATTTTTTAATTAAAAACAAGTTTTATTTCAGTATTTGATGATGGTGATGAAACGACACTGAGGAGAACATCGCTTTGCTTAAAAAGTGGGCGACATTTTGCAGAAAGTGAGGTAAGAATATCACTTTGGTTAGTTTTTAATTAATGAAAAATAATAATCAAATATATATGATTAAAAATACTGTATTTCCATGCACATAAGTGTACAGATGCAGCAAAATTGGCACTATATTCTGCAAAGTGCCTTTAAAAATTCTCACTATTTTTAAAAAACTAATGATATTGGAAATATCTTATTGTGTCGGCATCAGACTTCTATTTTTAATAATGGTTACCACAGAGATATCGTTGAGTAGTTACCGTATCAATTCATTTATATGTAATTTACATTGAAACAACAGTACAGTGCTCTTGTCAAGTCAAAGTTGATACACATCTGAGCATGCTGTTATATGTGGTATAAACTCTTGTAAGTGAATGCAGGGCATGTTTCAAAAATGCAAAACAAAGCACTTTTTACATATAAGAGCATGCTATTATTTGCACAGAAATGTGGTAAAAGTTCCTAATAACTAAAAACAAAACTTTCATCTATTAATGAAATTTTATGAATAGAATTAACAAATATTATATTTTACAAAATACAAAGAAAAATCAAAACAGATATCTGAATCCATTCAATTCTATTTAAATATGGATTTGACATTTTGTGATGAAATTGGAAAAATTTTTATTTCTTAAAGAATGCTTAGCAATAGTTCTCATTTTCACTATATAGAGTTAATTTTTTAGTAATAATAGTAATTTTGTTTTCCTACAATTTTTATAATTTTATTATCTAAATCAGAGACTTTGATGTAAAAGTATACGAATTATTGAATGCTATAATTACTGTTGAGGATTAGAATATACCCCTGTTAAGCAAATAATTTAAATTTTTAAAATTAAGAGAAGAAAATATTGTTCCTGTATAATTTATTTAAAATATTATTAGTTAAATTTATTTACCTATTATTATTGCATAAAGTTAATCATATATAATTAAGAATATTATGTAATTCTTGAGCTATAATGTTCAACATTTTTATTATTATTCTAATATTTTGAAATACTGACATTACTGTAGAATAACTATTCAGATTAATTGCATGCAAACACGGATGTACAATGAATTGATTCATTTAATATATTAGTTCATATAATCTCAATAAAAATGTTGGATGTAGCAAAGATTATAAATCAGATCAATAGATTATAAATAAAAAATTAATTTGTTAATTGCTTGTTGCAGTCTTTCAAATTTTATTTAATTTTTTTATTAGACTTTGGATCAGTTGCCATTAACAAATCCAGAACATTTTGGTATTCCAGTAATAGGATCAAAAAATAAAAGAAAAAGACGATCAATTGCAAGTTGTTCCTCAATGTAATGTATCATTTTTATTTTACTTAATTTTAATACTTCAATGTGAATACATGGAGGTAAATTGTTGTTTAGATTTAGCAGAATTCTACTTCTATTAAAGTATAATTATTTTTTAAGACATTAGTATGCTATTAATGTCATTAAAACACTTTACTATTGCTTAATATTGTAATGATTAAAATGATTTCCTAATTAGAAATTAATGATATCATTTTAGTTTTCAAATGATAAATCTTTATAAAAATGATTGCTGTATAATAAATTTCTTTACTATTATTTTATCTTAATTTGTATTTGTTAGAAAACACTCTTCCTTGTAAATAGTTATTTATTAATTTCTAATTACAAGGAAGGAAAAGATTTGAAAAATCTGTTCATATTCTTCTATCAAAGAAAAATAACTTCACCAGACGAATAAAATTAAAAGCAAATACTATTTACTAAAATTGTGTATTATTTTAGAATTATGTTTAACATTTCTACATATAGATACAAATGTCCTAAATATTAAATTAATAACTTTATTTAAAATAATTTATTAATAATTTTTAAAACAAATATTGAATTGATGCTGTTAGCAAAAAAAAAAAAAAAAAAATTAATAGCATTAGTAGGTGAATGGTTAAAATGATTAAATTGCAAATTTATTTCATAATTTGGTAGTAAATTGCAAAATTGAATAAAAATAGTTAAAGTTAAGTATTATAAGTTAAGTACTATTTAAACTGTTTAGATATGAGAGGAAAGTTTGAAATAGCATTTCAAATTTTATTACCATATTTGACAAAAAACACCTGAATGTAAATTAATGGATGATTAAAACTGTACTGTAAAAATGATTTTACAGTAGGATTTTAAATGTCCAG